TTAGATTTACAAATTGCACACAGGCAAAAAACCTAATAGTCCAAGACTGGGGAGTTTTTGTAACATTTTTTTGTACATTTCTCTCGATGTCTTAGAGATCCTGTAATCCAGTGTTCAAAATGTGATTCAAACTACAGTAGTTACAAGTATCTGCTATTAAATAGCAAAATTACTATGTTTCAAACAGGAGAAGTGAAATGTTACAAATCACTCCATAGTCAGGGTTAGTTGCAAAACACCCTGGGGTGAGATGTAACATTATACTTTATAACATTATTATGAGAATTATGACAATAATGGATTTAACAGTTTTTTTTATTCAAAAATGAGTTTTTAGTGTAATTCCAGTGTAATTGGTGTGTGGCTTCATGTTACAAATCCAAATAAAATGTGCAAACTGCATCAGTTTCAACAATTGGAGCACTATTTGAGTGTACAGCTTCATCAGTCCACAGAGAATAGGGGTCTATTCTTGGTACCTCACTTAAACAATCTCAAACAATTTGGCAGATCCCGGATGTTTTAATCTTGATAACTGATCTCTGGCTAACTTAATTGTTCATTTTTTTAAGTATCTGTTGTAAATATTACTCAAAGTATGAGTAAAAAGTATCCCTTTTAAAAGTACTCATGAGTAGCGAGTATTACGTTGTGAAAAGCTGATGTGTTTACATGTAATTTGTGGATCTGTGTAAACGTAACACAACGTCATAGGACGTTAATATTAGGTTAGATTTAGGTTGTGATGTCAAGTGGCCAAAACTCAATGTCTAGCCAGCGTCTAAGGATAACATTATTTTGATGTCTAATATCAACGTTAAATGACGTTGATATTTGGTTGATTTTAGGTTGTGTTAGAAAGTGACCAAAATCCAACGTCGAGCCAACATCTTAAACCAACATCATATTGACGCCAAATACTTATATTTGTTCATCAGGTATGGCAACCAAAATCCAACATCTGATAGACGTCAGAGAGGTAACGTTCACACAACTTCAAGCTGTGACATCATTAGACGTTGATATTTGGTTGGTTTTTGGTTGGACATTGACGTTGGTCTGACATTGAGTTCTGACGTCAACCCGATTTTTATATCAGTTTAATTCACCTTTATTTGTATAGCGCTTTTACAATGTAAATTGTGTCAAAGCAGCTTTACATAGAAGATCATAGTATATACCAAACAAAATGCAACATCCCCACGACATTGGGGTACAACTTCAATCTGACATCATGTTGATATCTTGTGCTTGCTGGGTGTTTAAGGCCATTTCGGTCCCCATACAGTAAACATCTGTCATTTTCTCATCAGTGACTTGCATCTAAACAGTCTCTGGGTCAATTTAAAAATTTTGGACATTTTCTTGGATACTTTTATTGCTTCCAAACAGTTTGCTACATTTATAAATTGCCGTGTCTTGAGGAAGTTCATTTTGAGGTGATTTACTTTCTCTGTGTGATTTGATTGGACAGTTATTAAATAACTGATTTTTCTAATCCCCATAGACAAGAAAAAATAAAGTAGTGACTGCAGAATGAAGGAAAGTAGTGGAGTAAAAGTACAGATACTACACTAAAAATGTAGTCAAGTGAGAGTAAAAGTACACATTTTTAAAACTACTCAGTAAATTACAATTCCTGAGAAAGTTATTAATTACAGTAATTTGAGTATTTGTAATTAGTTACATACACCACTGACTGGTATTACGCTGTAAAAAGCTAATGCATTTACATGTAATTTGTGGATGTGTGTAACCGTAACATTCTGTAGTGCATTTAGTTATTGCCCAGCAGGCACACAACATCATAATTTTACAGTTTTTTCTCAGTCGCTTGGTGAATTTCTCACAACACTATTTACATTTGCACAACAGTTAATGCATTTGTTAAAACAATTAATACAAACTGCAAAACCTAGTTGATAACCTGCAAAAGCATGTCACTTGCTGAAAATGGGTAGCTCTTTCCTCAAAAGCAAGTATTTGTCAATGAAAGTGTCAGTGTCACCAAGATGAAAAGTCCTGACACCATTGTTTATGAACAAGATAGTCCTCTTTTGCAATTTTACAGTTTTTCTCAGTCGCTTTGGTGCATTTCTCACAACACTATTTACATTTACACAACAGGTAATGCATTTCTCAAAACAATTAGTCATTTGTGCACATCATAGTAGCAGTTTCTCATTTTTTCCAACTAATTGCAAATGCTTTCGGACCTGCAGCACCGCTCATTTGTCATACTGTCAGTTCCAGAGAAGTGGAACAATGAGATAACACACGACTAGTGTTTCTGTTTACGGGATAGGAAGTTGGCATGACCACGGCAACATTGCAAAACCATGTTTGAGATTACACAACCTAATCTTGTATTGATGAAATAAGCCTGCTCCCCAGCTGGTTTGAGCTTTTGCGCTACCAGACCTGTTACTATGCTGTTACAACAAGTTCCTTTTCCTCCTGCTTAGTCCCTTGTTTATCAGGGGTCACTACAGCGTAATGAACTGCCAACTATTCCAGCATATGATTTTGCAGTGGATACCCTTCCGGCTGCAATTCAGTACTGAAAAACACCCATATACTGTCGCATTTACACACACACTTATACCCCACAACCAATTTTGTAATCTGTATACTGCATGTCTTTGTACTGTGGGGGAAACCAGAGCACCCAGAGGGAACCCACACAAACACGAGGAGAACATGCAAACTCTACACAGAAATGTCAACCGGCCCAGCCGGGACTTAAACTAGTGACCTCTGAACCATCCTGCCACCTTATAATAACAATTCTCAGATAAATTTTGAAGAACGAAACTATAAATTAGGTCAAATCATCAATTGCCAAATTGAGATAAATGAGTAATCCACGTACAAAGAACAAACCCCAGGTCAAACACTGAACCCGATGTACTTTGGCTTTGAGGTTTCTTTTTTCATACTGAAATTAAAACATAAACAGGCCTACAGTTAAATTTGCATGGAGTTATAGTAACATTTCACTGATGTTACAAGTAACCAAGTGTTTTGATGGTACAAATGACCCAGAGTCTTGTAGCTATGAATTTTCTTACAGCTATCAGCTGTATATCTTACAGCTATCAGCTACAACATTAGCACCAACAACATGCTTTAAACATATCTACACAGACACACAATTGACATAATTTTACTACAAATCAGGCATTGTTAAACAAAAAATAAATGAAGTAAAAGATATTATACTGTTATTATTCTTCTTAGCTCAAATGGAGTTTTTCCTCTAACTTCAGCTTTGTCTGCAAAAGGACTCTATTTTTTATGTAGAATAAGGACTGTGAGGATTTGTGAGGTGAATCAACTGATTTGTTCAAGTCTCTGATTGCAGAGATTCAAATTTTTACAGAACCTGCGTTACAACCTATCCCCAGCTCCACCCTGAGGTTGGAATGCTTTTTAAAGGCAAAAGGACAACCTTATAAAATTCATTTAACGAGATAGAATTGTCTGGAGCACCTTAATTACTGTAGGGCACTGTTGGCACTTAAAACTGAAATATTATTATTCAATTATGACAAAGAAAACAATCTTTAAAAAATATTTAAAAAAACAAGTCTATAAAGACTAATTGTTTGAATTAATCTAAATAACTAAACAACACAGTTAAAATCTAACAATTTATGACCTGTAAATATTCATCTTTCATTATAAAGATTATAGTTTGTCCCTCTGAAGCAGTGATGATACGTTTAAGACAAATCTCTCTTGTAGTAAATCATTTTTTTTTCCTTGGAATGTAAGAACACTTTAGAATGAGAAGCTTACATCTAGGTAAAATAATGTAAATAATCTTTTCAAATATTTGTGTGATACATAAATGAAGGGGAAAATGTGAGAAAATAACATTTAGGAGATTTAGCGGATCTGTACAGTATGCTTATGGCAAAGAGATATTGCTCATGATTGAAGATTGAATCTTGTAGAATTATTTTTTCTCCTTTGCGTTACTGTGCGTTTTGGTTCTGTCGATGTAATTCGCAGATTATCCCTAAAACACGTATGTTACGTATGCTACGACATACCTATACACGTATGCTACGGCGCTGACGCATAGCCCTTCGCCGTGGCCATCGCCGTCACTGACGTGCACCTCTCAAAAAATTTAACTACACGTCGCAACGACGCGTAGCGTCCGCCATAGGGCAGGACCGAGAGCCGCGCGAATGGCGCTACGCCGCGCGGGCGATTGTTTACGAGTACCGTGAAGGAGCTCCGGATGGAAAGTTTTGTTTTGTGTTTACCTCATAGTTAAAGTTGCTGCACGTCCGACGGTTGCTGCCTCAAAATGAGCGAGTTTGAGCCACTTGTACATCCCGGTGTTACACCATATTCGGAAGTGTTCAGGAAAAGCAAAAAAGTAGCAAAGAAACTCGACACAGAGGAACATTTACACCTAACTGCCAACTAGCGTTTCGGAAGTGTTAATGCAGCCCAACAGAGACAGCGCGCAGAAGTATAAATGCACAGCCACGCGCGTTGCATGCGCCGTTGGTTACGCCGGTCTCCTGACGCAGAAGTATAAATCAGGCTTGCACATCTCATCTCCGTTTTGCAACGACGGACCAATGCGTCAGACTTAATGGAACTAAGGGGTGGGGTTAGGTGAGCGCATCGAGGCAGTAGTTACTATGCTCTGCTGGGCACGTCTATAAAGAATAGACTCCATAAGAAAAATATGTATCTATTTTTGACGCAAGCATATGAAACATCTTTAATAAGAACATGATCCTTTATATTTCAAAATCTTAAAGTTTATTTCTCATTTAGGTTCAAAACGCACAGATAACATAAAATTTGCATCCACTGTATAGACAGCATTTACACCTGTTAAAGTATGACTAGAAATACTTAAATGTCATTTAGTTTGTAAATCTACAGCAAGTGCCTTAATCATGTATTTACTGTGATGGTTAAATGTATAGTGTTCCCACAGCTGAACAACTTGATTTTACATTTTTTAAGGCTCAATTGTTCGCAGTGACTGCAGTGGTGATTTAAGCACCACATGTAAACCCTGTCCTTCAGGAACATTCATGAATGAACCAAATGGACTTCATAACTGTTTCCCTTGCAGAAACTGTGCTGAAGGTGCGTTCCTGTTGCCAATTTTTTGTTATCACCACGTATGCGACATCATGTATGAGTAATTTTCTAATTTCATTTTTGAGTGCCATTATATGTGTTGTTTTAGATCATGGACTTTATATCAAGAGTAAATGCACAACAATGCAAGACAGCATCTGTGATGTGCTTGATGATCATTACTGCATTGAGTTCTTAAATCAGCAGTGCAGTCGTGCGATAAGACACAGTGTTTGCAAAGCAGGACAAGAAACAAAAACACAAGGTACTATTTAACAAAACTTCAGTTAATTGTATCATTGTGATTCATTGTTTAAGAGGTAGTTTAGGCAAAATAGGGGAAAAAATGCTTAACAAAGGTACTGCTTACAGGAACAAAGACCACAGATACAGTTTGTGTGGACTGCACATATGGGTTTTATTCTCCATCAGGTCTGAAATGTATCAAATGGTTAAAGTATGTACAATGTCATTTGTACTACTTTGTATAAGTTGTGTTATCTGTTTTAATAAATATAACTGTTTATCTTAGTTGCACAGCTTTAAATGAAATGCAGACAGAAGATGGCAGCTCTGTAAAAGATGTCACATGCAGACCTACGCGGGGAAGATATGGTCTATTATGTGGTGTTAGGCTTAAGGTACATTAAGCTTCAACAGCTCAAATAGGACACCTAAAATGTGAAATGAGAGAGAGAAAGAGAAAGAGAAAGAGAAAGAGAGAGAGAGAGAGAGAGAGAGAGAGATGATTTTTCTTTTTTTTATTTAGTTACTTGGACTAAGTTACGTTAGGAGGGGGTTAACCTCGAAATGAATGTTGGAGCAGTTAGTCTCCCCTGAAATTGCCCTGATATCTAGGGACAGAGCAGTAAAGGTTAATACACTTTACATTAGGCTATTAGTTTGTACACTAGGCTAATGCTTAAAACAGCTGCTTCAGAATTAAATTTGATTAATTTGAATTAATTTAAATTTGAAATTTGATTCGAATTGATTACAGTCAAATACAGTCACGACAGACAGACAGAACGTAGAAACTGTCTCACCGTCTGAAGGTTGTAAACAATGTCAAATTCCAGATTCCTCAATTCCGCTTCTGTGTTTCCAGGATCCTTTTATAATGAATTTTGAATCACCGACTGAAAAAAACTGGAAAAAAAGTTTCAAAAATCGATTTAAACAGCAGGCATAATGCAATCCCTTATGGCTGTCGGAGTACTTTCGATTTCGCAACATCTGATCTCTGAGAGCAGAACCATATGAATCACGTGACTCAAAAAGTGAAAAAAAAAAAAAAAAAACTTTCACAGCAGATACAAAGTATTCCATTGTTATTAATATCCCTGCTAAAAAATCCAGCTTAAACCAGCCTAGGCTGGTTTAAGCTGGATTTTTCAGCAGGGATGCTGGTCATGAGCTTTAATCTGTCAGATTTGCGTAAGCTTTACTTTAATTACGCTTCAACTCTTTAACCAGTTGAGTTCTCCCTTTGGCATAAACCTGAGTCCATCAACTAAAAGGGATAGTACATGAAAATTAAAACTACGCTGAGTACGTTTGCAACAAGTAGTTGCAGGTTTTAGATGACAAATCTACTACAGGGTGCTGTGTACGTTTTTGTGAATCTGTAATACGTTAGGATCAGTTTTGTTATACGTGTCCTTTTTAACAAATCAGTTTTATGCACATCCACAAGAAGGCAGGGCTTGTCATACAGATCGTCCTGATAAGCCTGGTTCACACTGTGTGACTTTTAATTAGTCTAAATGATTGTAGCATGTCAGACTGAACAACAGAGATTGAATGCAGTGATTGACTATCCTGAGTTCTGAAATGATACTTTACAGCAAACATAAACAATCTGTAACAGTATTTTGCTCACATTGTCTCTCAATAATACAATCAGGGGGAAAATCTGACATTTTGCAATGGTGTCTTGCAGTTGACTATATGTTACATTTATTTTATGTAATCTCTACAGAAATAAAGGTAAAAACCCTGTCACTGCAGTACCGTTTTAGTCTCACTATATATATAAGGGAAAAAACGAGTGCTGTGCTCCAGTTCAGGTCTAGTCAGACTGTGGGTTGTTAGGACTGTATTCCGCAGCCAACTAAAACCATAATTTAAAAGCATTTATTTTAGCTTGCATTGCAAGAGCATGAAAAATGTGGTATTTCATAACTTCCCCAGTCAAATACAGTTTTTTTTCATGTTATAAAATCTATTTTGATTTAAATACTATTATAAATAGCATCCTGTTGTTTTGCATTCTGTAAAATTCTGTAAACATTTCGTAATACTTGTGGATTAACTGTAAATCCTTTACAAATTAATGTATTTTTCCCTTTTTCCCTCACAATGGACATATAGGCATCATCGAGAAACAAAAACATTTTAAAGTTTCTTATAGCACTTTCAAAGCATGGTTCTTTATTAAACCTTTTGAAAATTGTTTTGTTTAGCAATTAAAAGTGGTTCAGATATTATTTAAAGAGCCCATATTATGGGTTTTTGAAAATTCCCCTCCATGTAGAGTGTAACACAGCTCTAAGTGAAGTGAAGTATCCAGCTAAGGCTTAAATCTGTGAGTGTACAGTGTTTAAAACGGTTGATTCATCTATAAAAGAGTCGACTCATAGTGCTTCAAACGAGTCGCCTTGATACCGATTCATTAGGTGTTTCGCCATGACGTACGAACGAAACCAAGTTATTCACGTGCACGCGCAAACCCGGGAGATTTCAAACCTGAGGCCCCACCCTCTGACGCAGAAACCCAGATACACACACACACCCACAAACACACGCACACAAACATGCCGGTCGATTGAAGTCACACTGCAGATGGACATTATCGATTCTCTACCCAGAGATGAAACCTCAGCATTATAACCAAGCAGTTGGAAACTTCTGGAAACTACAGGCTACAAAGAATACTTCATCTGCGTTTGTTAAAGTAAGGATCAGTAAAGAGTAACTTACTAATGGACGTCAGGATGAGTTTCTTCCTCCATTTCTCAAGTACGTGCGATTAAAGTTGCCTCGTTGACTCTAGCTTGCAAATGTATTTAGTTGTGATTTGTTACTTGTAACCGCGTGTACTGTATCAGGTTAACTGGCTATATTCTCTTATCGCGTGCAAAGTCACGTTAAAAACGCGACGCGTGCTGTTTGTTTACGGAGCTCCGTGGTAGAGGTCTGCATTCTCGCTGCTGTCCCCACGCCTGATTTCTGCGGCGCAGGAATAAATTTCCGAATCAATCGCGGGAGCGGTCGGTAACAGGTTTAATTTGAGACGGGAGCGGGCTTTCTAGCAATATCGTGGATATTGCTATGTGAATGAGACAGAGCTTTGCCTGCCTGTGTGTCTGCTTGGCGCTTGTGTGTATGTGTTAGTGCGCGCGTATGAGAGAGAGAGAGAGAGAGCTCTGTCTGGCTGTCTCTGGACTGTTTAGCTGGGTGATTTTCGGTTATGTTCTCCCCCGCTCTTTAGCGGGATCGGGCGCGGCGGGCAGAAAACGGGGCGGTTCGGGCACCGGGACAAGAAATTCTAAATATAAGCGGGAGCGGTCGGGTTCAGGCTAAAACCTGGCGGGTGCGGGCGGAAGCGGGAGCGTTGTCGTCCAGAGGTGTGTGTGTGTTTGTGTGTGTGTGTGTGTGGCAGCTAAAATCCACGCCTACACTATGGAGCGCGTATGAACTGTGATTACTTTTATATTGCTGATTAGCTATTGGGCATTTCATTCTCTGACTGAAGGCAGTCGACCAATCGTGACAGACTGTCATCGGTCCAATCAGCGCAGATTAGCTTCGCGCTAAGGAGGGGTTTGGGAACAAATGAATCACTGGACGATTCATACAGGAGTCGCTGGGATAATTAGGTAAAAATAAATGCAGATTATAAGACCATGAAAGTGTTTTTTGACTTTGCATGCATATTAGACTGTTGTTGGAGACCATTACAACCAAGATATGACCCTATTTCATGTATAATATGGGCTCTTTAAAGTCCAAGAACCCTAATTTGGTGTATTAGAACTATTTTTCCTCAGAGTGAATAATATGTTATATATTATATATACATACATACATAATTCAATAATGCATCTTTGTATGGACAAAGAAAAGGGCAGCTGCAAAAGAGCTGTTTAAAATTCATGATGTTAACCTGGACAATACATCCAGCAAAAAGATACTGATGTGATCATTTTCATGTCAACAAATTATTTTGGTAAATATTACATATTATTATAGGAAAAAATGTTGTAATATATATATATATATATATATATATATATATATATATATATATATATATATATATATATATATATATATATATATATAATTATTATTATTCATTTATTTTTTTACATTTTTTTTCAAGACACTTCTATATAGCTTAAAGTGACATTTAAAGGCTTAACTAGGTTAATTAGGTTAACTAGCCAGGTTAGGGTAATTAGGCAAGTTATTGTATAATGATGGTTTGTTCTGTAGACTATCAAAAAAATATATAGTTTAAAAGGGCTAATAATTTTGACCTTAAAATGTTTTTAAAAATTAAAAACTGCTTTTATTCTGGCCAAAATAAAACAAGAGTTTCTCCGGAAGAAAAAACATTATCAGTCATACTGTGAAAATTTCCTTGCTCTGTTAAACATCATTTGGGAAATATTTAAAAAGCAATAAAAAAATAAAATGGGGGCTAATAATTCTGACTTCAACTGTATGTATATATATATATATATATATATACACATTTAGTTGGGGGGGGGGGGGGGGCATTTATAACTTGCTTTTACAAAATGCTCAAGTGAATCCTGCATTTTCTTGAGAGGCTTATAAAAAGGATGAGTTTCCAGAATGAAGGGAAGAAAAATTAATGGCACAAACTGTACTGGGATGCTTTTATTGGCCTCTCAGGAACTCACATCCTTCTGCATTTTGTTCCAAGCTCACACCCAAGAACACTATGTTCAGTTGTTGATATATATTTTAAATACATACACGTCTTTTACTGTATTTTGATTACATATTGGTTTGGTATAATAATGCCCACATGTAAAGACATTAATAATTCATCAAACATTGTGTATATAACTAACAGAAGCACAATTCATCCAGCTCAGTTTATTCATTCACACACACATAGGGTTTCAATTCGAAGCAGTGTAAATTGATCATTGTAATGGGGAGACTGACACGGAGGGATCCACTATGCAGTATTTATTAATCACAATCAAGCACAAACATCCAATACGCACTAAAGTGCGAACACATCAACAGTAATCAAGGTCGTTGGGCTGGCGGCTGACAGACACGGAGTGATTTACCAGGCTTAGATCATTGGCAGGCAGCGTGGTTCAGTCCTTATAACAGGCGTGGGTCGAGGGCAGGCAGCATGGTTCAGAATCCGTGTAACAAGCAAGGGTCGTGGGCAGGCAGAAGGCAACTGAGGGTGCTTTCACACCTACACTTTTGTTTCAGAACGTATCTCGTTTGCCCAGTTAGCGCGGTTCGATTGGCATATGTGAACAGGGCAATCACGCTCTGTTCCGCGCCAAAGTAATCGCTCCGAGATCGCTTGAGTAAGGTGGTCTCAAGTCGATTGAAACGAACCCTGGAGCGGATCGATTGCAGTGAGAAAGCGATCCGATCCGAGCGTGGTTATATCACAGTGTTTTATGCATATGTAATAGGCTTACGGCTATATGAAGAGAGAGTTATGAGTAGGGCGGGAAGTTTCGCGAGTCTCCGGTTGCCCGCAAACGAGTGATGATCTCCCGGTAATCTTGCGTCTCCCTCCCTCAAATAGGCATCGTAGTGCACCCTTCTCACCCCTCCCCACCGCGTCTCTCCTCAGACATGTCGCGCGTGCGCACCCTGTCAATCACCACCAAACCACCACTTCTCCTGACAGCTGAGCGGGACGCTGCAAAATAAACCCTGACACTCTGACCAATGTAAGGAGAGTTTACTCGCACGTGACTTGTTTTAGCTCTTTTGGTCCGTTTAGAAACTTTGCAGTGTGAAAGCGAACCGCTCCAAGAGCAAATAGCAACAATGTAACAATTGTAATCTCTGTTTCGGAACAACTGAATCGATTCACAGGTGTGAAAGCACCCTCAGAGTCAGGAACAGTCCAGGGTTATGCACAAGAGATCAGGCAGGAAATAACGCTCAGAAATGCTTGCCGGGGCTAAACAAGACTTCGCAATGAACAGTGGTTTGAGTGTGGCTTATATAGGTGGCGTGGGTCATTACCGTGATTCAGTTCAGGTGTTTGCACAATCAGTGTAAGTGGATGATGTAATGCTAGAAGTCCGGGGATGGCGGCCTCTGCTGGCCAGCGAGGGGAATGACTGGGACCGAGTCGGTGACAATCATATAGGCACCCACATTAACACACAAAGAAAATTACTGAGCTAAACAGAAACAAAACATGTCTTGTGTATGTTAAGGCAGTAAGTATACTCATTTTAAAATGTAAATCAAATATAACCAAAATAAAAAGTCTAAATGCAATTCTGTCAAAAAAAAACTTAGAATAATCAGCTGCTGTTCTTTCAATCTTCTGAAAATATATATTTGGCATAGCCTAACTGTTTTTTGGTTAAAGTCACGAACAGTGCCTATTCGATCATTAAATCCATCTTAAAACAATAAGAACAAAACTTACTTGGAATGAGATGCTAAATGAGAGCTCCAGACTGATAAGCTGAGAGCTGAGATGTGAATAACAGTAATGAATAAAGCATGTGACAAACTTGTGACTGTGTAAAAAAACATACAATGGAGTCTTTGCGCAGGATTCATAGAAACCCGTTGTTATTATATTAATTGGTTATATTGTTGCTACTAATCAGAGTCTGTTTTGCTTAAATAATAAAAGATACATAAATAAGATTTTTCCTGCATGAACATGCTTTAGAAACCAAATATTCAGCTTACTAAAGCTTATAGACACAACCAAATGTACCCCATGAGTCAATGGACAGATACACTTCTATTACAGCATTGCTTTTTAGAATTAATTGTTTTACCGGTTTTATTTTTAAATTGACAATGATAAATAAAGTCTTGTCTATGCATTATTTTACTCTATTCTACATTGTGTTTATAGAATAATTATTTATATTTGTAATTATCAATATTTATAAAATTAGTTTTTATTGTATTGCATTCAGTTAGTGTTAGGAAAAGGGCATTATTTAAAAAAAAATGGTCTGATGTGTGTGGAGTCAGTGTTTTGTAGTTTTTGTGGTGTAAGCTGATGATGTTTCTTTGGGTCAGCATGGATGACATGTTTAGACAATGATCGAATGTTGAGTAGTCACAAATTGAGAGGCAGCAAAGACATGCTTCTTTTATTTTAAATATCATTTATTTTAAATATGGGTTCATCATTTTTGTATGAAATGATATCAAAGTAGTTATTATATACTGTAAATGCCAACACCTTTAAATGTGATTTAAGTTTGTATACATCACTAAAGCTATCATATACATATATTTTGTAGACAGTAAGCAATATACACACATGTACAAATCCACATACAGGTGTCTTATTACTGGTTGGATTATTAATGAATACTTAATAGACGACAGAATACTTAATAGATGATAATGTGAAAAATATGATTAAAAATAAAATAAATGGGGTGAAAAACAATTTAGGGATTTGTAAATAAATGCTTTGTAAAAATAATAAAGAGTTTTTTAATCTGTAGTTTATATAATGCTTCAAGTCGGAATGAAATCAAAATGTACTGTTTTTTTGTGTGTATAGAGATGCTTGTTATAAATGATGTATCTGTGCACTGTCTATTATATTTTAAACAATTGTTTGACCTCAGAATCCTTAATCCAACATCATGACCTTCCCTCACCCTCAAAACAACTTTTCTTCACTTCTGGTCACATGGAATGCCTTTAGTTTGAGGCTATCAGTGTGTGACTTCTTTCTCCTTTCTTTAATCTTCCTCTATTTTAAAAGCAACGCCCATCTTCCAGTGACTTAATCACTTCCCAAATGATGAAATCATGTGCTGTTCTACTTTTTTTCTCATTTCAGGACAATTTCAAGTGGATGTACAGTGTGTCACAATACAGTCTATAGTCACAATAGAGGGGAAAAAGAACAAATCTTAACTTCCATTTCTATTCTTTTTATTTCAACTCTCTACTTATCCTTATTTTATTTTTATGTTATGTTTGTTATCCATATTTTAAATTGTACTTAAATATTCATGTGATCCTTATAGATTTGTTTCAGTTTTTTTTGTATATTTCTTGTTTTTTAAATAACAATATATTTAAAGAAATCTTAACTTTAATGTCGACGCTTATGTTTGCACATTCATTGTATGAAGGTATTTCTAAGCCGATTTTTCATTATCGCAGATTGTTTTGTAGATTCATTGTTTTCCACAGTCTAACCACAGCAGACTATAATATACTCACATGATTCATCTAATTAAATCTAACCTTTTAATTACACCATAGAAGTTTTTTGATTAGCTCAAGTTTAGCAAAGTAGGTTCCCTGTGCCACAAAGTTGGAAAACTGCCAAAAAAAAGAAAAGAACAAAAAAACTGGTCCAGGCAAAAAGAAACTGAAAAACGAACATGTTGTTTTTATCTCACTGACTGCAGATTAATGAGTTGAAGTTGATAAGGAAGTTATTTCTAAAAGCTCCTTTTACAAATTGCTTTTTGTTGGAAAGTCCCTACCAAACCTGTTCCAACACACCGAAGAAAAACAAACAAAAAGGAATTAATGCTGATGAAAAAATAATAAAGAGACCTATACATTCTTACAAAATCAACAACAAAATACAACATATGTAAATAATCATTTACTTTGTACTTTATCTATCAGAGTAACATATCATATATGAAATATCACACACCTGCATCTGTTTACAAATGACTACACCTACAACGACCAATTTCATTATATACAAACTCTAAATGCAAAACAAGAAAATGGTTTTATTGAGCAAATACAAAAAACTAATTCTAGTTGCAAATACAATCAGAATAAACTGATGTAGAATACTGACACTGTTAGAGAAGTTAACAGAATGTACTGTAATTAAAGTTCTAAAATCATTTGTCATTTTCATTGCTTCCATGTAATTTCTTCAGTATAGTGTATGCATTCAAGAAGTCAATATAAAAATATTTAGATTGCTAAAGCAAAAAAAGTGCTCATCTAAAAAGTTTTGTACAAAATTATACCTATACATGCAGTATTACTTGGGAGTACTGTATGTAGTGTTATGAGATCCTTCAGCTTGTAATTACTGTTTCCCCACACAGATCTACACACAGTGCTTTATAAATAAATGAGATTAGTGCTTTATTGTTTAACATATTGAAACCATAAAATTTATAACATCAAAGTAACTTTCTTAATAAAATATTCTTTAGATAATGTGGAACATAGCGGCATTGTTCCTCAGTGGTTAGCAGTCAGCTCGCAGCAAGAAGATCGCTGGTTCAAGTACTAGCTGGACCAGATGACTTTTCTGTATAGTTTGCATGTTCTCCCCTAGTGTGGGTTTTCTCCATGTGCTGCAGTTTCCCCCATAGTTCAAAGACATCCGGCATAGGTGAATTGGATGAACTAAATTGGCTGTAGTGTGTGTGTGTGTGTTTCCCAGCACTGGGGGTACATGAGTTATTGCACTCTGTGCTCGGTTGGTAGAAACTTTTTGTTTGGACACCACCAGTCAGAAGGTCAGATTTACTTCCACTATCAACTGAATACAAAGAGAAAAAGAAAAGGAAGACAGCTAAAACAAGCATCAATCATGAGCAGCCTTCTGCATTGCACTGTCAAAGCATACGAGAACAACATATTACAATAAATTTCACATAATTAAAACCTAATACTGTAATTAAATTTGTCATTATATATAAACTGAGTAACAGTAATATGTGCATATATTATTAACTTTTTCTTACCCTTTAAACAGTCAGTTTAATTTAAATCCACGGAAGTTTCCTTTGAACAAAACAGATATACACATTTTTATTTAAGCATGGTAAATGAAATGTATTACATCTTTCTCTAAAAAAACAAAAGTCTGTACCTGTCTCCCTGTATGAACAGAAGGGAAAAAAAATAAGTATTACTAATGTAATAATAATATCCACTAAAGGTCAAAATGTTGGAGTAATGTTATTAAAGAAGACTCTTATGCTCACAAATGCTTATAGAAAAACAATAAAACAACAATGATTTAAAATAATCAAAAAATTCAAAATTTCAGTGTTACATGATTCTTAAGAAATCATTCAAATATTATTGGTGCTGTAAAAATAATTCATATTATGATTAGTTTTAAATCAGCTTTTGCTAGTTAATATTTTTGTATATTCAAAAGAACAGGATTTATTTAAAACAAAATATTTTGCAACAATATATTAGTCTTTTTTTAAGTTTTTACTGCAGCTTCAGTGCAATACATTTTTGATTTGCATGATTTTCTTTCTATTTTACTTACCACAAACCTATGAATGGTATTGTTTCTATTCACAAAATGCAAACAGCAACAATGATTGTAAAAAATGTTTGCCTTTCTGTGTTCTTTAATCTTGTTTCCCCCACAGTTCAAAGACTTGAATTTTAGAAAAACTGTATACAGTAAATTGGCAGTGTCACTGTCCCATCACTGCAAGAGCTGATAATTCTACTGTTGAGACCCTTAATAAGAGCAGCCGAATGAGACACAGACTTTCATGATCTGCACATCAGCATACTGCTTTTTGAAGTACCATGTGACACTGAAGTCTAAAGAAATGATGAATGCAGCTTTGCTTTCACAAGAAAAAAATGAAAAAACAAAAAATATAACCATAAAAATAAGCTCCTTAAAGTACAATATTATTGATCACATGTATTTTTATTAAATATATGTAGCCTTGGTGAGCAAATGTCACTTCTTTTAAAACATTCAAAATATATATTAATGACTAAAACAATTTATGTCACCGTCATTTTTGCAGCAACATCTAGTGTATGATTGTCAAAAGGGTTCCAGTTACTTGACAATTAAATATTTAATGTAAGAGCTAATGCTAATGTGCAGTGGGCTGAAAAAGTGTCCGATGCTAAGAGGCTTTGGCATGACATTAAAAAGGAAATTCATACTTAAAAACTCTCCAATGTGGCTAAATTATAACAATTCTAAAAGATGAGTGGGGAAAATCCCTCCACAGCGCTGTAGCAGATTAATTGTAAGTTACCAAAAATGCTAGATTGCAATTGTTGCTGCTAAGGGTAGCACAACCAGTTAGGTTTAAGGGCACAAACAATTTTTCACACTGGGCTATGCAAATGTGTATTTTGTTTTCCCATTTATTTTGTTCTCATTTAAAAACTGCATGATGTGTTTATCTTTGACAAATATTTAAATTTGTTTGATGATCTGAAACATTAAAGTCTGACAAATATGTAAAAGGTAATCCGTAAGGCGCAAACACTTTTTCAGACTACTGTACATTTAGTTTGGACTGTCATAAAAAAATCATAATAAATAAAGAGCAAATATGTTTAACAAAGTAAAACTCACTTGTGCTTTTGTATCGTTTCATCTTCCATAAAGGTTTAAATTTCAAAACACCCAATAACGTAACGATTAATATCAAAATGGCTATAACACTAGTAATTATAATTGGTAGAGAAGTTGAGGGATTTCCACATTGAGTGTCAGATGAATGTGTTCCTGGATTTGTTTCAGTAAGTCCGGTGTCCTCACATCTGTAAATAACATCTTGGATCAGATTGGTGGGAAAACGTATGATATATGCAAAAATGAAAAGTGAGCACTCACTTTTTATGTGGCAAACAGGAGGAGAAAGATCCATCTGAATATGTGTCTCCAGTACAGTCTGCACATACAGTATCTGTGGAGCTCGTGCCTGCACACAGTCAACAAATGGATCAAAATATTTAAAAAGGTCAATATACACTCCCTGTTTCCTACTTAATGCAACTATCTCAGTACTGATATCCTTCTACACTTGTTTCTTGTTTATTTATTGTCATTTACCTGCTTGTTCGATATATTGTCCAGCTTTACATTCAGAGTGTTGCAGAGCTGAAGTACAGCTGCTTTTCTTCTTGTCAATGCAGTAAAATTTCTCGAGTGGCTCACAAACAGTATCTGATGACCGACTGCAGGCTGTGTTGACTCTTAAACCTCGGTCTAAAAATAAAAAAATATTAAAGTCAGTGGAATCTTTAATGCACTTGAGCTGTCTTTTAGCAGATCATTTTGCAGTAACTTACATGTATTTTATTTTCAGGGACAGTTTGCCTTAATAGACTTGCAATACTTCAGATCGTAAAAGAATCACTGCATTGTCTATTACTGAAATATGTAACAGAAAACCCATTAAAATTTAAGTTATTTAAAAAAAAATCACCTACATATAATACAGCCTACATATTTCGGATGATGGGGCTGCCATTATTATAGGTGCATAATGTGTAATCTTAAGTGATTCGGATTCAACATGGGGAGCCTTCATTCCAGCTATTTTTACCAAAACATAATGCAGAAAATGTTATTCTTATATCATGTGTGGCTTTTCATTATAATTTCCTAGTTAAAGGACGATTTAAAACTCCATTTGCTTTCCCAACATTACAAAGAGGAGAAAGGGGGAAAGATGTAATGGGCCACAGCCTCTGAAAGAGATTATAGGTGATGATGGACATATACACTTTAAACTAAATGCCATTTCATGGATATTTCTCAATATCGACTCAAGATATTAATTGAGGATATTGATAAAAATCAAGAAATGCTATTCTGGCAGGATATAAAAATGCTGAGACTTGTCAAGACATTCACTAAAGAACAAGCATATTCACAAAGGCACTTGATGATCCATTAATTTCAGTGTACAGTGTTTTCCAGTAACAGCTGATGATGCACCAGACAGACTTTGACAAGCACCAGCATGATTACATTCTGTGTCATTTCTTGAATCTACTGTTCCTCAGTACACACTTTACTCAGATTTGACGTTGTTTAGACTTGTTTAGGGGTTGTTGGCAGGGGTGTCCAAACTCGGTCCTGGAGGGCTGGTGTCCTGCAGATTTGAGCTCCAACTTGCCTCAACACACCTGCAGGGATGTTTCTAGAAAGCCTAGTGAGAGCTTGATTAGCTAGCCCAGGTGTGTCTGATTAGGGTTGGAACTAAACTTTGCAGGACACCGGCCCTCCTAGACACCCTTGTCTCATGGGGAAACAAAATCAGTAGTACTTCCCTTGTTGCTGTTCGACTGAAAACTATTAATGAAGCTGAACAATGTTATATTGCATTAGTATTTTATTTTCTGAGCTGCAGTAATAATAGCAAAAGGTAGTGCTAGCTCACTGAATGAAACATTTAAAGTTATGTACACATAATTGCCACAGTTAAAATGAATTTTTAATATTCTACATTTTTATGGGTTTTCTATGACACACTTCAGTAAAAGACTGAGTACTGTTTTAAACCATACACGTCTTAATGTTGATGATTTCTTTTCAATCACTTGCAAATAATTTTCACCATTTATTTTCAGATGAGCAAATATAATGGGGAAACACTCACTTGAATCACATACAGTGCAAGGAAAGCATTCCTTTAAACCATTGGGTTCATCAGTAAAAGTTAATTCAGGACATGGAACACAAGTTGTGCTGGTGTCATCTGTGCAGTCCCAATAAACATGGTTTCCTGAATAGGCAGTACAGGAAAGCCCTTTATAATTTCACATCATTTCAATAAGCAATTTTTAATGTTTTAATGCAGAATAACACAATTTTACTAAACTCTTAAAACATTAAATACATAGATTTGAAAAATGTTTTTGAAGAACATTTTAACTAACATGTTTTTATCTGGTTCTTTGGAGACTCAGGTTCTCTGTGGCACTACTGTGAAAGCCACTTTTTGGTTCTTTCTAGCGCCTTTATTTGTTGAGAGTGTATTAAAATAATATCTTTTTTATGTAAAATTGTAAACATCAATACTGATAAGGCAGTGGTTCTCAAACTGGGGGCAGGGGGCTGCAAAAACATTCTAGAACAGATTTAATAAACAGGGTCATTTGAATAAATTTTGTGGCCTGTGTCATGCTGAAGATTAATGCATTTTCTCTTATAATTTGCACTCAAAAGTTCATTCTGGGGGCAGCCTTAGGAGAGAACCCCAGACTTCCCTCTCCCCAGACACTTCCTCCAGCTTCTCCGCGGGGATCCAAAGGCGTTCACAGACCAGCCAAGAGACATAGGGTCTTTCCCGAGGCCTGTAAAACCTTCCTAGGTAGGCGTCCAGGAGGCATCAGAAACAGATGCCCAAGCCACCTCAGCTGACTTCTCTCAATACAGAGGAGCAGCTCTACTACAAGCTCCTTTTGGGTAACACCGCTCCTCACCTTATCTATGAGGGTGCACCCTGCCACCATGCGAAAGAAACTAATTTTGGCTGCTTGTATCCAAGATCTTGTCATTTTGGTCATGACATAAAGCTCATGAGCATAGGTAAGAGTAGGAACGTAGTTTGACTGGTAAATCGAGAGCTTTGCCTTCCGGCTCAGCGCCGCTTTTTTCCCCACAACGGACCGGTACATCGACCGCATTATTGCTGCCGTTGCATTAATCCGCCTGTCAATCTCATGTTCCATCTTTCCCTCACTCGTGAACAAAACCTCGAGATACTCAAACTCCTCCACCTGGGGTAAAAACTTTCCTCCAACCTGAAGATGACAAACCACCTTTTTCCGGTAGAGCACCATGGCCTCGGACTTAGAGGTGCTGATTCTCATCCCAGCCATGTCACACTCGGCAGCAAACTACCCCAGTGCATGCTGAAGGTCTATGTATGATGAGTCCAACAGAACAACCTTGTCTGCAAATAACAGAGATTAAATCCTGTGGTCCCCGAACCAGACCCCTCCAGCCCAAAGCTGCTCTTTGAAATTCTGTTCATAAAAATTATAAACAGAATTGTGGAGTCCAGCATGCACTGGAAACAAGTTTGACTTATTGACGGCAATGCGAACCAAACTCCTGCTCTGTTCACACAGGGACGAGACACCCCTTAACAGAGCGCCTCTGACCCCATACTTCCAGAGCACCCTCCACAGAATGCCACAAAGGACACGGTTGAATGCCTTCTCAAAGTCCACAAAACACATGTGGACTGGTTGGGCATACTCCCATGAACCCTCAAGCACCCTGGTGAGGGTGAGCTGGTCCAGGCCACCACGGCCTGGACAAAAACTGCATTGTTCCTCCTGGGTCCTAGATTCAACTATCAGCATAATTCACCTGTACTCTGGCATAGACTTTCCAGGGAGGAGTGTGATCCCCCAATAGTTGGAGCACACCTTCCGGTCCACCTTCTTAAAAATGGGAACCACCACCCCACTTGCCCAGTTTAGAGGTATTGTCCCCAAACTCCATGCAATATTGTAGAGTGATGTCAGCTAAAACAGCCCCACAACATCCAGAAACATAAGCTACACAGAGTAAATCTCACCCACTGCTGCTGCTTTGCCACTGCAGAGCTTGCAAACTACCTCAGCTTGGGTGATGAGTCCACCCCTTCATCCCCAGTCTTTGCTTCCTCAATGAAAGACATCAACACATTATTAAATATGAAAATGTAATAGTGGCCTATATTTAATAATGCTCAGCATATCTGCTTAGAGTTTAATAATGCATATTTTTCAAGGTGTTAATCCAATTTATTTACCCACATTTTTGAAAATGTAAATGAGCATGTTCGAAATTATTTTAAGTTGGAAATAAACAGCATTTTAAAGTCAGCAAAACTGCTAAATCTATTCTAAATATAGTGTTATTATGCAAATTATAACTTGTGGCTTAAGTTACCTCAACTTATGTAAACAAAAAAAGGAATATATATATTTTTAAAGAATTCAACAGACTGAAATCATCCTCCATTGTTCACAGAATGGTTAACTGTTAGCCATGAATAGGCTAATGAATGACAAATCCCTTTAAAATCAATACATTTTTGATAATTTTAGACTCTCAGCTGAGAAGGTACAGAGAGTACAGAAATAGCAAGAAAAAACTGCATAAATGTGATAAATCGTACACAAAGTATGGCTTTATGGAATACAATGAGGGCAGACCACAGTGCACACTGCGTTTGAATATTTCATAGGCAAAAACACTAAAACCATGTCAATTCAACATATAGCTTACAACAATTCATCTAGAGCATAAATAGTTAAATTTTAACTGTTTTAGGAAAAGTTAATTTAAGGATCTTTTTAAAATTTTTACATTTTTTTGAATTGGGGCAGCACCAAAAATGATTTGTCCTATACAATGGGGCCTTCGGCTAAAAAAGTTTGAGAACCACTGTGATAAAGAAAACATCTAAAGGCAAAACAAAAAAATAAAGAATTATATATGCTACAATTTGCATTCCTACCTGCAGCACACATTGGGCAGCACTGGCAGTCTATCTCATATTCAGCCCGAGCACATTGACAAGAACAAAGATCATAGTTCAGAGGAACAATAATTGAAATAAGAATAAAAATAGTTAAAGCGAACATGGCCACAGTCTAGATATTACTCTGTTGAGTAACTGTCAGCAAAGAAGAACCATTTCTTGCAGGAAACCTTTCAGCAGAACCTTTGGATGCCTCACATGATGATTTTGTATCTGACATGTGGCAGGTATACACAAGAAAGGATTATTGTAGAAATCTTCTTACAAATGCATTCTCTGTAAAAAACAAAACAGAAAAGGGTTCAGCTTATTGTAAATCTTTTTGTCTGTGTTTTTTTCAGTTTCCACACCTCACATGCAGTGTCGTGTAAACATATAAAAACGTACCTAATACCATTTTGGAAGAAAAACGACAGTTGCTAAAATGACATTTTAAGCATTTTTTGGGAATAAAATGAACGTTCGTTTTTTTTATTTTACTACCCAGAGTGTAAGTTATTTTAAAGATGATGTAAAATTAATGCATAGATATCAGGATTACCAATTGGAGTGCTCACAATCTCCACAAGATGGGCCTCCAGCCCTCCACACATCACTTGTACAACTCACCCACATGCTTTACATTGTATGCATAAATAAAGTATAACTAACTGAAATATACAACTTTTTCCTACAATAAATTGAATTAATATGTAATTATTCAGAATGAATTGCTACTTTTTCATGGTTTGAATGCAAGACACAGGTAAAATAATAACTATAAACTGAGAAAAACTGAAGTCGTGGAGTAACTAGGCAATTCGACACAAACTTTTTATAAACAGACTGGGACGGAGCTAAAATGTAGCCTATAAGCTAATATTGTAGCCTTTACTTTTTATAGGTAGGTAATATGAACTATTTTACGTTTTGTCAGTTTAGTGGCTAATCCGTTAAAATCATGGCCCCAAACCCCACGCCAATACTCAACTGTCATTGGGAGATGAACAAATCACATTATGAATGAGATTGTACAAATTCATATAAATGTTGGAGTTGGAGTGACGTAGTTTTGAAATATGAACATTACCTCTACAAGTGCTCATGACCTCCACAGTCACTCCACACATCATCAGTATCTCTCACCCGCCTACACATCCCACAATCCTCTGAACCTTCCGATGCTCATGAACTTGATTGTGATATTATACAGACAGCTGCAGTCAATTTACACTCTCATAAATGCAGCTCATTCACACTCAACCTTTGCAAAGTCTTTTATTTTACATCTGGACGATTTACATGTTTGTTTGTTTTGATTTTGGACTGTCTCTCTATTTCTGATTGTTTGCTGACTGAACATCTTTGCCTGTCTTGTGGATTGGTCTTTTGGATTACCTCTGTTATTTCTGTTTGTACTAGTTTGAGCATTGCCTGATTTGACCATACTCCATTATAAAAAAGCTGCATTCCTTTGTTGTACGCTCCTGTTTTTTAAAATATGTATAACTACAAATTATGATTATAATTTTAAGATATATTACTATTTTTTATACAATTTATGGAATGAATACATTTGTAATTATTCAGAATGCATTGATATTCTTGCATGGTTTGAATGCAAGACAATGGTGAAATAAAATCTGATATAATATTTAGTTCTAATATAAATCTAAAAATGCTAACATAAAAGCAGAAAAAAACTTTTTATTGACGTGAAATTAAAGGATTTTCAATTCATTTAGTAGCTATTTCGATGTAAAAAAAATTTTATGGCGAAACTAAAACATTTTATAACTTGAGGGAACTCAAATTTAACTTAACTTTCCCTTTTTTATAGGTACTGTAGGTAATATAAAGAATAACAACAACAAAAAAACACATATCAAACGCAAGACTCAAACAGAAACAATGATAACCTACAGAGTGAAAACACAAAAACTATGTTCGATCCAATCTACAGAATGAGGACAGCCTTTGTTTATGTGATGAAGCTTTAAACATGAAGCACGTTTTTCTTAGTAACACAATAACACTAAAACGACTTACCGAGTACGGTCGCTTCATTTTTTCAACATGTTGTGATCGCTTCAGTTATATGAACAGGTTCTTTCAGTTTCTGTTGCTTTGTTTACAGCGTCGGATGACTATATTACCATTAATTTAATAGCGAGTTAATAACGGCAGTGTGTATTATGTTTAATTCTATTTATGACGCACGCTACATTTAAATATCTGCTCACTTAAGTCAATGAGATGCCATTAAAATAAAACCTTTCAATTTTGTTTAGCGAACGGAATGCTTCCAATGATTTAATGTGAGGAAAGTACCGTCACATGACTGTTCCCAGATAGCAAAATACACTCGGGCCAGTTCCGGCTAGATTGTCGCCTGCCGAAGACTTACCCCTCGGCCCAACTCCGGCTGCCGGACTCGGGCCGGATGCCTGTGGACTCACTGCCCGATTCCGGCCCGAATCAAGCGGGCCAGATGCGGCGGCCGTAAGCGAGCCGACGCTGCGCATCCGCGCCGGAATCGGCGCGAGGGTAATGTGCGCTGCGGCCCGGAGCTGGCGCGACTCCGTATTTATACACCTTATAAAACCTTTTGGTATTACATTGGTACTTAATATATGGTATTACAACCATTTGAATTTATACAACAGCAAACACAGGCTATAATGTAAACACAAAGTGTAAGCACTGTGTTTAACCTTTGAATAAAGTGCAAACTGCATACACATTCTGTAACGAAAATAATCAGACAAATGACAAAATAAATAAATGTTAAACGTTTATTAATTGCAAGAAAAAAATAGTACTAAAATTTTATAAATAATTTTGTAGTGCACAAGAATATCAATATAAAAACAACAATAAAACAACACATTAAAGACACACAGAAAGATTTAAACAAAAAATCTAAAAATAACACACACACACAGATGTTTTTAAAACAACCCTGTTTTCCCAATAGACTTAAATTAAAAATTTGTACAAACAGCTAAATTTTATATAAACCTAAATATAGAAACCAATTTAAGATATAGCAAGAAACATCTTAAAAATACCAATGACAATCCGTAAAATATCCAAGTCAAACTTGTAAAAAGTACTGCAGAATTCTGAAGAAACATCTTGAAACATTTTTTAATAAAACATTAAAATAATAATAAACAAACAAACAAACAAATATATATATATATATATATATATATATATATATATATATATATATATATATATAAATAATTGCAGAAGTATAAAGTCAAACTTATTTTTAAATAAACTTGAACAAAATCAATTGCACAAACAGCAAGACATGAGTGAGATGATTATACATTTCATATATATACACGTCTTGTGCAATTTTATATTTATAATTTTATTTGTATTACGTTTATTAAAAATGTATCAAGATGTTTCTTCAGAATTTGGCGCACACACATACATACATACCTACATACCATACATATATACACACACACATACACACATATATATATATACATATACATATGTATACATATAAATGCAAATGAAAGAAACAAATTGTTCAAGTATCAGGGAACATCCTAATACACTTAAAATGTTGTTTAAAAAATAAAACAAAATAGTGATGTAGACATTTGACACATTAGCTTTCTCTTCTTTCTTCCTCCATCCCTGTCAGGGGCAAGTTGTAGCTACCTTGTAATGCATTTTTCCACTTCTTTATCAGTGGCGTGGTATGGACATTTGTCCTCACTCCATCTGTGATTAAAAGATAAACAGATAATTAGTAGTGAACAAGTACTAATGTAAAAAAAAAAAAGAAAAAATTAGGAAAAAAGTAGGCTACCTACGAAGCAAAAAAAAACAATAAAAAAAAACAAATAAACTTAAAACACTTTGAAATTAGCAAGAGCTTGAACTTACCAGTTTCTTCATTTGTTCAGGCTGCTCCTTTAGTTGATTTTCAAGCTTTTCCAAATCCAATTGGCCAAAGGAAGGTCAAATGTGTTTACATCTGGAATTTTATCACGTCTGTTTTGGTTTTGTGAAAATCAGGCCCAGCTGCTGCTTTATGACGTTGCATGATTTTAAATTTTCAGTCAGTCGTGCTAAAAAAGAAAAACAGATTAGTATAAATCAACCTGTAGCTTATTCTCATACAACTTCTGTAAATACAACAGTGGGTTAGACACTGCTGATATTCTCTAGTTGATCTTTACTTTCTAGCTGCATTAAACCTTAACAAATTTAGTGATGTCTTCAATTCTTACAAAGACATCACGAGATGCAATAAGTCTTGATCTCAAACTGCACTAGAACAAAGACTGTAAATGTTCATAGGTGTACTGCAGGAGTGTCCAAACTTTTTGGGCCGAGAGATGTTTTTTGGGCTGCAGATGGCCCGCGGGCCGTAGTTTGGACACGCCTGGTGTACTGGAATGTACAGTATCTGTGCATCTTCATGGTGGTCTTAAGATTTCTGCCATAGTCATTGATGGTGATGGTACTTGTGGTGCTGCATTGATTTCTGAAATCTTCATACCTGCCTTTTATCCAGCCTCTTTGTTCAAAGTAATTTTTCTTCATCATGGTATAGATGCGTCTATACTGTCCCTTGATCAGATACATTTACAAAACAAAACATCACTTTAGTATAGTGCCAGGGCAAAACTCACAGGTTGTAATAGATCAATGACAATGTTGACAGTATGTGTTTAAAATAATTGCAAACAAACCTGTTCTGTCTTGAGATGTATGACAGGCAATCATCGTCCTCATCTGTCTACCAGTCAGAAATCACAGTTGCATGTGGATGTTTTAGTCGAGCTTCCTCATATGCATCTATAATAAAACATCACATTGTTGTTAACCTCCCGTAAAGAAAAGTTCAAATCCTGAAATACTATCAAAGTTAATTAATGCATATAATACCTATAGTGTAAATAATCAGTACACAGAAGGTTGCACAAGATTTATTCGGAGATTCATGCAGAGTGACAGCCTTATGAATCTGAGACATAGATTTGTAAGATGGTCAAGCACATGCATTATTCTGTACCCATGAAGATTAACCTACCATTGTGAAAAATGTTTGATGATGATAGCCAATAACAATAAACCGTTTCAGCTGTTTGTGAAGCAATTAGTAATGTAATGTCTGAAAAGCTCAATTTATGTTGAAAATGTATCAGCAGTTTACAGCTTATAATGGACTTTTAGCACACAACTATAGCATGCCTATTCACGTTCAAAAGAGTGTGCCATTGACTTCTTTGGTCGTGATGTACTGCAAAATGATCTCACTAACCTTTGTTAAACAAGAACAATGAGACTTAACCAACAAATATTGTTAACCATTCATTTAAATCAGAATTTATCACCGTCAATAACATAAAAAACAAACAAAAAACATCAAAATCTGCTTTAAGACGTTCAGTTTTACATTAACTGACCATTACAGCTTGAGCAAAAGATATAATTGATTCACATAGGCTAACACATATGAATTAAAGTGCATAGTAATATATTTCTCTTGGATAATTTAAAGAGAATAGTAAACAGTCGAGTTTCGATCACTTTTCGTGACTAACTGCATAAACAAGATAAACAATAATATTTTATTAATCCAAAACGATTAGTTTTTATTTACACAATCACAGAATTAATACTGTTGGATAAGTATACGCCTGTACAATGATTTTTTCAACATCCACGGTACTTTATAAGGTTAAATCAGGAAAAAAACACGTTGCCATGTTAGTTAATGGATTCGTCTACAGAAACTTTCTTTAACGCAAAGTTAGCATACACACAAATTCGTTTCATGTTTCTTTAAAATAATTAAAATAGTTTTCAGTTACTACACACGTTACAATCTAACATTGTGTTAAAGGAAAATGAACTTTCAGGCGTGTTTGTAACTGTTAGCGTTAGCATACATTAGCTCCAGTCGTGTTTCTTAAAGCAAGTTACATTTCGTATCAAACTGTTTTAAATTACTAAACGCTGTTACAACCAAACACCGTGGAAATGTTTTAAGCTCTAAATTCGCTAATTATACAGAACACAAGCAGTAAAAAGCTTACCTTTCTGACCGGAATTCACGTGAAGTCTTTAAAAAAAAAAAAACTTTTTCTTCTTGTGATCTTCGTGCCATGGTGGTTGACAACCAGCTTTTTGGAGCATTACCGCCACCGTCTGGATTGGAGTGTGGATCATGAGTTTAGTCACGCATGTGTTTATTATGAAACCAACTTCTGCTTTAAAACAAAAACAGTCAGCACAGGAGCGTGCTATCTCAAAAATAAGCGAATTTTACATAGTTTTTCTCTAGATGACATGTATAATCTATTAAGAAATAATATTGTTTGCGTCTAAACATTGCGAACATCCACACTAAATATTCTTTTTTTTTTTTTTTTTTTTTGCTATCGTACCATGAATATTTTCTCAAATTATCATTAAACGTGGAGCTAACAGATTACTAGATAAATAAAGGACTTAATCGGTTGCCATCAGCCTTAATCGGTTGCCATATGGTTGACCGGAATCGGGCCAGTGCTTTACAGCCGTATCACAACCGCATGTGCGCGAGCGAGCTGCGGGCCGCACTCGGCCCGGATAACACTCGCCGATGCCGAGTCGGAGCCGGAGGCGCCGGAGGGCAGCCGAGCTCGGGCCGATTACTGCCTGCTATCTGGGTTGGAAACAGGAAAAACTTCATTGTAAATGTTTCATTTATTAACTATTTAGTGGGCGAAGTAGCTGTTTTAAACAAGCTTTCCAAAGATCACATGTAGAACTATTATCATATATTGTGCACACGCAAATTATTATGAAGTGTTTCATTTAGTAGCTGTTTATATATATATATGTAGGGAATATGTAATATCTCTTCCTTTCCTCCGGGGGGAGCTGTGTGTTGTGTTAGGGAGATGGGCTGCAGTTTGGCCTCAGTTGTGTTTCCCTGTGGGAAAGGTAAAGAGCATTGATTCAGCTCTACACATAATCTGTTTAATTTCGTCAATAATATTTGCCATCCATGTTATTTTATGAGATATGTTATAGTTTAGGCATTAATTAATGTGTAGATGTCCTTATTTTTGATAGATTGACTTATATTTCTGATATTTTAGTTGTTTCCATGCGGCATAGCATATTTTATTTTGTTTTAGGTTTGATAATACATGTTATTTGGTTGGTTCTTTATATCCTGAATATATTTAACATTTATAATTGCCTGTCATATGTTCTAGTTTATCTTTTCAGTGTTTAAGTTAGTTTGTGAACAGCTAGCTTACTAGTTATGTAGCTGCAGCATTTACATCATTTATTTTTGATCATTTGTACACTTTGTAATTATTTTGTGATGTACTGAGTTGTGTTTTCCTGTGGGAAAGATGTTGCAGTGCCATTTCTGCTGTACAAGTGACAAAATGAAGAGAGGAGTCCATTAAAGGGAAAGCTGCTCTGTTTGGCTCAACCACGGTCTTGGTGTCCTTCCTGTTCATCCTATCACACATACACAACGCAGAGACATTTTGGGGAAGCACACCAACGAAGAGGGTTACATATATATATATATATATATTACTTTGCAAATAAACAAGTTTATGTTATAAAACTTTGGCCAACTGAGTAAACAGCTGTGTGTGTTTTTGTTTTTGTTTTGTTGCATTTAGCATGCTGTTGCCCTTACAGTACTTTATATTGAAGGCATAAATTAGTCTGTTCTTGACTTCTTGAAATCAGACTCAGTGATCTCGGTGCTGCTACGTAGAGTCCTATTGAGCTACAAATAGAGTTCAGGTAGAAAAATGTCAAATCTAAGTAATTGTCATGCAGAGGTTTTTGTGATATGTGTTTGAGTGTACAAATCCAAATCTTGGTGAGGACTTGCTACATTATAAAGTTTATTTTTTCTCTTTATAATAATTAAAGTTATGACACCACCACAAATACTCAAGTGGTGCTCGCTGCAGAGCCATTTGAGGAGAGGTGAGCTCCAGAGAGGGGGAGCTTAAGCTTGAGCTCCACCTTTTTTGCACTTCTTCTACGAGTGATGTCACTGGGGGTAGGGTTAGGGGTGGGGTTGGTGTACGCATTAAAACAGCTTACAGGAGGAGGAGCGACAGCTCATGCTCCCCCTCTCTGGAGCTCACCTCTCCTCAAATGGCTCTGCAGCGAGCACCCTCTCCAAGTACTCCTACTAATATTGGACAAAGGAAATAGGCAAAACAATGAACTACAAACTAAAACTCCATAAAAATATGGCATGAACATTTTATTAAACACGATTTTATTTGTTCTTGTAAATAAGGGCTGTACAGAAAGTGATCTTTCCTTAGATGTGCATATATTGTTGCTACATATTACTTTCTTCTTCACAAATAAGTTCTGCATAAGCTTAACATTACAATGCAAAATCTCTTTTTTTACATAATTAAATTCTACAGTACATACATACACATACCTACATACACAGTAATAATAAAAAATGATCTTGCTGTACAGGTGATGGTTTAAGGGTTTTGCTTCAGCCATTGCAGTGAGTTTAGACAACTTCTTGTCAGATGGTGTCAGGCCAGTTCTGAATGTATAATATACTGCAGTCATTTCCAGATTTTTAGGACTTTATTTTGCCACCAACTACTGAAAGCATAATAAAAAAAACTATTACTTTTCAGATTGTACAAAAAATTATAATATGACACAAAACTGTTGTTACATAACTAAACTCTGGTTTCTAAAGATCAGGGGCCTGTTTCAGAAAGGAGGTTAACTGAAAACTCAGAGTATTTTAACCCTGAAATGAGAGAAACTCTGGGTTTTCCGTTTCAAAATGGCAGGTTTGTTAAACTCGAGAAAGCAGGGTAAGTCAAGCCTGTTTCTGAAAGAAAGGTAACTTTAACTCAGAGTCAGTTACTGTGGTAACTTACTCTGTGAATCTAACCTGGTCAGAAGCAGGTTTTATTTTCTAAACTCAGAGTTTCTGTCGGTCTCCTCCCCTTTTTTAAAGATGAAGCGTTATTTCTTGCCATAGTCTTACGTTTCCACACACCTATTTTTATGCTTATTTTGGATACGTGCATAAAAACGATTGATAGAAACGTCATGATGCACATAACTTAAAATATGCATAAAAAATGTGCATAACTGAGTAGGATAAACTTTTATTCGATATAAAATGTGCGCATAAACTACGATGGAAACACTTTTACTGAACAAATTACAGTATGTACATTAAAAAAAGATCATGATCATATGATAATGAAAATGTGTGTAAATGAACAAACCATCAGGCTGAGCACACTGTAACATGTCTTAAATATTGTTTTAGTCATTCTAAAATGCCTGAACTGTTTCAGTATTATTGTATTAATTACCTCCGAACGTCTGGTGCGTGTCAAGAGTATCCGCGTCTCATGGCTTCAGACGCCCCCACGTGTTCATTGTGTTTCAGCATTGTCTTCTGACATCGAGGCGCAAGTACATTAATTAAGCTAAATAAAGAATAAATTGACGCAGCTTCTTCTACCACAGTAAATTCTGTTTTTACTGTTGATATTTGGAGCCAGTTTAATCAGGAAGTGACGATTTTTTTCTCTTTGACTCGTTGGATGGAATTTTATTCGCATCTTTTATGCAATATTCCAGTTTTGCACATAAATTTATGTAATATATTTGGATGGAAACATAGCTATTGCCTACATTACAGTCACACACAGAAGAACTGTACGAGAATGGCTTATCCTTTTTTAATAAATAATTAAATTAAATTCACCTTCGACATGCATGTAACTAGATTAATGGGATTATTATTCTTTCTAAAAATTATTTTTAGTACTGCTTACCTTCTAAATGTTATATTAACCTCTATCACTTGATCAATAAAAAAGGCAGACACACAAGTGCACTGTTAAATCATTTAAAACTAATAAATGTAAAAAAAAAAAGTTTAGAAAAAAATATATAAATGTCACAAATTACATTACTTATTTCATTATACTTAAATATTTAAATACTTAAAAAGTGACATTAGACATTATCTTGAGCAGTGTTTTCCCACGCTAACTGTCTCTTCTTCACTGATGGTTGCTTCTTTTCAAATATATACGCTCATATTTGCTATAACTTTGCATGAGAACATCAAGTTCAGCTGGAGAAAGAAATGGTGATCTCTTTTATAAGATGTTGCCATAGTCACTCGTAATGTCTGCGCTCCATTGATAATGTCTTTTTATAGTCACGGTGTGCGCGCTTAACTCTGAGTTGGTCTACTCGAAGTTGATTGACCCAACTCAGATCAGCTATTCTGAAACCAAAAACTCAGAGTTTTTAATCTCTCGGTAAATCAACTCAGAGTTCAAGTTTAAACTCTGAGTTGTTTGAACCTCCTTACTGAAACAGGCCCCTGGTCTCTTTAAAATCCAATAATCTTCACTGTCTGATTCAGATACAAAATAAAATGGGTCTCAGACCAGACAAAAAGTACTGCATTAAGACCCATTGTTCCGTGACATGTCTATTTCATCTTGTTTTACGCTTGAACAACTAAATTAACGCTTAAGCCTATTTAACTGATTATATTTTAATTAAATGACATTATTGATGTTGTTAAAGGAACCCTATGAAATTTAAAAGTCCCATAAACTATTCACCTGAAATTTATTGGTGGCTAAAAAACACTTGCTGTGCATAAAGCCCATTAACTAGATTGTTGATAAAAGCTTATTAGAAAGATCACTATAGACATTACACTATACATTTTTATTACAAGTGACTAAGGCTTACCTGATCTTTTTCGTTTCCTCTTGCAAAAACATGTGACTGAGAAAACACTGACACATGTGATTATTGTTAAGGTAACTATAACACTTGGAGCAATGATTGTTAAAGAATTATATGGTTTTCCGCATTCAGTGTCAGATGAATGTGTGCCTGGGTTTTTTTCGGTAAGTCGCATGGCCTCACATCTGTGAATCAAAAAATTGTTGTAAAATAATGACCAACAGCAAACAGAAAAAGCACAAGACTCACTTTGTGTGCGGCAAGCAGGATGAGAAAGATCCATTTGAATATGTGTCTCCTGTACAGTCTGCACATACGGTATCTGTGGAGCTGGTGCCTGCACACAGTCAACAAATGGATGATAGTAACAGTTATCTTGCCAAGTATCTTCTATTGCAACTAACTACAGATAACAGTAAACAGTACTTCATGTTCTGTCCTTATCAGTGATGTAAAGTAACTAATTACAAATACTCAAACTACTGTAATTGAGTTTTTTTTTTCAGGAATTGTAATTTAGTACGTTTTTTTTTTTTTAAATGTGTACTTTTACTCTCCCTTGAGTACATTTTTTAGTGCAGTGTCTGTACTTTTACTCCACTACATTCCCTCAACCTGCAGTTACTGCTTTATTTTTTCTTGTCTATGGGGATTAGAAAGTTCAGTCCTGTCCAATCAAATCACACATAAAAGGTAAATCATAATGAACTACCTCAAGACATGGTCGATCCAGCAAACTGTTTGGAAGCACTAAAAGTGTAAAAGAATATGTCCAAAATCTTTACACGCAATGAACCATAGACTGTTTAGGTGCATGTCATTGATGAGAGGATGACGGATGTTTACTGTATGACAGTCAGCAAGCACAAGACGTCAAACATTACGTCAAATTGACATTTTACCCAAACGTCATGGGGACATTGCATTTTGTTTGAATATGAAAATCATGTTGACGTCAGAAGTTAACGTCAGGCCACTGTCCAACCTAAAACCAACCAAATATTAACATCTAATAATGTTACAGCTTGGTGTTTTGTTGACGTTACCACAATGTGTATCTCACGTTGAATTTTGGTTGCCAAACCTGACGAATAAATGTCAGTATTTGACATCAATATGAAGTCAGTTTAAGATGTTAGCTCAACGTTGGATTTTGGTCACTTTCTAACACAACCTAAAATCAACCAAATATCAACGTCATTTGATGTAATGTTGTCCTTAGACACCAGTATATTGAATTTGTGTCACCTGACAACACAACCTAAATCTAACCTAATAATAACATCTTATGACATTGTGTGCCTGCTGGGCAATAACTTAATACACTACAGAATGTTCCGTTTACACACATCCACAAATGACATGTAAATGCATCAGCTTTTCAAAGTGTAATACTCACTTCTCTTGAGTACTTTTGAAAGGGCTACTTTTTACTCCTACTTTGAGTAATATTCACAACAGATACTTTTACTCTACTCGCATTCCATTACATTTTTAGGCCAGCAATGGTATTTTTACTTTAGTATGGTTTTCAGTACTCTTTCCACCACTATAGTTTGTTAGCATTTACCTGCTTGTTTGATGTATTGTCCAGGTCTACATTTAGAGTGTTGCAGAGCAGAAGTACAGCTGCTTTTCTTTTTGACAATGCAGTAAAATCTCTCCAGTGGCTCACAAACAGTATCTGATGACTGACTGCAGCCTTTATTCACTCTTAATCCTCGGCCTATGATGAAAATATGTCAGCAGAAACCCCTATGCATTCAGATAATCTTGCATTTGTACTAGAAGCAAATAACAGGAGTAACTGTTACATTTATCACAATCATTCATTTTTATTAGGTAAGATTATTAAATTAGATAAACAGATATAGATGAAAACAACTTACTTGCATCACATATAGTACAAGGAAAGCAGTTCATGAGTCCATTGAGTTCAGAAATAAATGTAGATTCAAGACATGGAACACAAGTTGTGATTTTATCCTGTGTGCAGTGCCAGAGAACATGGGTTCCTGAAGATGATGACATACATTTTTTTTTTTTTAATTTGAATAAGCTTCTATAATTTAAAGATGTTTTATTTTAATCCAAACAAAGTTGTATGGCAAAACAAAAGAATACCTTCACTGAAATAATACATGATTTAAACAAGATATTAGCTAAAGGTGTCTAAAATGAAATGTCATTAATAAATTATATATAATGCTTTAACCATTTGTACAGTCTTACCAGGAGCACACATGGGACAGCATCGCTCTTCTACCTCATATTCTGAATGAGCACATCGACAAAAACAAAGTTGAAAGTTAAGAGAAACAACAAGAGCAATCCATAAATTGAACATGGTCTCAGAACCAGTTTGTCTGTTTGGTAACGCACAGAGAGGAAATATATCTTTCTTGATACCGACAGCTTCCTTAAGTCTCACATGCTGTCATGTTGGTTAAATGGCTTGATTTTTGCATTATAGCAGACAGCTTTCAGAGAATGTGACTGGTAGCTCAAGATTTTCCAAGACTTAAATCTTATACATTTCAAATTCTTACACTACAGAATATGCATCCTGTGGAAAACAGAAAGAGAAGAAAATGGATCAGCTCATCACATAACATCATGTTAACTGGCTGATTCTTCAACTTGCAGACATTTAGGAGATAAGTATACTTTGGTAAGTTTATTTAATCAGTGAAATGCTGTAGCATAAATATAACTTTTCTCTAAACATCGAGAGATCAGTTTATGTCCACTAGTCTTCAGAATTCACACTTTTCATCAATTATTAAGACGTTATTGCAGAAATAAATTTAAAAACATATTGAATAATATAAAAAATGACAGAAAACCATGGCTGATCAGTCGTAAATGAAATATGAAACATTTTACATAAAAACTTGTACATTGCACTTTGAGTAGATATAAAAATGAATACAGAGATTTGCTCTGGACAGCCTATTTGTTAATCGTCTTTAAAATCATGCTGAAAACAATAGAAACCATAGGTAAATTTGTAATGACATAAATGGTCATGTTTAGTTTTAATTAATGTTAGATGATCATTTTGTAGTGATCATCACCAAAACACTATAAACAACGAAAATGTTCTGAGTTTAATAGTTAAAACTCGATGGTAGGTTATTATTTGATAGTGTTTATAGTGGAAAATATTAAATGTCTGTGACGTTTCGTGTTTTGTATTGTTCATTTCGACAGAGAACGCATGTACTTTGGCTTTACATTTGTCATAGCTAAAATGGAAAATCTAATTTGACTGACTCATACAAATGAAAAACAAAAAAACTACTTACAAGCTGATGTAGTTTGATTTCACCAATTTTTCATTTACAAAATCACAGCAGGCACAGCACTTCCAAATCTACTTTTACTTTCATGTTCACGGTTACAACATAAGCAGGGTTGCCAGTAGCTCTGGGAAAAGAGCTCATTCACGGCACATAAGAAAGCTGCAAAGCTAATCACGACAATTCGGGAGACACATGCACGTTAAGTGACGGCAGGCACTTTTTTACAGGGACACGTGAAAGTCATAGGGTAAGGGGTCTGCTCGATCTTATAATAACATATCCATATAGAAATCTGAAGGTAATATGCAAATTGCATGTAAACCTAAGTTCATATTTGAATTTCACCTATAAAAATGTCATAAATGCAAAAAAAACCCTTCCAGCCGCAACCCATCTCTGGGAAAATTACTGACCATTTTATTTGTAATATTTTGAAATATTCGTTGCATATGGCTTTTTAAATTTGTAAATTCTGAATATATATGTTAAATGAGCTTGCATGTCAAATCTAATTTGGATGCATCACCATGTATAAATTTTCTGTATGGGTATAAATGAAGTGACTACATGTTAGTATCTGCTGGTCAAGATCAAATGAAAGTTTAAGGTTAAAAATATACTCACTCAGAGACTATTATGTTATAGGTAAACTCAGCCCAAATGGGCTATTCAGTTAAAATAGCCAAATAAGTTAGTGGACTTAAGACGTACATTTCTACATCCACCAACATAACTTGGTTATATTGACCTTTAACAATAATTTGATCTTTTTTTAAAATTTTAAAGGAAGATATATAGCTTGTCAGAGAAATGGTTAGGTAAGTGAGTCTGACAGTAAAATTTAAATTATCACAAATAAAAGTAATGAAGCAATCATAAGTAAGCATACTACATCTAAATAATGGTTTGGAAACAAAAAAACAGATATTGTACACCAAAATGGGTTTACGGGCCAAGCTATCTATATATACAAAATTTTTATATATTTTAAAAAACAGTCTTAAAAATTAGCTTTGTAGTAGTCAGAATTGCAGGGGGACATGGAAAGAAAGGAAACAGAGACCAAAAAAAAAAAAATGGAAAGATAACAGTAAAACAGGATGAATACTCACACTTTTACTAAGAAACTGCGAGGAAAAAAAAGTTTATATGCCTAGACGTTCATCAATATCTCTGGTTTGAGTTCCGGCTGGGTCAGAGGCATTTCTGTGTGGAGTTTGCATGTTCTCCCCGTGTTGGCATGGGTTTCCTCAGAGTGCACTGATTTCCCCCACAGTCCAAAGACATGCACTATAGGTGAATTGGATGAGCTAAATTGTTTGCAAGTATTTGGGTGTGGTTGGAAATGAATGAATTTACAGTGAACAATGAATGAAATATGATTAGAATGAATAGTATGGAAAACTAACTGTGATGAGTAACTTCCCTCTGTGACACTGCTAGATACTTTTTTTTCATTACAATAAAAAAAATACTAAGAGCAATAAGAAACAACAATACACACACAGAAAGAACCACAATGAGTAGATTATATGTTCCACTTCTGCATTCAGCATCAGATGTCTCGGTTCCCATCTTAATGGTTATTTTGCCAAGAGATTCACAACTGTTGGAGAAAGATGATAATAAACTTTGAGTTGAATTTGTGTCTATAAAAATACTATTTACAGAATCTAATGCAAGAACATGTTTAAAAATTGTTATGAAATATTCATTTACACTGTATGCAATTTGCAGAATGTGCCATCTGAATGTGATCCAGCAGGACAGTTATAACACACTGTATCACTAAATTCTGTTCCTGCAGAAAAAAAAGAAAATAGAGTTAACAACTAACTAAACAATTGGTTTCATATATCCACAAATGATGTGAAACTTCTAACACAATTCTGGCTGACATTTCACTTTCAAAAGAACAAAATCATTCAACTTCCTAAATATCAATGTTTTAAATAAGTGACTTTTGATGTTATTAACAAACAAACACTGTATAACATGAGGATCCGAGGTAAAAACTTATGCCCAGTCTTGTTTTCAGAAGACAGTCAATCAGGGCTTCCAGGTTTTAGCAACAAAACTAGCCCCAATGACCAGTCGAAAACACGTCCAATAACAGCAAAACAAAATATTCTACCACCCATTTTCTAAAAATACAAATTTTACATCACTGTACGATTTATAAAGGGTTTTATTCTTTAACAACTGAACTTAAATTGGCAGCAAAGTCCTAGTGGTGTTATACATTCAACATATTAATTCAATTGTAAATCAACAGACTTTCTTTTGGAGATAACACAGTTGTTAATTAGCAACAATCCTGGAGAGAGAGTTCTGCCAATTTGTTAATAAAGAAAACAGCCATAAATAGGCCCAATCCCAATACCTTTGGCCCTTCAACATCCAGTTTGCATGTGAAAGGGAGGGGGTGTCCGGATTTTCTTTTGGTTCTAGGGGAAAAGGGGAAGTGCCAGATTGCCCTTACATTCAAACATTCATTATGGTGTTCATGTTTTACAGTCATGATCTTCAAAGACAAAAAAGAAAATCCTACAAAATCTTCCTATTAATATTTAAATTCTGACATGCAAATAACAAAATATCATCTAATATTGGTAGATTTAACCCAGTACTGGATTGTGGCAGGATAGGCATTCACTGCGTAAAACATATGCCAGAGTAGTTGGTGGTTCATTCTGCTGTGGCGACCCCTGATAAATCAGGAACTAAACAGGAAAAATGAACGAATAGGCAGATTTACAGCTCGTCTGGGAAAACGTTAATGTTGTTTTCCTATGGTTATAGAATATGAGCACTGTGTAAATACACAGTACAGTTTATTATTTCTCATCTCTCTACCAATTGTATGTTTTACACGACAATCTTGTATAAAGGTGAGCGAGTGATGATATATGATGATGTGTGTGTGTGTAGTGGTGCCTCATTTCTTAGGGAAACATTTTCATCCCTACACCTTCACACCATTTCAAGGGCCAAGGTGAAGGTTTAGTGCTATAAAAAAAGAATTGGGATTGGGCCAAACAATTTTTTTCTCTCTATTGCACCTGCATCATGCAAAATTGTGCTTAATCTGTTTGATCATCCTAGCAGTTTTTATCATTTAAAGAATATAAAATTGAATGACTAAAAATATCTATACACAACTGTATAAATACAATTGATGCAATATGTCAAAATATTAAACCTGCAAAATAAAAAGAAAACCATGACAAGTAATTTAAAGTAGCTTGACAATCATGCTGTCAATCCTCAAGAAAACATGATCAATGGACGGACTTAAAGCTTCTTTGAAACTAGAACCCCAATTCAATATTTATTTACTTTAACTGCATACAAAAAAATTCTTTAACACTTTAAATTCTAGTTTTGCAAACAGAAAAGCTTATTTGTCTCAAACCTTTATAAGTTTCTTTCAACTGTTGAACACAAAAGAAGACATTTGAAATAATGCAGAAAATCTGTGACTTCAATAGTATTTTTTTCCTACTGCGACAGTCAATGGTTACAGGTTTCAGCGCTCTACAAAGTATCTTTTCTGTGTTTAAGGTTTGGACCCACCTGACGGAGAGTAAACTGTATGAACTGTCATTTTAGGGTGAACTATACCTTTGAATGAAAGTGTGTTTGTATTTAGAATTTGCTGTGATTAAAAAAATAAATACAAATTCTGTATTGCTCTTTAATCATGATAAAAGACTGACCTGTTTGGTTGATGTATTGTCCAGGTGAGCAGGTTGAATGTTTTATGGCTTTTTTACAGTTGAAGAGCTGGTCTACACAGTAATAATGTGTCAGAGGTCCACACAATGTATCTGATGTTGACGTGCAGGCCTGCTTTTCTCTTAGCCCGTTATCTTTGACAAGAAAGGAAACAAATTAATCAACTGTAAGTTTTAAAAATAAATAAATAAACAAAACAGTAACAATATATGAAAAGCAGTGGCTGACATGGAAGCACCATGACTTACTAAGAGGAAAAAAACTCATTTTTACTCACTGGGATCACAGACAGAGCATGGCAGACATTCAGTGAATCCATTTGGAACATTGGTGTATGTCATCGCAGGGCATGAATAACATGTTGTGCTTGTCTCCTCATCACAGTGGGTTTTAACTCGCTTTCCTAAAAAAACATAAATAATATTTCTAAAACATTCATTACTTATGTTCTGTGGAACACCTTGTACATGTACCGGTGTAATTACGTATGTTGTATTTATTGTATGCATTTTTTTGTATTTCTTATCTTTTGTTATCCTTATATCTTGTAAATGTTCAGTACATGGGATTTTTAAATGGTGCAAGAAATTCCTTGCCATTAAAACTTTGGAATAAATAATCAAAATAATAAAAATAATTTAAAAAGTTGTAAGAGAAAAGCAAAATACACGCTACCAATTCAGAATCTTTAGAATATTTTGAAATGTCTTATTTTTGCCAAGACTGCAATTATTTAATGAAAACTATAATATTGCAAAAATATTTTTTAATAATTTCAAGATTCCTGTTTTTGATTTAGAACAATTTGAATATTGAGAAATGCTACAAATAATTTTATTTCAGATTCTGTCTTTTCCTATAAATCAAAGAGTATTTACTGTTTTCATAATTGATAGTAATTTTAAAATTTTTAAAATCTTTTTCAAGGCATGAATATTATATTTGAAAAGTACACATTTTTTTCAATAAACCAATGCAAAAAATAATAATAATAATGCAATGCTGGTAAGCAGAGGAGACATCTTTTTTTTTTTTTTTTAAAATACATTTTAAAACTTTGAATGTTAGTGTAGATTTTCTAGTTAATTGAAATCTTGTTTTTAATAATTTCAGTATTGACTTCATTGCTGTTTTTAGTCTAAACAAACATGAATTTATAAAACTCTGCTAGTCTTGTAAATGCCAGTGTTACAACGTATCAGATTTTTTTGAAATCTGAATTTAACTAAACTGAATCAGAATATCTACATAAATACCCAGCTCATAATACAGTGCATTATGCTGTACAGTATATATATAGTAAAAGTTATATCTAACACACTCAAAACACAATTTGTCATTATAGATACACACACACACACACACACACACACACACACACACACACACACACACACACACACACACACACACAATTCCACTGGTGGTTTTTAGTACTTGTGTTACATTTTTTGCGAGTCTTGCTTTATATAAGGGAAACTGGCCTAAAATTATTGACTGTAAGTGTTTCAGGAAGCTTCGTCATGTTATTGATTGTGTATAGATTCAAGAAGCATCCTCAAACATGACTGGAATCACTAAATTACGGAATGTTGGATAGGTAAATCTGTGGATATTAAAACTATACTAGATCTATCAATTAGTTAGCTTAAAAAGGTCATATGATGAAAAATGAAATGCACATGGAGATTTTTAAATGACAGAAGTAGGCTATATAATTAGATATATCGATATCAACAACATTGCCTGCCCATCAATGAGGGTGAATTGCACGTCATTCATTGTTATTTATTATTATGACTATGAAATAGCCCCACATACACGTACTGTATATAGTTTCTTTCTTAAAACTTTTTTTATTTTTTAAAAAGACCCATATAAGCTACAAATGTGCAATCACATGTGGAACACAGAAAAATGTGTTGTCGCATTTGAAGGTGGGTAGGCAATCACATAATTAAAAAATAGAAAAATTTTGCTACAGTTAAAATGCTCATTAGTAGAGAAGATAATGAAACAGCTTGACTTACCTGGATCACACATTGGGCAACACTCTCCATTAATTTCATATTCTGCATTATTACATCTTGCTCTACTAAATTCAATGTTTATGGTGAAAAGGAGAGGTAGTACTGTTGATAGATGAATGAAAGTATAGTATGTGTACATAATATCACTGGTCAAGTGGACATAATTTTCTCATCTTCTTTTCCCTTTAATTACCTGGAAAAGAAACATGTCAAATAGCTTTCAGAATAGAAACACAAATCATTTAAATAACTATTTACCACACATTTAACAGCTATCCAAAGATGAACAAGTAAACTTATTATTATTAACATGGATGTAAAGATTGTAAATGTAAATTGGTTGTTGTCTTAGTACTTTTTGTAATTTTAAAAGTATTAATTCCCTTCTGTTATTTGTTCATGCACTGTCAAAAACAAAAAAAGAAGAGAAATACAGTCATGGCATTACTAAAAATGACTACTTTGATGCTTGTTGATGCTCTTGGTGATGAACTTATGATGTTAAAGAGGTCTGACTAGTCCATGTGCTAAACAGCAAAGCTAGACTTCATTGCATAGTTCCGAAATGTTGCAATAAGTTCAGCTGAGCTCTTCAGCATTCTCTGCATCTAAAACTTTTTTTTTTAAATCCTGTTTGACTTTCACATGCACATCAGGGTTACTTAAAAAGTAATCATATACTCATAATGTAAATTGAATAATTGAAAATGAAGTTATAGAAAGAGTATACACAATTAAGTTTCTTGATGTTGTATTGGATCATAAAACTAGTTGGAAACAGCAAATAAATATTGTGATATCAAAACAAAATTGTAAAAACTGTAGCAATAGCATATGGAGCAAGATTTATCCTGTACAATAAATCAATGTAATATAACACACTTGTGTTGCCATATTTAAGTTATTGTGTTGAAATTTGAGGGAATACATATAAATCTAACTTGCGATCCCTATGTACAATGCAGAAAAAAGTCACGAAACTGATAGAAAATGTGGGATATTTGGAGCACACATATCCTTTATTTTTTTAAATTGAAGATACTTAAGTTTAGTGATTTGGTTCAATTTAAAACAGCACAATTTATGTTTAAAGCTAGGAACAAATTACTTCCGAAATGCATACAAAAGTTTTTTGAAGAAAGACAAGGGGGATATAATCTTAGAGAAATCTGAATCTGAAAAAAATTGTGTATGTCTGTATAAGGTGTGAAATTATAAAACAGTCTGGAACAGATTCTCAAACAATGTCAGGATATTAATAAATTTAAAAAGTATAAGCATAAATATATATTATTAAATAAATATAATGAGGAATAGAGGTGATTGAAAGAGAATAAAATAAGAAAGGTATGATGGAATTTCAATTAATGGCTGTTTGCAATGCTGTGTAATTTTTAGGTGTATGTTATAAAAAGTAATTGTACAAATGGAATCAAACATATAGAACGTCAAAGATACCAAAAGAATAAAATATGTATCATGCAAAGCTCATATGTCTCTCATGTAAAAAAAAAAGATAAGTAAAAGAAGAAATCAGTTGAATAAACAATTGTTTTGTGTGGAAATGGGTTGGGGAAAATGATAGTTGTGCTTCATCTGATTCCCGCTCCATTTCGACCATGTTGAAATGTGTTTTGTTTAAAGAATTGTTTTGTGTATGATTTTTTTTTCTACTTGAATTAAATGAATAAAATCGGGGTCAAAATATAATAAACAAACAATAATAAATAAAATCTATACAAAAATATATATTGATGGATAGATAGAGAAAAGTCATTTAAATAAAAATCAAAATATTTATAAACAATAAAGATATAATTCTTTAACAATTTAAATCAAGACACTCCACCACCTTTTTTGCGCCGGGAAAACCCCCGGACAGACAGACATAATTTAAGTAAAAAATCAAATAATTTTTAAACGAAAACGGTTTCGTTTGAAATCAATTTAAATCTTCACTGTCTACAAATATAATAACCTACACGTGCGGTTACGTGCAGTGTTGGCTGGTGGTTAGTGGGGCGCAGTGTTTTGATGTTTTCAGTGGTTGAAAATTAGTTAAATCAGGACAGAAGCATGAATGCGGTTTTGATCAAACAGATAAGATTTTCAATTTCAATCAGACCATGAGATTTATTTAACCTTTAGCGAGCTGTATATTGGTACATTTTGTGTATATACATTTTGATTCCAGTCATTTATACAAACGTTACTTAAATTAAATCAAATAATACTTTATGCAGAAACTTACACAGATAAGATACATCTTCCGCAGTCGAAATTCAAACTCTTCTTCTTATTGTAAGGTTGGCAGCGTTTTGGTGCCTTACCGCCACCTTCCGGTCCGGAGTGCGGACCAGAGCCCTCAACTGCATGCTCAGACTGTATAAAATGAGGAGGGGGAGAGTGCAGCCTTGGATCCAGGCTGATCGATCTACGCCTAAATTTACGCTTCGCCCAAAGCAGTTTTACGGCCTGGGCAGTTTTACACCCAGGGTTCCTGATGCGTCCAGTTGGGGAAGGCAGTAACGTTATAGTGTTATTACAGGCTTTTAGAGGAACTTTATCATAGCACCAAATCAAGCACGACACGATAAAGTGGTATGTTAAATACGTGTTTAAAACATTAGCAAACATGAAACTTAAACATTTTTAATTAGTTTAAGGTCAATGTCAATACGTAGACAAATTGATGTAATAAAACAGCAATGTGTTAGTTTGACTCACTTTTAGCTAACTATGTGCAAGCTAGCTACATGTTCTACATCTCACTTTCTTATGTTGGCTAATTGTCTTTTACTTTTTTTGTCTGTCTTTAGCTTTTCCTGGAAAGATATTTTTCTAACCTGTTCTAATCCTCTTATTTTTAATAATTTCATATTTTCGAATAATTAAATAGTGCATTTTGCATCAACGTTAGAATGTATATAATTGTCCAAAAGAGAATTTAACTCTGCACACCCACAAAAAATACAAATATGTTGTGCAATTTTTTTTTTTAAAGATATATATTTTCACATAGATTAGACAATACACTAGCGTGGTCTGAGTTGTCAGCCAAGTCTACACAACAACCACACTGCATTATTCCTCCAAACTCGACTTTCTTAAATTTATTTTGAAATAAATCTAAACAAATCTTAAAAGATCTAAAAATTGAATTGATTTCATTTTAAATTTTAAAATGGCATTGCATTCAATTACATTGAATATAATGCAATCATGTTCTTAAACAATTTAACTATCATATATCTATAAATGCATAGAGAAGCTCACAATTTCAAAGGGTCCACTAATTTTGTTCATGTACAGTAGCTATACAGTACATTCTATATATTAGCATGAAAGTTTTTATTGCACATGCATTCATATTGTTTATCACTTATGGTTTCAGAATGTTTATAGTAACAATTTGTTACAAAGAAAGTAATTAAATAGGTTAAATATGGGGAAGTTAGGATCACATTTTTTAGCTGCAAATAACAAAAAATAAATAATAATGACTTAGTCCTTTTGTTATACCCTAATCTGTCAACATATCCTGAGAGATACAACTCATAAAATTCTTAAATCATAAATCAAATATATATCCAAATATATATATATATATATATATATATATATATATATATATATATATATATATATATATATATATATATATATATATATATATATATCCAAATATATATATATATAATATATATATATATATATATATATTCTGATATGTTTTGATAGATCCAGATAATACATAAAATGGCATGACATGCTTTTTTAAAATTTTTGTTTAATTATTTATTGCTTATTTTCAATTTTTTACTGTTTCTGAGGATTGAGTTTTTAGATATTTGGTCTGGAAACAATTCAGAAACTCAAGAAAATGATTTTTGCAGAGTATTTATACATAACTTTATTTATTTATTTATTTTTCAGTGAGCGTAAAGAATTGGATGCAAGGATTCAGCCTCATTTAAAGAAAACCGGCAATTTCTAGTGATTTGTTGTCAATAAATAAATGCCTACAAAAATAATGTTGTCTGGGTATTTGTTTGTCAGGTCCTTGGAGTTTTAGAAAGTAGCGAATTGTTTGTCTAAATGTTCTGCAGCTGTCTGGTGGTCAATACCACTGCATTCTCATCAAAGCATATCAATAATCCATATTACACTGTATTGTTTGATTAAAATTTTGTCATTTTCAGAATGCAACTTTATATATAAACAATACAACAAAATGCTCTATATGAAAACGTATAACTAGGCTACAATTAACCATTACACTATCCAACTATTTGTGTTTAAAATTTTTCTAATTAAATGAATCTAAATTAATTTGCAATTGGGCTTTTGTATATCTGAAATTATTTGTTGAGTGTATTAATTGTGCATATTCTATAGTGTGTATAAAACACACTTTCTAATACATCAACTTAGTGTTTTTATTTAGCGTGCTATAATTAAAAATATATTTATGTACAGGACATTTAAAAAAACTGTAAGCGTTGACTTCAAATGTTTAGTATTTGCCCATGTATCTTTCATTCCCCCTACTGGACGCATTAGGAACAACAGGGTGACGCCTGCACTTCCTATCGTTTTCTCAGACAGTGCCACCTGCTGTTTGAAAGGTCGACTAACCTGAATTCAGCTGCTTAAAAATTGTAACTTAAACAATTTGATTGAATACATTGTTATATAAAATATTAAGCATACTAGATTTTGATTTAATGCATTAATTCTGTTGTATTTTATTAATTGGAATTGTGAATAGATTTTGTTCAGTTATTTCAATAATTTTAGACATTTATTGTTTGTTTTCTAAGGATTTATCACTCTTTCATATTGAGTTGAGTGAATGAATATTATCTTCATATGCAATAAATTTCTTCACATACAATAAATTACAGTATTCTGAGTAATTTTCTTACAACAAACTTTTTCTTGAGGTCCTACAAGTCATCAAGCTGTAAATAATGCAGAGAAAAATTGTAAAAAATAATAAATGCATTACTAATAATTGTTTTTACGTAGAAAATAACATCAAATAAATGATTTACATTCTTGTTGGGGAGATTTTTCATTTCTCAAGCAAAAAACATGAAAATATCTGCAGAACTTGGTGCATTGTATTAGTGTTGGCAGAGACCCCCTTTTTAAATTGTAATATCTATCTGGGGAAAAATACATATCACAAACTAATTATTTTTGCTTTAACCAAAAAGAACTCATATTGTAAATTCTATACAGAATAACTGATATTTTGATTTCAAAAAACTTATTTGTAATTATTACAGAACTTATTAACAATTGTTAAAGTCTTATTGTGTTACTGTTATTGTCTTTGGTAGCCCTTTCAGATAGATAATAGTAATATGTACAGTAGACCTACATAGTACAAAAATATGCTACAAATTGCGTTATATATTATACATTTTATTTTAAAACTTTTACTTTAAAGTTTTTAATTTAGCCAGAAAACATTGCTAGAAAATTGTCCCAGAATATTACATTAACATCCTGAAACATTTTAACAAATCAAACACTGAAATAATTGTTTGTTAGTGTAATATTTTACACCACATTGATTTATGCCATAAAACCTGGTCATTTTCAGGAATCGCTTTAATAATTGCCCCATACACATACACACACACACACACATACATACTTACAAACACACCCCTTTCCCCCTACTCCTATGTAATAATAATAATCATAATAATAACCACCACAATATTATTACTACTACTTTTACTTCTACTATACTCCTAATGCTTATTCATATTTGACTCTCTTCCTTTTACCTTCTATTATAATTAAAATTATTTATTTATATATGTTATATCCTATCGTAAACACCAGTTTCCTTCAAGAACTTCATAAGAATTCTGGTCTGTACCCTGTCCTTTGCACTCAGTAAACCTTTTAATGTTATTTCCTGAATCGCTATCTCCCTTAGATCATTTCTCATTTCCTCCCTCTGTTTCATACCTGCATTTTAGAATCACATGTTCTACTGACTCCTTTTCACTACAGTCCTCACACAGTCCAGTTTTATGCTTCCCTATCAATTTAAGTGTTTTATTTAATAAACGATGACCCAGTCTTAATCAAGTTATCACTATTCCTTCTCTCCGGTTACCACTACTGACTCTTTTGTGTTTAAAAACCGGTTGAATTTGATACAAATGCCTTCCTTTCTTTTCTCTGTCCCACTTCTCTTGCCACTTTTGATTTATTCTTAGCCATAGTAGACTTTTCACTTGTGCTCTACTCACCCTTCTTTGCATTTCTACATTTTCTTTTGTTAACGCCCTATTTGCTAATCTATCAGCCATTTCATTTCCAATTATCTCTTCATGACAAGAAACCCAAACTTCACCTCCTTTCCCCGACTTGTTATTTTTTGTTGTACACTGGAGTAGTGAAAACAAAATATATTGTCGACTTTTTGAAGAAAATGACCTTAGACTTGCAATAGCTGATGCGGAGTCTGAACATACCCAGACTTTGTCCCGCCCCGTCGTATTACGGAACCCCGGAAGGGACGTAGAAGAGGAGAAAAAAATGGGTGGGTGAAAAAAAAATAATGGGTGAAAGAAAAAAAAAATGAGTGGGAGGAAAATATATATTTCTAAGTTTTTTGCGTTCTCTCGCAAAGTTTTGCGTTCCCTCGCAAAGATGTTTTGCGTTCCCTCGCAAAGATGTTTTGCGTTATCTCGCAAAGATGTTTTGCGTTCCCTCGCAAAGATGTTTTGCGTTCTCTCGCAAAACTGTTTCTCCACAAACACTTCCTGTTCACTGCACTCACGTAGCCCTCCCGTTTTTGCTGAAATTCTCCCATATTTTACCATTCTACCCTACTTTCTTTACATTACTGTGCGCTGATTGTCGCCTTTCACTTTGCAACCTCTGAACCAGTGAATGCATGTTTAAGCGCTGACTGACAGACGCGCTTCGTACAATAAACTGATCCCAGATCAGCGTCTGTACGCGCCATTTAAAGGGACACTTCTGTTATCAAACAAGTGCGCAGCAAATGAATCTCGTGTTTTGTTTAGTTTGATAACAGAGGTGAGAGGTGTCTCTGTAAGAATGCACAGATCTATAATGAAATCAGTCCATTACTTTAGAAACTGTTTGTGCTCATTTAAGAGAAAATAAGCTGTTTAACATAAAACATGCAGGATGCAGGACGTTTCATATTATTCAGTGTATTTGTCTGTTTAAACATACACCCGCTCCTCTGTAAATGGCGTGTACAGACGCTGATCTGGGATCAGTTTATTGTACGAAGCGCGTCTGTCAGTCAGCGCTTATACATGCATTCACTGGTTCATAGGTAGCATACGCACAGTAATGTAAAGAAAGTGGGATAGAATGGTAAAATACGGGAGAATTTCGGCAAAAACGGGAGGGTTTACGTGAGTGCAGTGAACAGGAAGTGTTTGTGGAGAAACAGTTTTGCGAGAGAACGCAAAACATCTTTGCGAGGGAACGCAAAACATCTTTGCGAGGGAACGCAAAAAACTTAGAAATATATATATTTCCTCCCACCCATTTTTTTTCTTTCACCCATTATTTTTTTTCACCCACCCATTTTTTTTCTCCCCCACTACGTCCCTTCCGGGGTTCCGTATCATTTCTACCCATCTTAATGCTACTAACATAGCTAGCATCTCCACTGTGTAAACTCCCACATGACTAATCCTGACACTCCAGTTTCTGGGTTCTTTGCTCTATCTGTAAATATCTGTAAGTATCTCTTTGTATTTTTCTTCAACCCTTTGGTTAAATATTCTTTCCAGATTGATGCTATACCTTGCCTCATTCTTTTCCTCTAACACAAACCAGTCTACCTCTGGGCACACATGGAACAATTTCTGGATATATGACAGTAGAACTTATTCTCTAATCCAGAGGTTCTCAAAGTGGGGGTCGGGACCCCTCGAGGGGTCGCGGGACAATGAAGGGGGGTCGCCTGGTGATTTTCAAAAATCAATAAATTTTTATTAAACCTTAAGACTTACTGTATTTTATCAATAACCTACTGAAGAGAAAAAAATAGTCGTTTATAGTTACTATAAACTATATAGTTACTATAGTAGCTTATAGTTACTAGTTCTATTGGATTGCAACTTCTCGGGTAATTACATTATACTAAAGACACAGCAATACTGTCAGATGCAGCAGATTTTGTAACACCAGGTTAAACTTTCTAGCCCATTTACAGCACTGACATACATAAAAAAACAAAGAATAGACTTGGGTCTATTGGTGTGTTTGTGCGCGCCATTGCATACAAGGTTTCTGTATTTATAACCACCACCTCAGAGAATATTGGGGGTCACGAGTCACTGGCGGTGTCATTTTGGGGGTCGCGGGCTGAAAGGTTTGGAAACCCCTGCTCTAATCAAACACTCTCAATTATTTTGCCACCATGTTTCCACATAAAATTCTCTTTTTAACTTTTGTCATTTTCCCAACTCTCCTGTAATACTGATTTAGTGACATGTGAATTTGTATACCCTTATAAACCTACCCAATAATTAGCCATTAACTGCTTCCTTCTTAATTCCAGTGACAATACTCCCATTTCCACTTGAATAGCTGACACTGGTGTTGTTTAAAAAGCTCCACAACATATTCTCAGTGCTTGAGCCTGAATTACTTCTAATTTTTATAGGTTTGACTTTGCTGCTGACCCACCAGGGGTCGCCAAACTTTTCAGCCTGCGACCCCCAAAATGATAATGCCAGTGACTTGCGACCCCCAACATCCTCTGAGGTGGTTATAAATACAGAAATCTTGCCTGCAATGGCGCACACCCACCAATAGACCCAAGTCTATTCTTCATTTAATTTTTTTAATGTATGTCAGTGCTGTAAATGGCCAGAAAGTTTAACCTGGTGTTATAAAATCAATCTGCTGCATCTGACACTATTGCTGTCTTTAATATAATGTAATAACCCCAGGGGTCACAATCCAATAGAATTATTAACTACAGTATAAGCTACTAATAATAAAAATATAAATAATATAAATATAAATAAATAAACTTCATTGTCCCACGACCCCTCTGAGGGTTCCGACCCCCACTTTGAGAACCACTGTACTACCATATTCTGACACTGACTGTATTAGAGCTACGTAATTCTGTACAGCGATAGTGAGCTTGCACCCCAATCTCTTCCTCTCAAACATCTCATTACATTAATAGCCTTTTTACATTTTTCCTCCATTTTTTGAACATTGAATATGGCCTACAAATGTTAAAGATGAGTCAAGTTTAATTCCTAGAAATTTAAACTTTCCAACCCTCTACATTTTTTCCGTACATCTTTATCTTAAGCTCCTCTGGAATTCTTCTCCTTTTTTCAATGGAACACTTAAACCCCCAAACACATCCCCATTCTGCCACTTTATTAAGTGCTTTCAGTAATTTCTTAATTATATGTTCCATATTCTTTCCTCTCTTCAATGCTCCATCATCCGTGAATAGAGACCTACCTATATCTTCTGGTACCTTTCCAAACACATCATTGATCCTTATAATAAACAGTAATGGACTTACCACACTCCCTTGAGGCATGCCATTTTCCACTTCATAATTATTTGACATATCTGTCCCTACACCTTTTTATAAGACGTTTTTGTAAATTGTTAAAACTGAGCTAGCTTTCAGTATTCGACTGAATGATCAGAGCTTCTTACATTACATTACATTAATTATTATATAAAATAAATAAATTCACCACATTTGTAAATACTTTGTAAACAAGTATATAGAGACATGACAGCTTAGCAGAGTAAGTGTAAGATCACAAAGCTGTATTTAAAAATAAAACAGCAATTTCAACACAATGGCAGATCCAAAGCAGAAACTGATTAAATGAAGCAGAGGCACAAAATTTAGAAATAAACTTTTATCCTACCTAACAAGAAACAGTCTAGAACAAAGTATTTCAACTTTCAAATAGAGCATACGGCTGTTGTAAAAACAAAACCAAAACCAAAAAAACAGTTCCTGTTTCCTGTTTCACACCTTCTGTACCTCCAGGCATGTGATAAACAACAAGAACAACATAAATAAACAAGACCATCACGATGACTTCTGTGTTTTTTCTTCAACATAGAGTTGCATCTGTTCACAGACAAAAAAAAAAAAGTTGATTTTAATAATATTCCAAAACTCTTACATGTTACAAGAAAATGTTTTCATTTCATTTGGCTGTGGTGGTCTTGTGGTCAGTGAAAAACAACAACCAAAAAAAGATATGAACTTTCACAGCACAAATAAGTGTCAAACCTGCTGATCAAGTTCTCTATCATGAAGTTCTCAATCATTTTATGCTTAAGTGGAAACAATGAAATCTGATTCTCTGTAGTTTTCTTACCTTTAGAATATCAGAAGTCATTGTTTTTAGAGGAATGAGTTTAGCTTCCTCCATGTGAACTTCCTGCTCATCTGCTACAATCCATGGAAAATCCTGTCAAATGTACATAAAATAAACAAACGACAAGGAGTACATTTACATGGATACCAATAATATGATTTTAATACGATTAAGACAGTATTCTGATCAAGAGTCTACCAATGTAAACAGCAATTTTTGATTAATTTAATCTGATTAAGGTCATAATCAAACTAAACAGAAATGAAATTAAGACATGTGGAGTATGCCAATATTAACATTATTGAAGTGCAGTACAGACATTTAAACACCGCAATCAAACTATTATCATCGTGTAGGACTTTCGCCAAATTTTTTGACAGTATAGTCTATACACACAGCTGTTTGACACTATTCTCTGCTCCTAGTGAGTCCGTAAACGTCTACAGACACCTGAATCACCAAATGCAGAGTTTTTTTTTCCATACTGTGTGCGATATATAATTCCATTAAAACAACACTCTTCCAGAAGTTCATACTCGCATTAAATATCATGCCTTTCATTGGGGGGGAAGGATGAAATGTTCCTGCACAGTGAAAGTGCCAAACTGCAATTAATTAAAGTCGACTAAAATAAAAAAAAAAAACCACATGAAAATCCAGAGGAAACGTGGATAGCTTGGTGAAGCAATGACGTTAAACAAATTATGTGCTAACATGTAAAACGACATCATTAAGGGGCATAAAAAAAGCAACTCATGTAAACACAATCATATATTGTCTCATTTGGATTAATGATGTTCAATAAAATTCTTTGATGTTCAATAAAAGAAAGTATTTCAAACTATTTAGAAATTACCTAAGGGTGAGAAATCAAAATATTTTTGTTGAACTAGACTTTTGAGGTGAAAAATGAAACTTTAATATGAGAAATGAAATTTTAGACTTGTCGTACATTAAGAGAAGAGAAAAAGCACACAAGACTTTTATATGATATCTTTTTGACAAAGTGTTTTTAGGCTCTCCAGAAGGCTCACTAGGATATCAAAGACAGAAAGAATTGAAGACAGGGAAAGAAAGAGAATTAAAGAGTTTAAAAGCGTACAAATGTTTTATCACACCTTGATGACCTGGACTTTCTCCATGTTTCTTGTGGCAGCTTCCCTAGTGTGAACCAGCACTGTGAATGTGCACCCTGCAAAGACAACTTAAAATGTAAATCTCAAATTTATGTAATAAACATGAGGTCATCATCAAGACTCAACTCCTACCTGGAGGATTGCTGTCCAGAACAGCATCACACACGCTGATCTTCAAGATCATCGCTCTCAGCAGCTGCTCCACATGAGACAGCAGAGTCTCTGAGCTGACACAGCAAAACCCAACACACTCACATGAGGAAGATACACACCTTTAACCTCGATGCAAAATCTCTGAATCCCCTGTTACTCACCTGATGGCCAGCAGCGGAGGCTGTGAGATCTCAAACACAAACCTCTCCACTGGATGGTGCTCTTTATTCATGATCACCACTACAACCTTCTCAGCCTCATTCTGCACAGTATTATTGGAAAATAAATATAAGAATTATATTGTTTATTCTGTCAAAAAGTTTTCTTTATTAAGTACAGACATACGTAAAATAAAAGCCTCACCTTCTCTATCAGTGGCTTGACACAGTGGAGTGTGTCTTGAATGTACTGATTTAACTGAGGATGGCATGACATCTGTAGAAATATAAGAGCTCAAATCATTACTTCAATTCGACACTACCTTTGAGCTCAACATTTTTGGGGCTTGGTTTCCCTTTTTTACTTCATGGAGAATATGTAACCCTTCATCAAGGTTTTAATACAGAAAACTGTTAAACTGTGGTTAGTGAAGCAAAGCCATGGTTGAACTAGCAATACTATTATGTTGTTTGTTTTATTTGTAGTAAAATCATAGTCATTTGTCATAGGGAGAAAATGTATGCATCAATAATCAATTTTAAAGCATTACCTGCACAGGTACATTGTATTTCTGCCTTTTCTGAAAGATCCCAGATGGATAAATGTCTCTGACGTACAGAATGAGGTGAATGGCCACTTCCAAAAACTCACAGAGAATGTCGGCAACAACTGCAAATGATAAAACCCAACCAGAATATTCAGAAAAGCGTTGTTTGGCATAATCATAATTAAAAAATAACTGCAATTTACCTTGGCCAAAATTAAGATCTTGCCTCGTCAGAGTTGCCATACTGAAATACCCCAAATTAAGTGCAACAACCTCGCATTGAAAACATCAGCGATGGTGCATGGTTGCTCCAGAATTCGTCAGGAGAGTTTCGTATTCAATAATGAATATAAAACGTCTTTCGGGAATATATTATTGCAATACACTTGTTGGAAAAAAGTCTTAAATACGCAAATAAACAGTACACAAGCCTACATGTAATAAACAATCCAGTGTGCAAAAAATGTGTGATCTTTGTAAGATGTTTACAATATTCTTCTGTATTCTGTAGTTGAAAAGATATGTAGCAAGAAGGGCTTTCTGGCATCTACTGCCACCTACTGAAATGGATGAATACAAAAAACAACAACTGCTTCTTCTTCTTCCTTTATGCCGAGTTACAGACCAGCGTGAAAGAAGCATACTTCTCCCTACTATTTTGGAGCGTTGTTCAAAAATAAAATGACTTCTTCCACTTCATCAATCGGAGAATAATCTTATCCCAAAATAACTGACGATATTCCAGATCCAGCCTAATTTGATAATACCTTCTTTGAGTTTTGAAAACATAAAGTTACTTTCATATTCTGCAAGAAACAAGGACTCTATCATTAGACAAAAGCATTATGCTTGTATAATTATTGCAAAGTGTCCCTATTAGAAAAGTATGTACTAGACTAAATTAGTTGACTCGTAACCTCTATAAAAAAGCATTTGAAAGAAAATGTAAAAATGCACATTCTGTTTATACTCTTTTATGTAGAAATATGAGAAGAGCATAAATTACAAAAAAGGAAAACTACCCATATAGCAAAGTGTCTCTGGCCCAGCTCTGGCCCACACAATCAGCTTTTGATGGCCCCCATGCCGCAGTGATTTACGATACATGACTGGACCAAGTCTGGATTACAGACAAGGACCAAACATGGACCATATCTGGGCCAAGTCTCAGCCAAGTTAATAACCCATAACTGAGCCTAAACTGGGCCAGATTTGTTGATGTGTCACGACTGCAATGAAACTGATAAACCCAGGAATTATTGTGCTTTAGGCGTGCTATAGGTGTGCTTTATCTTAAAGCAACCTGATTGGCCGAATTTTTTTCTTTATTTTAAAATAAATGTATTCTAAAAGTGGTACAAGATAAGCCAACCTTTCATGACCCACATAACAATTTTTAACATCTGGCCCAAATATTGTGTGCCGCCTTAAAAACAGTGCCACCTCTGCCAAGCCAGGCCTATGTTTGGCCCACATGCTGTATGCCAGTGCCGGATGAATGCCTGCTGTGCCAGATTTATGCCAAATTTGGGGCAGAATTCTTTGCTACCTGGGTATAAAGACTTTAAATGACAGATAATCTAAATAAATCATATTGTTCATAGTACATATTCTAAATACACTTGACTAGTAGTTGTGTTTACTCTTTCAATAAATCATTAAAACTCTTTTACCTAATTGCCTATGTATTGCAGCTAAACCAACATGTTTAGGTTTATGTTATAACAACAATTTGTGAGTGAGAGTGAAAGAAATTGCTTGTCAGAGTGAAGAAAATGATTGAAACTGGAAATAGAAACTAGAATTAAAATAGATCAAAACGACAGATAAAGGTATATTTAATAAGTGTAAAGTAAATACCTAAATAAGAACATATAGTTAACTAATACAGGGGTGTCAAACTCAGTTCCTGGAGGGCCGCCGCCCTGCACAGTTAGTTTAACCCTGCTCCAACACACTTACCTGTAGGTTTAAAACAAACCTGAAGGACTCAGTTAGTTTGATTAAGTGTGTTTAATTATGGTTGGAACTAAACAGAGTTTGACACCTGTGCTCTAAGATAGTGTACAAATAGTAAACTATCTGTGATAACTTCACTTAATAAATATACAAGTAAATAGTTGCAGTATAAAACTATAAAACTACAAAAGTTTACCCAGTATACTGTGTTACAAGTTGTTAGCTCTTGGTATAAATTCACTTGCAGTAGAGGTGGTTGCCATACAAAAGAAAATAAAACTAGTTGTACTGCAATGTTTTACATAAAATACGTAATCAATACAATCAATACAATAATCGTTATATATATATATATATATATATATATATATATATATATATATATATATATATATATATATATATATATATATATATATTAAAAAGGGCAATCTAATTTAAAGTATTGAAGCATCTGCAAACTTTAATCTATAAGTGGCTCTCAACAACACTCCAGGAATAACTGGAGTCCCCCCTCAGACGCAGGATGTAGTTTAGGGATTTATTTATGTCTGGCAGTGATCAAAGGTTTAGCTTAATGATCTCACAGACCCTCCGCTTTTAAAGAATGACACACATAAGCAAAGTCAAAGTCTAAGGATCTGACTGACTGCAGAGCTGATGTCCTGACAACCTGTGAGTATTCAGATTATGCTTTACTACACTCACCAATTTAAAGTTTAAGCCAGGAAATCATATCATAATAGACAATCAATCCAAAAAGTAACTTGTGTCAGTAATAACAAATGCAGTTTTTGTTTTCAGCAATTTCAGAGACAACTAGATAAAACTTTATGCTGTCTGGGAAAAGTAGCAAGTAGCTTTATGTTGGCTACTACTTTCATTTTGAGCTTAAACTTTGAATTTATATTTAGTTTTTGAAGCAGATTTAGTATTGCAGCTTTAACTTTTTCAGTTTTATTCTGAAGGTCTGACATGGATTTGGTGACTGAACATGTGTCGACCATTTCAACGTGATTATGTTATTGGTGCATGAACATTTTCTGCTTGTTTTCAAGCTAACATTAACTAGACACAATTCAATCATAACTTTAATCATAATGTTAAGTTTATTAATATGTTTTTTGCATTCTCAGAAACTATAGAAATTAAAAATGTAAAACAGGAAATACGTTGGGGCCATTGTTATTGTTTACATCCTTCAAAATGGTATAAAGCAACAGTATATTGTTTTTTAATGCAAACAAACTATCAAATATATTAAGGAGTGAAGCATGAAATATGAACACAAACTAAACATATACCTGTTACTCCACTTAAAATGGACTTCAGTCACTGATATTAACTGCTTTGTTTTATTCATTAACTCTTTGAATGATTCACTTTTCAGCCAATTCATCACCAGAAATAAATGACTGTCTGGTAATAAAGCCATGAACATATAACTTAAAACTATAGCAGACATTATTATTGCTGTATTAGATTGCTAATAGCTCCTCTTCTGTATGTCTTTTCTTTGTAGTTGACTTTTAGGGGCAGCAGAGAGCTGGAAATGGAGTCCAATGGGGCCAGTGTTCAATATAACCGCTGGAGTGAAGATAACATTACCTTACAAGAACCACAATCACGCTCCAGACTGCTTGGGTAAGAGTCTTCTCTATATGGATTTAAATTCAAGATGACTAAAAAATAAACAGTTCTGTTACTCAGGTTGTGATTGGAGTCAACATATTGTGTCAATCACATCTGTACCCTATACAGAATCTACAACAGAGTGTTCACTGGACGGCTGGTCATCATGTTCAAAATAGCAGCATCGTTGACAGTGATGGTTGTCATTTACATTGCTGGATACATCACAGGGTTCTACGTTCACCAATGTGGATAAGAACTCTCTGTACTGATAAATAATGAGATATTGGAAAGAAAACTGGTTGTTATTTGCAAAGTGAATTAGATTTTTTAAACTATACTAATATTTAGCTTTTATTTTGTTTAAATGTGCTACACAGAATCACTTAACTTTAAAAAATGACTAATTTCTAATTTTTAATAAGAAAAAACATGTTAAGACTCAAAATTAATGCACTGTCATCATTTATGACTTGTTCTTTCATTCTTGACTTGTTTCAAACCAGTTTTAGTTTCTTTGTTCTGTTCAACACAACTGAGTGTTGAAATATGTTGGTAACCATTGACTTCCACAGTATTCGTTTTTCCTACTGTGAATGTCAATGGTTACCGGTTTTCATCATTCTTCAAAATATCTTCTTTTGTGTTCAAAACTGATTTGGTTTGGAATAAGACAAGAGTGAGAAAATGGTGACGTAATTGCAATTTTTGAGTGCTATTCTTAATGAAATCTTTCAATTTAAAAGATACAATCTCTATTTTGAAAGACAATCTCATATCGAAGTGTATTATAGCTATCACATTAGTCTATATAATTTTTTTATTATAGCAATAAAGCAAAATAATATCTGAATAATTATAATCATGAATAAATATCAATAATTAAATAATAATAATAAATAAAACTCTAAAGCTCAAGCTTTAGTTAATGCTTTAACATTAAACAGGCATTCGTAAAATAAAAATCAACATTAATTTACACTTACATTCAATTGTTTGGGGTCAGTAAGTTTTTCGATAAAATCAAATCATTTTATTTTGCATGGATGAATTAGTAATTGATCAAAAGTAGGAGAAACATGTTTTTAGGGTTAAAAAGCATTTCTATTTTAAATAAATGCTTTAACACTGAAAAAAATTACCTTTGCTGCTTGTTCAAGCTACTTATTTAAAATAAGTTTAAACAACACAATTCTTAAGTTTTTAGTGGGGAAAATTAATTGTTTTATGTTTAATCCATTTACATTTGTAAAAACCATTAAGTTAATTGATTTGTGTTGGGAAAACATGAAGGAATTGTGTGGAACCCAGCATTTTTACAGTGAACTTAAAGGGATATTTCATCCAAAAATGAATATTCTAACATAATTTACTCAACCTTTACTTGTTAATACAACAATTTGAATGGAGTTGAAGCACCCGCTGACACCTATAATAGATTGTTTTCATACTAAGGAAGTTGATGGGTGCCACTAACCAGCATTTTTAATCTAGTTTTGTGTTCAACAAAAGAGAAAAACTCATAATAAGGTTTTTAAACTATATTAGGAAGAATAAATTACGTAATTTTCATTTTTGGGCAGCCTTTATATTAGTCCTTTAATATTCAAAGAATCCAATGCATCAAAGTTTTAACGATTAAGAAATATTAAGCAGCACAACTGTTTTCAACATGTCAATTTATAAATCAAGTGAAATGGAAGGATTTCTGCTGAATGTTCAGCTTTACCACTGCAAGAATAAATTAATTATATTATATATATATATAAAAAAACATTTAAAATAGTAATAAGATTCACAATCTTAGTGTTACAATATGTTTACAATAATGCATTTATTGATCAAGTTGCCTGGATAAATATAAGGCATATACAAGCAGAAATGTCTCCAAATTTTGAATGCTATACTAAGACATCTTGATAGCAAAAATGACACCTAACTCATTTAACTAATGATAATGACATGAACATCATTTTACACTATTAATAATTAACATTACATCCTACATCAGTCCTGGTCATAGATTATTTTAATAGTATCCACATCCTGCTCTTCTAGTGTTTGCTCAATCTCATCCTTCGATGGTGAAAACAAGCTTGCATTTACTTTCACAATCCACGCCGTGATCCTTTGGTTAGTATAATACTCGTCCTCCACAATGTCCATCATTTCATTTTTATCGTTTTCCATTTCAATAGCTGAATCGGACAGTGACGGCTCTGATCTGCTCTTACAAACACTCGCTGAGTCCTTCAGTTCATTCCTATCATTGGCACAGATGTTATTAGACTCTAAAGCCAGAGGTCCTGCTGATGGATCATAAATCTTCAAACTGTCCTGTCTTAGGTTTTGGTGTTGAATCTGAACCGTGTCATTACAGACAGCCAGTCTGTTGCAGATCCTCTGGGCGGCTGCTGTCCGCTGACGTCCATGCTTTTGTCTGCTAAACAATGCCTTGTCCATCCTTACACTGGTGGACAAGATATTGGCTTTCTTCTCCTGACATCCATCTCCATGGCTTGGCGTGCAGGTTTTTGCACTAGACATTGAGACGGTGGATAATCTTGGGCTGTAAATAGGAGGAAGCGAGTTACTCTTGGCCAAAGCCCTGCCATTGTTTCCCTTCGACATTAAAATCTTCTGAGGAGTGCAGTTTTGATTGATTTCATTGCTGAGTAGTTTCTCTGTTGATGAACTGTAGGATCCATTCATTCCAAACAACTCCAAGCAAATCGATGAGTTGGTCTTCAACGTTTCAAGCCTATTGAAGTTTTCTGGGATGCTATAAGAAGTTTTGCTAGATCCGCTTCTCCATCTCATCCTGCGGTCCCAAATGTCATTCTTCTGGGTCATTTTTGAAAATATATAAGTATTTTTAGTAAAACAGTCTGCTGTCGGTGTGATGTGGCATGATGGACTGTCCTAAGAGACAGAGTCGTGCTTCTATCTCTTACAGACGTTCTCTCCTCCTCTTTACATTTCCTGAGTCAGCCAGACATCTGATCTGTAACCAAACCCGAAGCATTCATGTGCTCCACAGGCACAAACAAACACTGGATCAAATCTAATCCTAAGAGTTCATTCAATTATTGGTGAATGTACATTTTAAAAATAGTAACTGTGGTAGAATTATGAGACTAATAACTTCTACTATTGATAGTCAATGATGTGCCATTTTAGTATTTGCATCAAATTGCCTTAACAGAGAATTTTATATATGCAGAAAATACATTACAAGCAAATAAAGTGTCTACTTTGATGTTTTAAATAATGTTTGTGAATCTGACCTGGATGTGGCACAGGTTTATTTTTGGAAATAGTCAAAATGCAATGTCAAAAATCACTAGAAAATTAAGTAAAGAAAGACCATGTTCTCTGAAAACATTTTGCACATTTCCTTCCATAATTATATCAAAACTTAATTTGTGATTAGTAATATGCACTGCTAAGAACTTTCAGACAATGTTAAAGGTGAATTTCTCAATATTTAAATCTTTTAAACCAGTTGTATCTTAGCCAAATATGGTAATATCATACCAAATACATCAGCAGAAAGCTTATCTAGTCATGTGATGTAGGTTTCAGTTTTTATAAATGTATTCCTATGAATGGTTTTGTTGTCCAGGGTCACATTTGTGAAAATAAAAAGGTCAAAATATGTGTGAAATAATGTTTCTTTTCTATTAAGTGTAAAATAAATGTATTAAACAACAAGTTCTGACCCCTAATTATTAAAATATTTAAAGTGATCGTGCAGAAGTTTATCATTTTTAAATGAATAAACACGTATTGCTGACCACTGGGTCAAATTCTGTGAGAGTAATAATCTATAAAGGTTTAAAATGACAAACTAATTTATGCTTTTTGGTCTGTACTGATATATAAATTATAAAAAAAATAGAATGAGTTTTGTTCTAAAAAGCAATTGACAAGATTTTTGGGTATAATGGTGAAATCGAATGACGTTTTAGTAGGTGAAACTGTAAGATTACTTGTTTGATTAAGTCATCCAAGTCAAATTAATTTTAATTAAACAGGAAACACTCTAATGTATATAAACTAATTCAAGTGTATTACACTTTTGTTTTAGTGACGGAAAACCCTTTTTATCTTTGACCCCTGTAGATGTTTTGAATTCAGAGACATTAGATGTTCTTATGTACTAGCAGTCAAATACCTTGCATATTTATATAAACTTGATATACTGTAGCATGATTTGAGTGAATAACTCTATAGCTCACCCAATTAGAAAGTTCAGTAAAACAAGGGAAGTCTATGAAAGATGTTACATTTATTTCAGTGACATGGACAAAGTAACTAATTATTATTAAATAATATTAAAAGTATAAATCATAGACAATGTAACTAATTGTTAAATTATTATAGAGCCATGAATCTATGTTTCATATTCAAAAGCTGGTTGCTTTTTTTAGTGTGAACAATGTATAGATTACTGGCATAAAATGTAAGAATGTCTGTAATTCAAACCACTTCATAGTAGAAAATATAGTGTAAAATAATAATAAAAAAAATACAATAAGAAATAAAATTACATTGTGAGAATATTAATCAAGCAGTTTTCTTCCACAAGAAATACTTTAAGGAGTGTAGATCAGAGCCTTCATACAATATTTAAATGAATGTTTTAATATCCATTTTAGTTGAATGAGAGGGACATGTGGGAAGTGCATTCAACACATTACATAACTTAGCAGTTAAGGTTTGTTATCGGATGATGGATAGATTACTGGGACTGGACATCAGGTCAGTTTTTGAAGGGTAAACCACTTTAAGGTTCCCATCCACATCTACAACCTTCACTTGCAGTACGGTCAGCTCAAAGGAGGTCGGTTCCTCTGCAGGATGATCTGAAACAGCAGTCGTCTCTTCATCTGAGCCCACCACCTCCTTTGAGTCAAAGCTTAATTTATTAAGCTCAGCCATTTTCTAAAATGGAAACAAAAAACTGTCAGTGTAAATTCATGAATACTGGATTGCTAACAAGCATGCTGTTTTCCATCTTAAACATTCATAGCCTGCTATAGTGCGCAGAGAGCAGGCAGCCTTTTGTGGCTTTTCAAATGCATTCAACCAGAAGAAACTTCATAACTGAACATGCAAGTTTAATGTATATTTCTCCATAAATGCAATTGTTCTAATAATTTACTCACTGGCCAGCTACTTTAAACCATAGTAGGATACTTTGTAATTTAAATGAGTCAATAATGCTTTAAATATATAAATCTTATTTTATTAACAACATAAATAAACAGTTTTAATTATTTAAGTCAAACTGGACCTCATTCATTCATTCACTTTCTTGTCGGCTTAGTCCCTTTATTAATCCGGGGTTGCCACAGCAGAATAAACCGCCAACTTATCCAGCAAGTTTTTTACGCAGTGGATGCCCTTCCAGCCGCAACCCATCTCTGGGAAACATCCACACACACATACTCATACACTACAGACAATTTAGCCTACCCAATTCACCTGTACCGCATGTCTTTGGACTGTGGGGGAAACCGGAGCACACGCACGCAAACGCAGGGAGAACATGCAAACTCCACATAGAAACGCCAACTGAGCCGAGTCTCAAACCAGCGACTTTCTTGCTGTGAGGCAACAGCACTACCTACTGCACCACTGCTTCGCCCAAACTGGACCTCTGTTTTACATACATACATACATATATATATATATATATATATATATATATATATATATATATATATATATATATATATATATATATATATATATGTGTGTGTGTGTGTGTGTGTGTGTGTGTATTATTTATTATTAAGTTATCTTTATCAAACAATTAAGTTGTGAAAGTAAACAAACACTTGTGATTGGTTCATGATCGGCCAGATTGGCGACTACCGATTGAGTCATAAAATGTGATTATCGGTTGAGTACTGCCTGAGCATCCCTATAAGTAACTGCAATTAAATTACTTTAATTCACTTCATACTAAAAAAACTTTAAGTCACCTTCTTTCTTCAAATTATCTTTGTTTGTGTTCAACAGAAATAATACATTTCTACAGGTTTATTTAAACAAGTGGAGAGTGAGTAAGTAATGACAAGATTTTCAGCACTGGGTAAACTATCCCTTTAAAGGCAAGTGTAAATCTGGTCTATAAAAAACATTTATACTGAAATCTAAAACAGCAGAACAGATTCTCTTGGTATACTATTGATAGCATAATTGCTAATGAAAGTCAAGTGAATGCAATGAGCCTGCTTTGATAACCGATTTAATGACACTGATTATACAGAGTGTCTTATGTCATCTTACAGTAAAATATTCAGGAGTTATCTGAGCTCTCGTAAAAGAAGAATGCGCGAAAGTGGGACAGGTCATTTGCATCATGGAGGAATTCTTTAATCCGAAATCTAAACCAAATCCTGGGTTTTATCTTCCATGTCATGTTTCACGCTTTTCCATCAAGACAGTAAAAAGTAGAATATTATTATATAACTGAACTAAACACAAAACTTGACTACAAACATCAGTAGTAGTGCTTGCATAATGTGATGGTGCAATGCTTCCGAGACACTGTACACCGTGTGTGTGTATCTTTGCAGAAAGATGAGCTCATTTCTTCCACAAGGGTATCACAGTTCAAAGGCTGTGCAAGCTGTAACTCAAATCAGTGCATTCACAAAATTATTTTTTAAAATTTATTGTAGATAATACAATATAATAATACAATACAAGCATAATATAAGATATAATAAAGTATAAAAAATACAACACGCTTACTATAATCAATGCGTCCATGACATCTTTACAAATCTGTAGGCTGGTGGAGCTGGTCACTTCTAAAAACAGTTCTTTTGTGGTCTTCTTTATCTGTAAAGACAAAAAAAGCTCTTTCTTACATTAAAACTTATTATAAAGAGCTTTTCCAATTAATGTATACAGAAGGTCAAGAATCACACCCATTAAACAATTACTTTGTAAATGCATTTTTAATGTTTTGGACTGTCGGAATTTCATCACATTGACGTAGACATGAATAAGCGAATGGTGATAATAGATGTGAAAACGTTTTTAATAGGGTTGGGCATCTAAGCTATAATGCCGATCCGATACACATCTCGATACAAAAAATACGATCCGATATATTAGCGATACCATTTGTGACATATTGCGATGCAACACGATACGATTCACACCCATATCACGATGCAATGCAATAATTCAGCACTAACTAATTAGATCAAGTTTATGAGATTATGTGAAAGAGGATGCTGTGCCATTGAATGAGTTTGATTATTTATTAACCAAGCAAAACCAAGACTTTTTTTTTACAAACTGGCTTTTCTCTCAGAGCCAGAGTGTCAGTTTACAGTAGAGGGCCATTTTAGAACATATAGCACATATTATTTAAGTATTTTCAAGATAAACAGAATGTATAAGTGCAATATCTATTAAAAATATATATATTTGCACTCTTTCAACATAAAGGTTTACCATTGCACAACAAGAATTGTGATCTAACTTTTCAACTATGAAAACAAGTTTTACAAAGATATTTTGCCACTGAATATTCAAAACTTAAGGTGGTTTCTCACCACTTTTGGAGCTGGTAGCTACAGTTGAAGCAGTGCAGGAAGCCGAGGATGCAGGAACACTGGAAGATGCTTCCACATCAACACTGTGGCGCCGCTTCAAGTGAGATTTCAGATTAGTCGTACTGCCCACGTATTTTACAGATGCGCGGCACATTTTGCAAATTGCATCTGTCCTGTCAAGTCGTCCATCCTTTTTGCAGAATCCATAATGTTGCCATACTTTAGATTTAGAATTCAGTGGGGAATAAAATGTTTGTTTTGCTTCTCGCGCTTTCTGAGGGCGCACCACTAGCTTCATCCGCACACCTGATACACTGAGTTGTAGTGCAAGTGTACACATCCGCAAGTCCGTTGCTAAGGCATACTTTATGTAGGTCGATTAAATTATGCGTCAAAAACAGGTTGACAAGGTGAAGGTAAATATTTCTTGTGTGGTTAATTATAGTTTATTGAAATGAAAATGAGATTGTTTTTAAATATTGAGAGGCTGTCTAACTAATGACGTAATGTGTTTGACTGTGGAATAAAAGGGTGGAGAGTGAGAGGATTGTGTCACACACTGAGGAAGGCATTGTACTGAAACGTTTGTGTTTTCCATCACTGAAGACTGTAAAATAAAAACTATACAAAGTAATTATTCAATGAGTGCAAATCATGACCTTCTGAATAATATTATTGACCAGATCAATGAATCAAAAGCAGTTGAAAAACCACGAGTGCGCAGTGCAAACTTCATTACTCAATTATTGTAATCACACATGTGCACTGACAAAAAACTATGAATATGACAGCAGAATATAAAAAATAAAAATGGAATACAATTTACTATTTGATTATCTTCTATCTAGACCGGAAATAAAACCTCTGCATACTTTATTGAATTTCCATAATTACCTTTGTCTTGTCACTGTTTGTGATTGGTGGGAATGAGATTACATGATCCTCTGCGTCAACCAAGCAAGGGTAGAGATCTTTCCCATCAAGCAGCTGAAGGTATCTGAGATGGAGCATTAAAGTTTCGAAATACGGCCATTAAAACGTTGAATAATGAATTACGCTGAATAATGAGCTTGGTTTTTGCACTTAGTGTTCTGTACAGCCAATGCAATTACATGGATGAAATTACACCAATTACCCACAACAACAGGAGATATTTCTCGGATCACTAAGAAAGTGTTTAGATCGTAAACAAGATGAATTTAGAACATGATGTCATAGGAAAGCAGTTGGAAACTATATTAAAATTAAATTTTGAACAAGACCTTTAGCATTTCTTTAACAGATTGTGCCCTCTAGTGATTAATCGGTGTTATGCTTTTTTGTGTTCTCTTACTTGTGGAGTCCTGAAACGTTTTGCCGCTTTTTCTGTTTTCTCTGTTCGTGTGCTTCCTGTTGAAGTTGCCTCAGAAGATCAACTGCCTTCACCTCCTTACGACCCAGAGGAATGATCTACATTTTTTTCAAAACAAAAACACAAGTTATGCATGACTACATTAAAAATTTTTTTTCAAAAACAAATATATATTACTGTGTAGGGTGTATGTTTATATTGTGGTAATGATTCTGCTAAAATTGCATTTATCTCTTAATCAGGATTAAAGTAGACATAAAATATATTATTATTTTATCATACTGAGACCTACAGAATGTAATACAATTAACATCAAGGAAACAAAAAACGTGACAAATGAAAGAGAGCATGTCTATAGCTAATTTCCATGAGCTGCACATTTTGAGTGTGGCTTGATTTTAAAAAAATGTAAATCTCTGAACGGTAAGAGTTTTAGAGAACGCGATGTGCTACAACAGACAAAAACCACATCAGGTGCAACCACTGTCAGCTAAAAACAGGAAATTGCATCTACTATTCTGACAGCCTCACAAAATTTGACAACAGAACTTTGTAAAATGTTGTCTGGTTTGACAGATTCAAATTTCTGCTAAAGAATTCAGATGGTAGGGTCAGAATTTGGCATAGTGTGGATGTGGATCCATCCTACCTTCTATCAATAGTAAAAGAGATAGTTTATGCTGTAGATAATAATTTATTGTCCTCATGTGGTTTTAAAGCTTTATTAGTTTCTTCTGTTGAACACAAAAGAAGTTTTTTTGCAGAATGCTGGTTGCTGGAATCCATCGACTTCCGACTAGGAAAAAAAAGTGCCAGCTAGCAGCATTTTCCAAACGATCAGCTGGTTAAGTGTGACGTCTTGCAAAGCAGCGTCTGGGTCCAATCACTTTATTAAACTGTATAGGGAGACTCATCAAATGGTAATAATAAATGTTTACAAAGCACTGTAATACTTTCAAAATTCACGATCCCAATATAAATATCCATGCCTAATATCCGATGGCCAAAATGTCATGCATTTTTTATAAATTGTTCAAAATTTGGTGTTTGTGAAGCAACAAGTCCAGAGACTGTTGTGCGCTCCATAATTGTATATAAAATTCACTTTAATGTGTGATATGATTAAAAAGTAGCCATAGACGAATATTGTCTCAATTCAAATGAGTAGCGGCTTGGACCCGGAAACAGTATTTCATACGTCATGACTTAACGAGCGGATTTTCTTTTGTGGTCAATAGAAAAAAATAAGTTAAATCCCTTTGAGGGGGTTTGTGGTCTAATGGTGTATTCTTTGCACAGTTTATGTCCCTTTTTAGTAGCATCTGAGCTTTTTTTAATTACAACAGCCTACATAGGTACTGGTTAATGTTCATCCCTTTTTGACCCCGCACATCATGATTTTGGCAAGTATGATGTGATCCTGGATTAACATCTATGTTGATCCTGGAACATCATATTTATTCTAAAATGTAATCCCTACCCCTAAATCCAACCATAATTGTAAATTATTCCCAAAATCTGAAGGGAATAATAGCTGGAAACAGTCATGTAGAAGTGCAGAAAACTAACCGCAAGTCTAAACTAAGTCAAACATAAACTGTAAACATATCATTCTGATTGGAATGTTGTTCCTGGAGCAACAATAACGTTAATCCAGAAACATACCCTACTTGGTGAAATCAGGTTGGCGTTTTGACCACAGTGGATGGATCCTGTGATTTTACATTCCAGCAGGATCACACCATGTCACAATGCTCAAATCATCTCAAACTGATTACTTGAATATGACAATGAGTTCACTACACTCAAATGTCCTCCACATACCAGATCTCAACCCAGTCAGTTTTATATTCAGGGTTCATAGTCATTTACATTTTAACTACTAAAATTCCATGATTTTTCCAAGACTTTCAAGTAAATTTTCATGACCTAATGTTTCATGCAATGTTTACATATGCGTGGTAACACACACACACACACACACACACACACACACACACACACACACACACACACCGGACAATTTTAGCTCACTCAATTTACCTGTATCGCATGTGTTTGGACTGTGGGGGAAACCGGAGCACCCAGAGGAAAACCAAGCCAACACAGGGAGAACATGCAAACTCCACACAGAAATGCCCCAGCTGAAGCTTGAAACAGCAGCCTTCTTGCTGTTAGCTGTTTCAAATGAGGCGATTGTGCTACCCACTGCAACACCGCAACGCCCAATTTATATTTATATCTATGTAACATTTATTTAGATAATGTTTACACCAAACTAATAATGTGAGACTATGTGATTAGCCAAGGACAGAAAAGCAGTACAGACAACTAACCTATATTCAAGTATGCAGATATCTGTTTTCCACGACTTTTCCAAAACTTTGCGAGTTTTCTGATTTTCCAAAACTTTTCCAGGCCTGGAAAATGCCATGTCAAAATTACATGAACTTTTCCAGGCTTTCATAACCGTATGAACCCTGTATATTATTAATTACTTCCACAACAGTGTGACTTTCTAGTGCCTTGAGGGCCATTTCACCTAATATGATAATGATAAAGATGAGATAAATTTTTGGTCTTTTCATTGCTTTCGGAAGTCCCAAATGTTGCAAGATTTATATTTGAATCTCAAATGAAATATAAATGTATACAATAATGTAACACAAATGATTTGCATCAGATGTCATGTTTAATTTCAAAATATTGAATTTGAGATAGTGGACATGCATAAAATGCTTTTTTTAACATAGTTTTTAAAATAATCTAAAAAAAAAAATGTAACATTTTCTGTGGGATGAAAGTGCAGGATACTATGCTTGATAGTTTAAGGTGCTTTGAGGTCATTTTCATGCATATTTATACAGAAAAATGGCACCCATTAGGTAGAATGGCCCTTAGACAAATACACAAAATACTATTGCTCAATTCTCTTCTTCTCTGGCGAATAAATGAAGCCATCAATTATGGGAATGAAGCAATATAACACATCCTATTGTCTTACTGCAAGGGGCCTCTTAGTGAGGTGCTGAATTCACTGTCAACACAAAACAAACAACAGCGAGAAAAGGACTGTTCATTTATAATTAAAAACTGAGGATTATGGGAGTTCTCTGTGTCAGTCAGCTGGTGGCTTTGAAACCAGATTCCCTCCTTTGATAAAAAACGTATCGACAAAGGTTATTAAACATTCATTGCTGCTGCATTGTTTGACTGTTATGCAACTAGTGGAGTTGTTCTGATTGATTTGTGTAACACCCAAAAAAAAAACGAGACCACCAATAGTCAAGACCATTTAATTACGCTGAACTAAGTATATATTATAAATGTGAATAAGAAAACAATTAAATTAGAAAACTTTCCAATACCTTCAGTGTATCTGGTGGCCTAGCATCATACAGCAGAGGATACTTTAGCAAGCCCAGGTCATGTGTTGCAATGGTTGCTGTTGTCCTTTTGGCACAAATCTCATCATGGAGTTTGGTCTGCAGACAGAATAGCAATACAGAAATAATTATGGAACTTTAATTTTACACCTGTTTTAATTTTATTAAATAAACAGACAGATAGATATTCCTTGAGACTTTTTGTTACCTGAGCAACTAAAAACCTCTTAAGTGAATTTCCTTGTCTGAGGTTCATGCCTTTCACAATGCAGCACACAATGTATGGTCGGACATCTTTGACTGCTGCAGAAACTTTCACCGTGACGGCTGTAGGTGATTCTGAAATGTGCAGAATTCTCACAACCATCTGATTGAGCTCATCCACATCCTCTTCCTCTTTTTTGCTTTTCTGTTTCGCGGCACTTTTCTTTTTGGAGGCGTTACGACTACTGTCAACCTTCTCGTTCACCTCTCCGTCCTGCTGTTTGCCTTTCCCTTTTCCTCTCCCTCCCGCTCTGAGATAATCCAGCACTGATTTGGTAGGGCAGCCATTTACCATCTTCTCAAGCCTCTTGTCCTTCAGCTTGTTGCCTTTGAAATTAGTCTCTTTCAGTTTAGGGCAGTCAGCCAATTCTGCTGGAAGCTCCTGGAGCTTGTTGTTGGAGAGATCCAAAACCTGAGGATGGAGAGAGAGAGAGAGATGTGTGAGAGAGTGCAAGTAAAAACAAATATAGATTGACGTTCAAGAACAGAATAATTTTTAGATTATGCATATTTATCACGCATATAAATTGTAACTTAGGGCTAAACAATTATTAAAAAGTAATCGAAATCGACATTCAGAACCTATAATCGATCAAATTATTCCAGGTCAGTTTTTTCAATGATTTTCCCTATCGCGTGTGGAGCAGTGACCCTGCTCTGTTAATGCTAATTAATATTTCTATGTCGAATGCATGGGTATGGTCAGGTGCAGCCTTTGTGCAGGCACGTTTGAACTACATTGTTAATGATTGGAAGCTGCACCAGAGACGGCATATTTTCCATTACAATAAAATTATTATTTACATTAAAATATTTATTTACAAAAGACTCAAGAAATGCACTGTTTAAAATATTCTTTACATGATATACAATACGAGTTATTTTACTTAGAAAAGATACAGCTTATTTACTACTTTTCATTTGAAAAACATTGAAAATAAATGATTTTATTTCCAAAAGTGCAAGTTATTTATTTTTACTTTTTTTTTTATAAGAAAAACGTGACTGTTGGTTTCAGGCAATGTGTGCTTTAATTTCAGTTGTTCAATGTTGATGTTCAACAAACAATCATAGACAGCAGATAGTGTGTGTTTCCTTCAATTATTTTAAAATCTGGTAAATCTCTCCCTTTTAATATGCGAGTATACCTAATGTACAAAACTTGTAAGTGAACTAATATGAGGGCAAAAAAAAAATAATAATAATCGTTCATTAATTGTGATAAAATTAAATTATTAATTTAATCAAGATTTTGATTTTAGGCCATATCGCCCAGCCCTAGTCTAACTACAAACCTTTTCCCAAAATTTTCCATCAACAATATTTAAGAACATAATAGCCAACTGCCAATCTATATTCTTTATATTTTCTTCACTTAAAAATAATGTTATTATAATTTTAATATAAACTCTTACTGAATCAGCTTTAACTTTACTAATTTAATTTGCCAAAGACTTATAAAAAAAAATAATAACTGATAATTCAAAGTAATCAAAATTACAAATAGAAAAATATTCTATTAAAATTAAAGCCATTTGTGCCAAACAAATTTAAAAAGTCCAAAAGACTTTGACCAATCAAAGAATGTCATTTTTAATAAACAAACAAATATTTCAACAAACATATTACTACAATAATTCCATGAAAATAGACTATATTTATTTATTTGATTGCATAATACACTTAAACTGATTATTTTTGTGTTTACTCTACATGTTAAATTTAAATACAGCATAAAATCATGGAATTTCAGTATTTTATTCTGTTCTCTCACCTTCAGTGAAGGCAGGTTCTGAATCTCACTGCTCAGCTCTTCAATCGCGTTTTCTGATGCAATAATGCTGCTGAGGAGCTCCAGGCCAGAGCACCACAGGTCTTCTGGGAGCCGTGAAAGCTCATTTTTGGACACATTGATACTGGCGAGCTTCACACACTTGCTGAGACCGTCAGGCAGAGCAGTGAGGCTGTTACAGCTGACATTTAGTGTGTTGAGCTCGGTCAGAGCACAGATCTCCTCCGGCAGAGCCTGCAGCTGATTCACGGACAAATCCAGCACTTTGACCGCCTTCAGGTGGCCGATGCTTTTAGGCACGGAAGTGAGCTTGTTCCTGCAGAGGATCAGACTCTGTAGATGAGACAGGTTTCTGATGTTCTCGTGGATTTCATGTAAACTGGGACACTGACTGACCTCCAGGTAGTTCAGGAGCGAGAGGGAATAAAGTCCCGCATGAAGTCCGCCGCTACTCTGGATCTTTTTGTCAACCGCTGAACCCTGAAGCACCAACTCACGCCGGTTCTCCTTCTCTGCCTTTTCTATTTCTGGCCAAACATTCTGAGAGCTATTTTCTTCAGCCATGCTGTCCAACGTAACCCGGAACTTGGATACAACCCGGAAGAAGAACTCGATAAGATAACTAGAGTTTATCATTTCAAATTACGTTTTAATTGACTCAATACGCAAGTTTTTCTTTTAGAAATTTAGCCTTTATTGTTAAACTGTACAAATTGTCGTATTAGTGTAATAACCCCACTTGTAAAAGACTTATTTTTAAAAAGAACTACAAGTACCAGCATCCACCCATACTTCATGACACAAACTGGTTTAGTTTTGATTCACCCGAGTGGCTCGAATCATTTGAATCTCTGTTCAAAGGAATCGCTTAACATACCACAAAAAAGGTTCCGTTGTATTTCGGAATTTCAGTTTTTGGATATTATTATTATTATTATTTTAACTAATAAAACAATATTTAATATCGTTCAGAATATTTCACTGCATAAACATTCTTCAAACAGAGTAGACTTTTTGGTTAACAAAAGTGCTGCGTACAGACGTGAACGAGAACGATTCATTCATCCTAAAGATTTGTTCAGAAACAGCGGATTCAGTCTAGAACGATCGAAATAACCTGCGCATGCGCACATGCCACAGTTGTCAAACGGTGGTTATGGAGATGAATGTGGGCAACTGCTATATTTGGGTAAACGACTTTGTAATTTCATGTGCTAAATAGAAAATGTTTAAACTGCTAATAATTAATCGCTCTGAATTGTATCTGGCTAACGTTTAGTTTGTGGGTAACGTTAAGATCCTAAGTGCTGTTTTGGAGGAGTTGTTGGCGTAATGTGTTAGTGTTTGGTTAACGTTAGCCCGATTGCACGCTAATGCTAAACTCTTTACATACCAATCAATTTCGATTAAGGTCTATCTTAATATGCAGCAAAGCTATAAGCACAATGTGCAATATGTAAGGGTAGACTGAAATAAGTATTAACGTACAACAGGTAGCTACTAATTAACGTGGCAACTTCATGCAGCATGTTTAAGAAGGACAAATGCTATGTAAATAAGGTGTATTCTCTTAATAAAGTTCGTTGTCGTTAGTTTTTTTTTAGATTATTCTTTATCTCAGCCCAAAGATAATTATATTTTTCATATAACTGTATCAAAAGGGCTTATTTGTAGCATGTAAAGGAATGTAACTTACCACAATAAAGAATTTTTTTCTAGATTGCCAGGTTAATTCAGTGTGTCTGGAATGCTTTGGGATATTAAAGATCATGTTGTGTTTGTCCCCATCAGAGCTCAGGACTGGGATGCCTCATAAGATAGGCTTCTCTGTGATCAGCTGGTCTGGTCATGAAGGAAACTACAATGCCAAAAAGCTGATGGTCCATGCGCCCACCGTCAGTGGCTGGAGATCTACTAGGTTAAAGTACTTTATATTTCGTTTGTCAGGATATATTTTATATTCTCAACCCAGGCAGGTGTAGCGGTACCCAACATGATTTATGAGGGATCACAAATTACAAAGCTGAAAGCTCACACAAGTTTAAAGTCTGGAAGGAATGAAAGAAATACCAGTTTGATTATAAACCATGATATAATTTCAGAAAGATTATTACATTATTATATCCAGGTAGTTTCACATGTTTATTATCATCGACTGTATATTTGATTACTGGAATTAAAAAGCATTTAGTAAATATTTGAGTTTTTTTATGGCATTTCCATTTTATTTTTTTCTTTGTATTCCATAGAAAGTAAAATGTCTTCTTTACAGTATTTACATTTTCATTCAGACTGTCTGCAGCTTTTGTTCAGACAGTACATAAGTTAATCTGAGCTTTCATGGACTGTTGTAAATATTAAACTGCTGCCCGAAAAAACAAATATGTTGCGTTTTTCAAAACCGAAGTGTATGCTTGTAATACAGTGTATTCATGTTAAAATACGCAGAACACTCCATATTCACAAACTTCTTTATAAAAACAGAGCCTTGTTTTATTGTCTGCAATTTTCATTTTAATTTTAAATAATTAATTATTTTTTTATTGTCACTTTAATCCTTTAAATCTTGCTCTTTCTTTGTTTCTTTGCCGTTTGTCAAACAGTGTTTGTGTGTTAATGTTAAAATAAGGTTCTTTTGGAAAAAAATAGGAACCAATTTTTATATTTTAAAATGATGCTTTTACAATTAGGATAAATTATTTTAAGTCTTTGTAAATATAAAAGCTTTTTGATGAGCTGTTAATTATTGCCATAATAGCTGGTTATTAATTAAAGTGGTATTTACTTTAATGTTGTATCTATTGTGTGTAGGTTTTGTCCATTCCCTCAGGAAATAATTCTGCAGTTGGCCGAGAGATGCCGCATCAGGAAACTCCAGCTCCTGGCCCATCAGTACTTCATCCCGTCCAAGGTGGAGTTCCATGTTGGAGACATGCTGCCTGAGTCCAACTCAGCCCAGCAGGCTCACAGTCTCCATAGACTGGGGTGAGCTAAGAACTAAGCATCACTGCTCTTTTTTATTTTGGTCAATCTCAACAGTTAGGGTATATTAATTATATAACATTTAATCACACATTAAGAAAGACATCTTGCTGAAATATCACTGAAACGAATGAGTTGCCTTTTCCAGGTATGTTTCTCTCTCTGACAATGAGAAGACTGGGTTCAGAGCCAGAGAGCTGAAGTCAGTTCATGTTGATGCTGTTGGGTCTTTCCTGAAGCTTACCTTTCACAGAAACCATGTTAATCAATACAATGTCTACAATCAGGTACAAACTGGTTTATGTGGGCAATTGGAATGCCTTTGTTTATTGTAAAATATAAGGATGTCTTCTCACATTCTTTTCTATGTTGTAGGTTGCGTTGGTGGCTCTAAATATTTTGGGTGACCCTATAGATGGAAGTGACATTGGAACAACAGTAAGTAATAGTCATTTGTTTATGGAAATATTCTCACCTTATCCCCCAGGTGGCGTTGGTTTACTGTCAAACAGGATTCACTCAGATTTAGTTCAGAGCAGTCATCATTAGTTTGTCAGTTGCCAAATTGTTGTTTTAAACAGAATTTGTTGTTTTTAGACACTTTTTACTCATTGCATGCACAAATAAATTTAACTTGTATCATTTTGTCAGTGGTTGTATCAGATTTTTGGTTTATCTCCTGAGTTCAGATTGAGGCTCAACAAAATTGTTGATTTAAAAATATATATTTGAGGAAGTAGAATTTAAATAGCATTAAATAATATTTTTAATATCAATTAATAATTTTTTAAATAATTAATTTGTGTGAAATGTGCCCTATACATTACATATTTTTAAAATATACTTAGTTTATATATATATATGTATATATAAAGAATGTAATTATTTAAACAATCCTGTTTAACAAATAATTAAATTGAATTATGAATTATCCTTTGATGTTCTAAGTATTCATTTTGGTGGAGGTTATTTACTAATGTATGAGGAAAATATAAAACTATGTTAAGCTTATATTATGTGGTGTGGTGTTAACTATTATGAATGTATAAATAAACTTAAAATATTCAAAGAAAAAAAAATAGTTTTTAAGTTTGTTTTGAACTAATTAAATTCTTACCTGCCGTTTTACCAGTTTTAATTCCAGTTCAACATGCTGTGGCCATTGCAAGTGATATTCTAATATGCAAATAAATTTTCAGGAAAACAATTATTATTAAAAAATACCAATAGCTAGATGGAGCAGCGTCAATTTATTTGATATATTTTCTGGGATGCATCAAATTCATTTTGTGGTTTGAGGTTTAAATGTCTCACATTTTAGTTAGTATATCAGTAGTACCCGACAGGCATTTTTTTCCATATGCTGTTGTTCTTAAGGAGGTCTAATGGCTTGTGCTCAGTGGTGGAATGTGGATGTGTGTAATGTGAGTCTGAGCTCCATAAGCACAGCAGAGCTTCAAATCAGATCACTCATCAATATATCCGCATCAGCCTTCCCCCATCTCCAGTTCACTCTCTCCCCCTTCTCTTTTTCTCATGCTCTCTTTCTCCTCTTACGTTCACCTTGTCCCCCCCCCCTTTTTTATCCTCCATGACTTCCTCTCTCTCTCGTCCTCTCCCACCTTACTAACAATCTCTGCATTGTTAATCTCTAATCCTTCTCTCTCTCTGTCCAGTTTGGAGTCTCTTTGTGTTATCCAGGACTCCGGTGATAATACGTTTTGGTTCACAGGGAGAAATCAAGATATTTAACCTTTGTTTGTTGGGTAGAGATTAATAGCCAAAAGACATTTGATTCAAAGGATGTGATGCATATTTAGGTTATTCTAGTCAAAATTTGCCCTTTTGAGAACTTAAATCCTTTAAGAAGTCTCTAATTCTGTAAAACTGAACATTGTTATTGCAATATTCAAATTAGCCTTTGATCTTTCAGTGTATTTAGTTTATTATTTCTGTAATGATAATTAATATTTTTACAGTTTTTAACTAGGCCTTTCATGGTAATCAATATACTGACTTATCACACAGCACACACACATGACCTAAATATTTTTGGTGATGCTATATATTTCGCCCATGCATAAAAGTCAATGCATAAACATCCATGCAATAGCAACATTTTAGCTGTTTGCGCAACCTTAGTCATTTCAGCCAATCTCTATTGGAGATGTCAGTGTCAGCATTTACTCTTAAGTATTATAGTATTTATCTAAATACCATTGTTACCTTGCACTTTTTTGTTACAATTTATTATTTTTATTCATGATGTAACTTTTTTTCAATGTGATTCTCATGCCTAATTATTAAATTGTTAAAATTTCCCACACGTACTGCAAATTCACTAGTATCCTTTAAACGAGAACTAGAAACCCATCTCTTCCGAGAACACCTTAACCCTGGTGAATAAAACCAAGACCACATGTAGAAGCACTTTCTCTCTTCCTTCCTCTTTCTCTAAAAAATTTAAATTAAAAAACACTCAGACTTTAGCACTAAATTCTTTGAGCACAAACAAGTTACTTTGTATAACTGTTACTTTGTATTATCGCTGAATGCCTCCTTAATGGGGTTTATATGCATACGGACATTTAATTTCAGCCAACCAGCCAGCCTCAGCGATTCTGGTCTTTCCATTATAAAATTGCCATGTTTAAGGTCTGATTTCTTAAAAAATCAGTGATCTTCACAGCCTGATAGATATACAATATGAAGTGGGTTTCAGAAAGGATTAGAAGCACTGCATTAAATTCCATTTTCCCCTGCCATGTATTTGAAATATGACAGTTTATTTTATGTTTGAACAACTAAATAAATGCTTAAGTCTATTTAACTTAATGTATTGTAAATACATTACAACATTGATGCTGTAAATGGAATCTTATGAACTTGAAAATAGTCACATTAATCTTTCACCTGAAGTTTATCATTAGGTGAAAAACAGTAGCTGTGCATACACTCCATTGTAAGCTGCCTTGGACAAAAGTGTCTGCTTAATGATTAAATGTAAATGTAAAATTCTTAATAATGAAAAAATATGTGTTCTTTGAAAGATAGTGCTTGTATTCTGATACTGTTATATTGTCATTCTGGCGTTGTAAAATAAGTGGCAGAAATTGTCTTAATTACCATAACATTGTTTACCGTGATACATTTTGGTACAATATATCGTACAATAAAAAATAGATATTGTGATATATAGATATATAAAGCGTTTTATTTTATATATACAGCTATATATAATACTTTTAGAATTAAATAATTAATTTTTTTGAAAGAAATTGTTTATAATAATATAGTTTTGTTACATTTGGTCAATTTAACAAACCCTTGCTTAATAAAATAAACATTGTCATGCTTTCTAAATATAAAAAGAAATTCAACTGGAGGAATAGTGTATTTGCTTTAACTGTTTAATTAAATATTAATTTTCTTGTGTTTGTTCCAGCTAAGCAGAGATCATCTGATTGATCAATTTCTGAACAGCAGCCAGTACAGTTCCTCATTGGATGGCACTTACACAGGGTAAAATCTTTACAATAAATAAGTGCAATGTGTCCTCTATGTTTCTTGTGTGTTTACTCTTATCATCTTGCAGGCTCTCAAGTTATAAATGTGAATCCATCTCGCCGCTGGATGACTTGGCTTTTGACATGTATCAGGACCCTGAGGTGGCCCATATCATTCGCCTGCTAGACCAAAAAAAACAGGTCATGGTTCGAGAGGAAAGATTTGATTCGGCCAAAGAACTCAAACAAGCTATTGCTGACCTGCAAAAGGTAATTATATTAGCCTTGTTTTGTTTGAAAGTTCTTTATTTGGATGTACTTTGTTGAACTTTGGGCATATTAACTTGAAAGGGATATTTAAATAAAACCGCAGTTGTTATATAGCCTGGCAGTAATTTTTTGGCAAGTCAAATGTCTTCTTTAAAGCTCAGATAAGCTCTTGTCTTTTATATTTTTTTCTGTTTTTGTGTAGGTGGGCGAACGGTTGGGCCGGTATGATGTGGAGAAACTCAGTGCAATAGAACGAGAGGACTATGACACAGCCAAGCAGAAAAAGGAACAAATGGATGCTTACAGACTCGCAGTCTACCATCAGCTGGAGATCCATAACCTGCTGGACATCAGTCAGGTATACATGCACTTATCAATTTAGCCATCCAAATAATGTTGGGTTTCAGTATGTGTGAACAAAAGTGACAGAAAGACACTAAAGGTGTGGTGACAGTAGTGAAATTCCAGTGATGCTTTGTAAGCAAAGAGGGCCATTGTCACTAATGTCAAAAATGTATAAGGAACAACTTCAAACAAAGCAGTTTTAAGTAGGCATTAGCCGGTATGAGATTCTGACGGTGATAACCTTGGATATAAATATCACAGTTTCACGGCATCACGTTATTGACATTACTGCTCTAATGGATGCCCTTTTTAAAATGTCTGGGTGACAAACAAAAGCCTTTTCCCCTTTGTACACGGTATATTTTAATTTGGGAAATATTTATAATATTTTGGAACAGTAAACATGTCAGGCTAAATAATTTAAATGAATCATTGACTTCTGCTGTCCTCATTTGTTTCAAAAACACAGATTTCTTTACAATTTAAAACGGCATCTTTGGAGATCTTTTCTGCTGGAGAAAGACTTCCGACAAACCGCGGTATACCTTGAACACAGTTATCCACCCATGCCTAGTTTTAAGTATGAGTTTGTGTGACCAACTTAATAAACAAATTTTTTCTTCTCATGCAAAATTCAAAGCATGCAAATTACTGTTGGAATGCATAATATTACAGATTTTGTAGTAAGAATGATTACAGTTTTAGAAGCTTACTGAAATGTCTTTTGAAGATGAAGATTTCTACAGAAATATTAAGCATGGTATTGCTTTTCAATATAGATAATGACAAGAAACGTTTCCTGAGCACCAATTTGGATTATTAATATAATTTCTGAAGATGTCATGACACTGAAGTCTGTAATGACTTCTGTTAATTAAGCTTTATATTTTAAAATATATTAATATAAGAAACATTATTAAAGTAGTATTTCAGTGTTTTACTTAAGTGTAATAATATTGTAGCAATATTTTTTTTACCATTTTATTAAATAAACATAAGGTGTGTGTGTAAAAAACTTACATATGCCAGTGTTCAAATAGATAGTGAATATTATGTTTTTTTTTTGCATGAACTTTACCTTTAATTTGATTTTCTGAATGAATAATGCAACTGTTGTGTCGTGAGGGCCCAGCTCCAGTAAGATTAGTACTCTGATATAGCAGTTTCCTTGCTGAATAATGACTGTGCTGGTTGTTCTGAGATCAGCTGCTTGCTTCTTAATCATCTGAAGCTAGAGAGATGTTTATACAACAGAAAATAAATGATGTGGACAGTTATTATAGAGAGCTCTGTTTTTGTGTGACCAGCTGTCTTAAATGTAAGACAGCTTAAACATCAACAAATCATCAGTTCTTAACATTTTCATCCCTAAATGTGACCTTTTTTCCTGTTCTTTCAGATACACAGAATGTCTGGACTTTCTGACTCTGGATTTCTCTCTCCACGAGTGGGGACACAGAAACACATGCCTCATCCACCTGACACACATAGAAAGAAGAGACAAGGACCTGTGAAGGACACAGATGAGCAGGACACTTCAAAAACAACTAGTCCCAAGCATACCATCCCCTCAACCCCCTTCACCCCTCCTCACGTCTCCAAGATTGATGTAAGTGTCAGTGTATGCCAAAGTAACAGCCATACGGTAGCACTGCCAGGCTGCTCTAACCTTAAAACATATTTTGTTGGAATGTGTAAGTTTTAATACCATTATACAACATTTTTTTAAGGAGAGTACTTTGATGGACATTTTTAAAAAGGTACCACCAGGAAGAATTTAAAATTATCAAAAATTGAACTGACAAATCATGTTTAACTTGTGTGAATTTTATCTATTTATATTTTATGTACTTGTCTAAATAACTTTTTTTATTGTAATATAAATTAGTTTTTATCATGTAATATTTTATGTATTTCCATTTTGCCACGAAATAGCCATAAGTTGTTGATGTGGCAATAAATAAATAAAAAATAAATAAACAACCATAGCAGAATATGAAAATGTCATCCAGTGCATGTTTTGTTTTCCCCCCGGTTCTTTTACATTACCACAGATACTACTTTTAAGGGTTCTTCTTTCTGCCATACACCCTATAAAGGGTTATTTGCGTTAATGAAAAACACTCTCTCTTTCTTTCTTTGTGTGTAGCTCTACTCTTCTCCAGCACAATATTCAAACTCTATCTTCACAGACACAAGGCTCTTTGTAGATTTATTATTTGTGCAAGTGTGTGGTTTAACATGTGTGTCTGGGATCTGCATTAGCCTGAGAGTTTTATGATTTACCATTTAATAAAAAAATCTAAAAAAAAACATTAGCATCAACAACAAATTATTTGAATTGAAAGACTCTCTTGCTCAAATCAAAATGATATTTCTATTTAAAGACTTGCTTTTTTGTTCTGCAAGAATTCATTAAACTGATCAAATTTGGTAATGCAACCATAAAGAGCATAAGTATTCAAATTGTTAAAGGGATAGTTCTTCCAAAAATGAATATTCTTGTATTTGCTCACCATTGAGTTTCTTTTTAAAGATATTTTGAAGAATGTTAGAAACTGGTAACCGGTCATAAATACTTTAGAAGTCAATGTTTAGCTCTAATAGAAAAAAGCTCAAACTGGTTCGTGACAAATCATAGTTGAGTAAATTACTGAAGTTTCATTTTTGGATGAACTATTCCTTTAAGGATTTATTAGTGCACCTTGATCACTTTGGCTTTTATTGTTGTTTTGGTGCTGGCCATTCTGCTTAATAACCTTGAAATAACATGTAAGATGAGAACACAGTTTGTGCTGGACAATTATGGGATGACAGGTGTGTTTGTCACTTCAGCACAAAAGAAACCTTTCAGGGGGTTTATATGACAGTCAGATATTATTTCTTTGCAGTTTATAATGACAAAGTTTTTATGCATGTAACAAATTGCTAGCATTTTAAGAACTACTCAACATCACTTGTGTTATAATTATTATTCACGTGAGTTAAAGAAGCTAGGAAGGATTTGGATGTCTAATTTAAAAGAAAAAAAGTGTTTGGACCTCATATAAATGAATCATTATGAGTGTGCATGTGTGTTTTCACAGATTAATTCTCTTCCTTATGACGAGAGGCCTTTGCCAACTCTCAGGAACAGGTTGAGTGATCAGTCAGTCAGTGAGCTTGATGAGATACTTCCTCTGGCAGACACAGCCTCTCCACGTAGCCCTCGGGCATCAGGACAACCAGAAGAGCTCACAGAAAAAGCTCAGAGAGAGGCCAGTCTGCCCATTGAAATATATGGAGAGAGTCTGGTGAGACATGCAATATTCACATCTTCCAGTTGAATGATTTTATCATTATTATTTAAGACAACTGGTCTAAATCACAAAATATACTGATCTAAATCTCAAATTTGTAAAAGCCGTTGTTTATGACTTTGGCAAAAAATCGTTTAGGTAATTCAAACGATTTTACTTATTTGTTTTGGTAATTCATTGCAGATTGTTAATTTTTAGGATCATGACTCTTAAAACACTATTAAAACAAAATTAGGCAGTTTTATTTTTTTGTGGTACTTGTGGTGCTAAAGTTAATTTATTTGTGCACACAGATGCAACACATTTATGTTCACATACATTTGTGTTTTTTATTAAAACCACCTCTTTTAATGATACCTTTCTTCTCATGATTACTTTACTGGCACAAGGGGAGGTGACAGTAAATAGTTTGTATTTGAGACATGGGGCTCTATTTTGACGATCCAGGTGCAAAGTCCAAGGCGCAGGGCAAAAAAGCATTAAGAGCGTGTCAGAATCCACTTTTGCAATTTTAAGGACGGAAAAATCTGCTTTGCGCCATGGTGCATGGTCTAGCAGGGTTGAGCTTATTCACTTAATGAGTTATAGGTGTGTTTTGAGAATGAACCAATCAGAGTCTCATCTCCCATTCTCTTTAAGAGTCATTTGCGTCGTGGCATAGCGCATTTGCTATTTACATGGCAGACTTTGTAAGTGGAAAAACTGAGCGATTCACTAGTAAGAAAACTGTAAAATAGAGCATCTACAGGCGAGAATGAGAGTAAACGAGCCTCCTCATCCTTTACTTTCACGTGTTGTTCGCACAGACATCCATTAGCCTATACATAATTTAGTTTAAGCGCAAAGATTTGTTTCAAAACTATTAAATTTAGTTTTAATTTCCAACAAACGAAAAAATAAACAATAATAATGAAGTGTGATAAAAAAACGGTGTTATTTCCAAATACACCTTCTATGCCCCATATGGTCTTAAACCTGACAGGTGGGCAAATTTAAGCTTGTTTTTAATAAAGCAAATATAAATATGCATATAATAAATAATACTGAAAAAAGTCCCCCGAGATGAAGGCATGAAAGTGGTTTTTATATTAATGTAGGCTAAATAATAATATGTTTTGTAATATTTTAATCCTTTAATTTTTTGTCATATGTAAAGATATTTGTGTATTGCGGTACTAAATGTGTGTATTAAGCAGTGTGTAAGCGAGGTGCACAACTAACGCGCTCTGCGCTGGACTATAGGCCTGCTTTGATCTGGTTTATTGAACAGTCTATTATAGTTCCCCAAAATAGCAACGCACCAGCAATGCACCTCAACACGCCTCCTTTTTTTTTAGATCAGAACGCCTATGGACGCACATATGAGCACAAATGCATTTGCTATTTAAACAACGTGCTGCAAAACGTCAAAACGACTCTTGCGACAAGCTGAAACTAGCAAACAACAATTTCATCGCATTGCGCCGGGTGTATGATAGGGCCCATAATCTTTAATAGGTCACCCAAAAATTCTGAACATTTACTCATCCTTGACTTGTTCCAAACCAGTTTTAGTTCTATTGTTTTGATAAACACAATAGGAGGTGTTTTGAAGAATGTTGGAAACTGATACCCATTGACATCCAAAGTAGGAAAAACTATGTGTAACTAATGCTACGGAAGTCATTGGTTACAATAGGTTTGAATAATAAGGTCTCTCTACTAGCAAACTGTCTCTTAAATGAGATCTTGCAAATTATAGCAATCTTGAAATCCAATCAATTCATGATTAACAATGTCTATAAAAGTTTTGTTGATGTTTGAGAATCAATTTCACTTGGATATGTCACACAGTAAAGTAAAGATCTATTGCAACTTCCTTTTCATGCTATTTAACAACTAGCTGAGAAGGCCATGCATAGCTGTTGTTTACAGTCTCACAGCACTCTGCAAACTCTAACATAGGTGAAAAGGTCAGCTAGGGGGATTCTGTTATTCTGGAATGTGATCCTCACTTTCTTTCTCTTGTGTCTGTTAGGTGGCAGGAGCCTATTCCAAGACATGGTCCTACAGAGAGGATGCTTTGCTGGCAGTCCGCAAGAAACTGATGGAGGTCCCGTCTGGAAGCTCAAAAGCAGAACTGCGGAGCATGACAAGAGCAGCTGTGTTCCTCTGCAAGAAGGCCCTCACAGATAAAGTGTCATCAGTACGAGAGCTCTCACTTTATTTTAGCCTTTAGTCTTTTTCTTTGATTTTTATCGCCTCTACCTTTTGTTTGTTGGCCTCTCCTACTCTTTCTTTCTCTTGCTCTGTCTGTCTAATTTCTCTCATGTTGCCTTTTTTTAAGTTGAGTTTCAGGCCAAAGACAGAACGGCACCATCAGCATGACTGATAGTCGTGACTGTTTAGCAGGTGTCGTGTTCTGTCTAGTATTGTGGATTATCTGTAGAAGTGATACAGCAACAAATACTGTATAAAGACTGGCTTATCTTTCTTGAGGTTGAACTTAGCTTCGGGCTTGAGGGAAAGTGCGATTGAACCGATTTTCTTGTAGTAGTGGGTATAAAGTGGAAGAAATGAATCAATTCTTGGATCACCATCAATTAAGGATCGATTTTAATTGTAAGGCTCATTATGGCATATCCTTATAGTTAAACAGGTACTTTTTTTGAGAGGCATATATTTGACCTACACTCACATTACCGGGGCCAGTCTGATCTGTTGATTTTAAACCAGTCTGATCTATTTATTTATATATTAATCTTGCGGTTTATGGTATTACAACATACCATGAATTATAATTGTCACTCAGATTGAGTAAATGGCAATATGAATTGATTTTGTACTTTTTAAGGGTTAGTTTACTCAAATATTTCATCATCATTTATTCACTCTAAACTTGACTGACACGTTTTTAACATTAAATATGTGTGCACATTCAGGGTTCCCACAGGGTCTTAAAATGTCCTAAATTTCAAAAACAAAATTTTAGGCCTTAAAAAGTCTTAAATTCTCTGAAATATTGTGTTGTAAGTCTTAAATAATTTTAAACGGGCCTTAATTTTTCTCTGTCCTAGTAAAGCTACCCAATCTAGCCGACATCCATCAACAATCCATCTCAATAAAACTTTTTTTTTCAATATTGAAAATTTTTTTTATTGCAAAGAGATCCATTTTACAAGCGGTTTGCCTTTTTTTCTTCTTTTTTTTCTTCTTATTCTTATCAATTTCTCTTAATTTCCCTATTCAGTGAAAGAAAACTAAAAGTAATTACACAATTTCTCATGATAATAACAGAGCAACATTTCACCTTACATGATACATTATACTCAATTAATTTGGACCAAAAGTCAACAAATGTATATTTTTGATTATTTATGTAAATGTCTAAATAATAAATAAACTTTTAACAATGTTAAACTTGTCATTAAAAAAGTGTATGAATCTAGAGTAGTCTTTTTTGACTATTAAAGTATGTCGCTAAGAAATAATTACATTATTATTATTATTATTTATTTATTTATTTATTTTTATTTTATGTAGTTGTGGCAACCAACCATTAGAAAAAAAATAACTGATGTTTAGCCATGTATTAGTCTAAAATTAAATTCATAATGGTCTTACAAGGGTCTTAAAAAGTCTTAAGTTTGACTTGATTAAACCTGCAGAAACCCCGATGCTGAGAGATTTTTGAATAAAGGTGTACACTTAAAGGAAACACACATGCTATCTATGAAAATTTATTAAACATCATTGCTTAAAAGCTGAAATTAAAGCAGACATTGCCTTAAACCAACAGTCAATTTTTGCTAAAAAAAAAAAAAAAAAAAAAAACTTGCTTTTGGAAACAAAACTAATTATTTTCAGTCTTTTATATTAAAAGTATAAAATAAGCAGCATCTCTTTTAAATAATATAGTTCTTTTATATCCTGTAAATAATATTTCAAACAGTGTATTTCTTACATTTGTAAATATTTTATTGTATATATTAATTTAATGTAATGGAAAATATGCCATCTCAAGGCATCTCTGGCTCAACTTCCAATCATCATCATCAATGTAACGCAAAGTAAGGCGAGGGTTATGCAACCAGCCTTAAAGGAATGGGGTCACATGGCTCCACACATGGTAGGGAAAGTAATTGGAAAAAATTTTAGCTGGAAAAATTAGATTTATTATACGATTATAGATTCTGAATGTCGATTTCGACTTCTTTTTGATTAATTGTCCAGCCTAACCTGAGTTTACAAAAATAAAAGTTCTAAATGTTTGGAACAACTTGAGTGTGAGTAAATGGGTGAGAATTTTCATGTGTGTGAACTATTTCCCTAACAGGTTTAAAATGTCACCTCTCATGTTTTTTTGTTTTTTTTTTACTTGGGTCATGTACAGGTTTATTTCTTCATAACTCCATGCAGTCACATATGAAATATTCTTCACATTGAGCATTCAAAATTAACATGTGAAACCCATCTATGTTTTTTTAACTGTTCGCAATAGCTTTGCTTGGGGAAAATAACATGCATGTTATATTATATTAGCATTAAATGTAAGTTAAGCGTAAAATACATTTTTAATGATGTATATTAGGCAGTTTTACAAATAGGTTTTTGAATGCAAATGAAATATTCTTTAACCCTTTGGCATTCTAAAGGCCCTTGCATGTTTGTGGTTGTAATGTGACAGCTGTGTTTAATTCTCCTGACAGTCCTCTGATAAATCACTCACTGTTAAAGTCATGGCCTTTCAGAGTTTCATCTAAAGCTCTTTTAAATGCTTGTACTGAGAGTGTGAACAATGTGCCCGCTGCTGGACACATTCCAGTGACCCTCTCTCCACGGTTATTTAGTTAAATCAACACAGCACAGCATTTAACTGTGTGCTTTAGCTGACCTGTTGACGTTACTCTGCACCATGTGTTGTTGGAAAAGCTACAGAGACTCTATCTGTAAATGCACTTTAGCTGTAATTTGGAGGAAATATTAGTAGTGATGTTCTAAAATTCTATTTCATGTATTTGTATAGTATATGTAAGACTTTTTTTGGTTGTATGCTACAAAGAAGATTGTATATGAAAAGACATGTTTATAAGCACCATAAAATCTCACAGAAGTTTCGATTAATACTAACTTTGGTGTGAGTGTGGTATGTGCAGTTCATTTGCAAATGTGTGAACAATGCCATCTGAAGACTATTGTAAACAAACCGGTGGACCGAGACCTCCCAAATGAAGTCTGATGTTAGTTAAGAACTCTGAGACATCTAACTAACCAAACAGTGCAAAAAGTTTCTTGCTTTGATTTTGTTTGTTTGTTTGTTTGTTTGTTTGTGTGTGTGTTGTTTCTAGTTCTAAAATAAAACAAACAAGCAAGAGTATCTAAAAAGACTTAAGTCAAGAAGCATTTTATTGGAGAGCAAAATATACAGTATTTTTTCTGAAATAATGTCAATTTAAAGTTTTCCCTTAAAGCTAAATAATCTTAATTATCTTAATCTTATCTAAAGCTAAAATATTATTTTGCTTATCCCATTGGCAGATAATTTTTACTTATTATTTCTGAAAATTTGACAATTTTTTTCTTGCTTGCCTAGAAAAAAAGTTCAAGAAAAGTAGGTAAAGTAACCTTACACTCAGTTAAAACCTTACACACAGTTAAAAAGAGGTTAAGTAGGCAAATAGAAAACTTATGAAATTTTAATTATAAAACGAAATGTGACTATATTGAATAATAACTCTGCATGTGAGTTTTAGCATGTAGTGTAACAGCTGTGTATGTCTGTGTTCTATTTCAGGTGTTTCTTGCATCTCTGAATCTGCTTAAAACGATTTTAAGTGAGTTTATTCCCAACCATCAGCTGGGCAAATCTGAAATCAGTCACTGCGTGGAACAGACTTGGAACAATCTGATCTCCAGAGCCGGAGACTCCACTTCGAGACTCAGAACGCCGGCTATCACCTTCATACAGGTTAGTGAGCAATTCTGAGATACTTTATCTGAATACATCTGTAGCAAAGCGCTTCTCACATGTTTTCAGGTCATTGGGTGCGATGAGGTAAATTTCCATTGGAAAAATATCAACTATTCTGGTAAAGGTCTATATGGCTTTTATTGACGACTTGACTGACTAAGAATCTTCATAGGTGACTGGAAGGGAATTCTTTTGAAGGCATTGTGTACATTTATGGCCCGGAGCTTTCAGATGTACAGTATTTGTGGTTTTCTGTATGCATGAATGATGAGCTTTAATGTAACCCTGCTGTGAGATTCCCTCATTTCACTGAGCCATTATCATCAACTGGATTTACATAAACGGGTATAACAGGTATGCTTGGCTCTTGAAGATCTGTGTTTATTATCTTTGGATCTCCTTCATTCTACTGTACTTCTTAAATACCATGACACACAGTGGGGGAAATAAGTATTCAAAACGCCACCATATTTCTCAGAAAACATATTTATAAAGATGCTGTTGACGTGAAATTGTCATCAGATGTTGATGGTAACAAAAGAATTACATATATGAAAAGAAAACAAACATAATTATTTTACAAATTAAGTTGTGTAATAAAATAAAAGGATACAGGAAAAAAGCATTGAACACATGAAGAAAGGGAGGTGTAGAAAGGCAGTGAAAGCACAGACAACAGCACAAATCTCTCTGAAGTTATTCAGCAATTCTCTGTCCTTCGTCATTTTAAACTAATAATATCTGCTTCAGTCCAACATCTACATTATCAGGATGACGAAGATGAAACTACGATGGACGTTTCAGCAAGATAATGATCCAAAACACAGCCAAGGAAACTCTCAAAGGCTTTCAGAGAAAATCAAGCTGTAGAATGGCCCAGAGGATCACCTGACTTGAATCCAATAGAAAATACAAAACAAAGATCAATTTGGATAAATGAAACCCACAGAACCATCAAGATTTCTACACTTTGTTGAAGTCTGTGAAAAAAATCACACCTGAGACCTCATTCTCAACATGAGAGTCATCTTTAACTTTACCGCACTGGGGTGCTGCTATCACCAAAAAAGCCTTTTATATAAAATATTTAATACATTTGAGTAGATCAGTGTGTCATTCCATTGTTATTACACGCAAACATTTTTTTTGTTATATTTTTATGTTTGTATTGTTTGGGTTTTTACCAAAATCTGGTTCAATAACATGTGAACAGGTCCTTTGGAAATAATATTCCCAGGAAAAAAACATGACGTGTTGAATATTTTTACCACCACTTTATCAGTCTCTGAAATAAAAATGCTTAAAAGGTTTTTGCTGAACTAAAGACATAATTTGACAAATGCCATAAAGTGCTTTTGTTAAAATCATACTATTTTGCTATGTTGGATAGGTATGGCAGCAAGCAGTATTTACTCATTAATTGGACTACATTCTTCCTCTATGTAGCTAAACTGTACGTTTCTAGTCATTGAACTATCTAATTACACATTTGATTATGTATACATAAAAACTCCAGATTACCTCTGCAAATTGAATGTAAAAACCTGCTATAGCTCCACTATAATTGTGAATTTGAATTTAATTAGCATATTATTGTCAACATGTATACAGATAAAAGGTTACCAGAGTTACAACCTGCAGTAGGCTTTTAGATTGTATATAACAAGTACAATATATGTAGAAAGCAGTCTCGAATGGACTGACATGTTTGGTTGGCAGTTCTGTAGAACTTCATCTTCAAACAATCAGCAATTTCTATCTGATAGGGATGAGGATGTTGTACTTACCTGGGAAGCTGAATGTGTTTTATTTACTTATTAACATCTGCAATTACTTTATTATTCGAATATTACCACATTTAAAGGGATCATTTACCCAAAAATAAAAATGTTATCATATTGTACTCACTCTTATTTAATGTTTTAGTTCTTCTATTTAACACAAAATAAGCTATTTTGAGGAAAGCTGAAAACCTGTAACCATTGACTTTCATAGCATTCGTTTTTCCTACTAAGGAAGTTAAAAGTTACCAGTTTTCAGCTTCTTCAGGATAATGCTTGGAACCACTTAAGGGAGAGTAAAAACCTTGTACATTTGAATATGGCATGAACTATCCATTAAGGTTACAAAATAATATTCATATTTATTACATTTCTGTCATGAGGGATTGTTAGTATATTCTGAAATCACCGATCACAATTATTTCCATTTGTATTATAAACTGTTTACTCAACTTTTTTTTTAAACCATCATTCTATAACCACACCAGGTACAAAATGTCCTCTCAAATTTGCTGGGTGATGAAATGAACCACATCTCTTTCAGACAGATTTATTTAATTTTTTTTGATTGACTGATGTTGGTACAGGTTGTCTGTCTGTCACCATTGTGTAAGAAGACATCATTGTACTTTTGCCCTCATGTTCAAAAAGATATGTGACTCATACTTCTTGTCAAAAGCCACACCTTGCTGTGAACAATTTAAAGTCAAACACTAATGCCAAGACCTTAACATGTTACCGAGCCATCAACACCACATTATCCTTTACATCTCTGCCAACCAATACACATTTGTCCATTACTGTCTTGGAATATTGCCTTTATTGTGTGATTCAATGGGCGTCCACAGTTTTGAGTTGTCGTTTTAATGTGATGTGTACAGTTTAAATGTGTGTCTGACACAACAATTATAAAATAACTTTATAGAAATGAGCAATAATGTAGAAAAGATATCTAAACTGAAATTTAAATGGACTAATGCATCTATCAGTTAAATATAAAATTAAATGTAAAGTTAAAATAAATAATTATATAATGTAATCCAACGATTAGGTTTGTTCATATTGGACCCAAATATAGGCTGAAACAAAGCAGCATTTTTGCAGTATATGATACTTTTTTTTGTCCTGTATTCAGTGTAGGCAAGGTGGACAAGTTAATAATAGCATGAGCAATTTTCCTGTGCTATATGATGTGAGAAATAAATCTATTCACTTTCTGATTCATTCATCTAATTTTGTCTGCATTTCTTTTTTCTGGTCAGTAATTCAGTGGCTATTTTTAGTTTGAAAACCCATTAATTTTATTGGGACAACCAGCAGCACGAACCAGAATATTTGAACACAAACATACAACATCCCCCAGCAAGAGAACTGCTGGAAAATATGAATTGAAATATTATATATTAAAAGTTATATTAATTATTAATATTGTTGCATACTTCAAATCTTGTATTCAAGCACCCCATAAATTACCATGATAAGAAAGAAAATGACAGTTCAACATTGTTTTCTGCTGGATTCCAGGTCCTATGAGACTTTCTGGTAATGAATTGGCAGATGAGAGTGACAGAATGTTTAATTTCTTCCTCCTTATAAATCTATAATTATTTTGTGCATATACGAGAAATGGAATGGCTTTATATATAATAAACAGCTAGAGATCAACCAGAGCATGAATAAAACACACTTTTCAAATGTTAATTTTGAGACTAAATTATATAAGAGACTAGATCATGACTAAATTGTTAATATTAAATGCCAAACTGGTCACTCTAGGTTGACTCATTTGTAAAAATGTTTTGTTAGAATGCTAAATTTTAAACACTACTAGATTTTATACTGACGGGAACTTTGATGGAAGTTTCTAAAAATGTCGTTCCAGGATGAATTTAACTTTTATAACATATCAAAGTGAAAATTTTAATTGAATGTTTTAAAGCATGATCACCTCACAGCTAGAGGGTTGCTGGTTCGAGCCTCGGCTGGGTCAGTTGTCATTTCTGTGTAGAGTTTGCATGTTCTCCCAGTGTTTGCGCAGGTTTCCTTTGGATGCTCCATTTTCCCCAACAGTCGTCCCAGTATTGGGTTGCGGCTGGAAGGGCATCTGCTGCGTAAAAACATATACTGATTAGTTGGTGGTTCATTCTGCTGTGGCGACCCCTGATTAATAAAGGGACTAAGCCGAAAAGAAGATGAAGGACTGAATGTTTTTAAATGTAAAATGTTAAGTATTTTTTTTTCTTTCTGTTTTTTACTGATATATGAAGTTGTTGCTGTTATGTAGTATTTGTTTCTCTGTACTGCCTTTTTTATGAGATATGAGCCATAAGTTGCTGTTGTGGCAATAAACAAAAAAAGTATTAATATTTAAAAAAAAAATACATTCCAAACCTTTTTGACTTTCTTTTTTCTGTTGAACACAAAAGAAGATATTTTGAAAAATGTTGGAAACCAGTACCCATTTAACTTAAATTATTTAGTTTTTCCACTAAGAAAGTCAGTGGTTACAGGTTTATAACATTTTGCATAAGATTTTCTTTTGTGTTCATCAGAAAATGGTAACCCATTAAGGTTTGGATTTACTTGAGGGTGAATGAATAGATTTTTTATTTTTGGTTGAACTATCGCTTTAAAAACGTGTTCTTTGTCTTTGTCTAATGCTAGCTTGTGGATTTGTTTGCAGGAAATGGCCTTGTTTAAGGAGGTGAGAGCGCTCCAGATGGTTCCTGTGGAGCTGGTCAGACCCATGCAGAGCAGTGTGCCCGCTAGACAGGCACTGAGCAGACTGGAACTGATTGAGAAGCTTCTAGAACAGCTGGGCACCAAGGACTCTGGCTTCACCCTTGACAGCATCATGCGGGTATTGGCCTAACTTTCACTTTTTCCTCAGATGATCTCACTGGGTGTCAGCTCAGCTCAGTGGCCCTCTGTTTAGTCATGATGTGGACTTGAAGTTTCTAAAAGATTTTTAAGCTACAGTAGCCTAAACTGAATTTTTTTTTATTTGTTCAACACAAGAGACACAAAGTAGACTAAGAGACCACACAAGCACTGACTGCCATTGAGTGACGTTTAAGGGATAGTTCACCCAAAAATGAAAGTGTACTCCGTATTTACTCACCTTCAAGTGGTTACAAACCTTTATGTGTTTGTTTCTTCTGTTGAACACAAAAGAAGATATTTTGAAGAAAGCTGGAAACCTACAACCATTGACTTCCATAGCAAAAACAAATACAAGTCAATGGTTACATGCTTCCATCTTTCTTCAAAATATCTCTTTGTGTTCAACAGAAAAATTAACTCAAACAGGTTTGGAACTAGTAACAGGTGAGTAAATGATGACAGATTTTTCAGTTTTGGGCGAACTTTCCCTTTCAGTGTTTGTAAATGGTACAAACCTAAATTGTGCTTTAACCTCTAAGACCACGCAAATACTTTTTTGTGGCCAAAAAATCACCAATTTAACCTTTTTGAGAGCTGAAGGTTAATTTAATTCTCAGAGGTATCATATAGGTTCTTTAGGTCTTCATTAGACTGTACACAAAGTGGCCTTTGTATGACGGAGTGGGTGTAGTCAATTCTACGTAATGTCTGTTACTATTAGTTTCTACGAAATGACACAAGTCTGCTCTGACAGCCAGCTTCATATCCATGGCACAGTTAATGAAAGGCATTCGTAAGTCTCAGCACTCATGATGTTGTTATACTTCCCTATTTTCTCTCAGTTGCAGAAATTCTGTTTTTGTTTTTTCTTTAAGCATCTGTGAAGCATGAAGTGTGTTTGCAATGCAAACTAGTGACACAAATGCTACAGAGACTGTGAAATTTCACAGGGATGCTCAACACAATCTGAGCTTTGAGTCTGAAATCCAAATGGACTTGTAATAAAACAACAGCTTTTGCTTATTTTGTATGTCAGCTTAGAAGATTTAGGTCTTTCTAAAGGCCTGAGGTCATATTTTCCTCTACATGGTTTGGTTGGATATATTGATAATATTTAAATATTTTCAATAACTATTGAAAAATGTGTAGCGGAGGCCAGCTAGCAAAGTGCTATGCAAGTAAACTTCACTTCTCTGATCTCTAAAGTTACTCTAGCGAAAGATGCTAGAGGCCGTGGTCTTTAGCCTGCTTGTTAGAGCAATTAACCCTCATACAAAGAATTGCCAGATTGATCCCAGCTCAGACCGGGTTGGGTGCAGTAGGACCAGTGGGTTTCAATAAAATCTTTTTTACATATTTGATAATACTTTTCTTGTATAGATAAAAGCCATCTCAATTTTTCCTAGACATACAAGTTATACAGGTTTCCAAAAGTACATAAACGACAGGTGGATTTTGTTTATTTATTTAAAACGCTTTTATTCATTCATCATTCTAAAACAGGAGTGTCCGAACTCGGTCCTGGAGGGCCGGTGTCTTTGATAGTTTAGCTCCAATTTCCTCCAACACACCTGCCTGGAAGTCTAGTAATCCTAGAAAGAGCTTGATTAGCTGGTTCAGGTGTGTTAAATTGGGGCTGGAACTAAAATATGCAGGACACCGGCCTTCCTGGACCGAGTTTGGACACCCCTCAGAGTTCCTCATATTTATTGGGTCACTCTTTTATTTTGAGCATTTTCATTGGCGATCCCCTACTCAATGGTTGCTGTAGGTTACATGCAGGGATGGCTGCTAAATGCCTTTCGCATGCTGGTTTCCCGGGAGATGAGATTGGCTTCAGGGCACAGCGAGAGGCGATTGGGTTTCCTGTAATTAAAACGAAAGATCTAGAGCCTGGGGGCACATGAATGGGATCTGTGTATGGGGAAGGGGAGAGAGGAAAGGGAGACACAAATATTTTTAATATAGTCATAGAGTTTATATAAAGTCATTGTTTTACATGTTGTAAATAAAGCATAAAAATCATATTTGTTTATTAGAAATATAGAATTTATTAATATTATTATTATATATGTTTAGGCTACTCTAGGTATTCACTGCTGTTCAAAGGTTTATTTTTTTTCAAAGATCTGTTATACTCACTTTGGCTGCATTCATTTAATCAAAATTACTGTAAAAACAGAAGTATTATGTACTATTATTACAATAAATAGCTTTGGAATGTATTTTAAAATAGTAAATGCTATTTATTTACTTTTTTAAAATATTTTTTAGAATAATTTTATTCCTGTTATGAACAAGCTGAATTTTTGTTTCACACGATTCTTTAGAAAAAAAGAAGTGCTTAAAAGCTATTTCCTATTATTATTATTGTTGAAAACGATTAAAGGCATAGCTCACCCAAAAATGTCAATTTTAGACCCATTTGCTCATTCAAGTATTTCCAGTCCTTTGAGTATGACACAAAAGCTATTTCGAAAAATGTTGTAAACTAAAAGCCGCTGACGTCTATGGTAGTAAAAATACTATGAAGTCAAAGGCTACTGGTTACCAATATTCTTCAAAAGATCTTTTGTTTAACAGGAGAAAGAAACTCAAACAGGTTTGAAACAAGTGGTGAGGTAGTAAATGATGACAGAAGTCAACTATCCCTGTAATATTTTTATGGGAGCTCTAATACTTAAGTTTTTTGGTGAATTTAAATGTTTTGTCTAAGTCATGGAACTTTGAATTAATTTAATGCATCCTTGGTGAATAAAAGTATTATTTCTCTTGAACTTTCAAAAATGTTCTGGCCTTTTGTTATGAATAGCTTTCTATACTCTCCAATTGCTTTTTAAATAAGTCATTTGTGTGTGATGTGTGTTAGTTTCTGACAGGTGGATTGGAGCACAGCTCTGCCTCTGTGAGGGAACTTTCCATGAGACTCATCCAGACTGTGTACCGTCTTCATGGTAAACCAGTTCTGAATTATCTGCCACCTGATGACTCCAGCACACGTAAAAACGTCCTCTACAAGAACCTTTTTGACTCGCTTGCAAAGTTAGACGGAACAACCATTAACACACAGGTAAACTGGTCTTAATAGCGTCCTTATCTTTGAGCTTCATAATTGACATGCTTGAAATATTAATGTGTGGGCTAAAAAGAATGTTTTCAGTTTTAAGAGTCACTTTCATTTCAGAAGTCAAAAAAGGGAGCAGAACGAGACGAAGGTGAGAGGGAGAAAGAGGAAATAAGGAGCTTACAGGAGCAGCTTGCAGTGCTGAAGGAGATCAGTGTAGGTTAAACAATAATATCCATTCATTCATTCATTCATTCAGTTTTTGACTTAGTCCCTTTATTAAACTGGGGTCACCAGAGCAGAATGAACCGCCAACTCATCCAGCATATGATGCCCTTCAAGCTGCAACCCATCACTGAGAAACATTCATACAAACTCATTCACACACATACACTATGGGCAATTTAGCTTACCTAATTCCCCTACAGCGCATGTCTTTGAACTTGTGGGGGAAACCGGAGCCCCCATGAAAACCCACACGGACAAGGGGAGAACATGCAAACTCCACACAGAAATGCCAACTGACTCAGCCGAGACTCGAACCAGCGACCTTCTTGCTGTGAGGCAATCGTGCTACTCAATGCACCAACGTGACACAAATAATATTAATGATTAATTATATTTGAGATGTGCTTTTCTTAATCTCAAAGTGCTACAAGACATACAGCAACAAATAAAATCAAATAAGAACGTATAAAATCTCTGCAACAAGCCAAAAGTCACACTACAATAAATCAATAAATAACCAAAGATTATAAATTGCATAAAAGTGACAGTGATAGTCCCAAATTAAATGCTTTGCTAAAAAGATCTGTCTTAAGAAGTTTTTTATTCAAAGTTGAATTAATCAGTTTTTTGTTAAATTGTCTTTTTAATGCTGAAGCTAAATGGTCTTCTTTATTGTTAACATGACATTTTCATATATGAAAGGTCATTTGGAGAATTGGATGTGCTGTGCAGTGCTGAGATGACTGTAGAGATAACTTTTAATTTAACTCCGAAATGCATTCAAGATTTGAATCTGTTTTTTAGGAGAAAGGGAAGGACAATGCCAAAGTACCTGAGAAAAAAACAGAGAAGGCAACCAAATCAGGTGTTGTACTGGTATCATATTCAGTGTTAAATGTAATTGTTTTTGTGAATTGATTTGGTAAAGATAAATTTAAAATAGAAATCACTATTCAGTTGCAGCAGGAGTTGCAATTCATACCATGCTACTTGTCAAGAAATGTTGTTCTTCAGGCTTTTGTTTTGACCTTCAAGTATCTGTTGGCAGGTTTTTATCAAATGAAAGATTACAATGATCGAAAACAATTCCTTTGTCTGACAACATATTTTGTTTTAAATAAACCTCATGAACTGTTAATGTCATAATTTTTTTTGCCAAAGTACCGCCTGTACATGTTAATTACATGTATAGCGTATACATTCAAATTAATTATGTTTCTTTGTTTCAGCAGGTGCAAAGAAGGTAAACCAGTCTGTCTCTGGTGATGTAAAAGCCAGTCAATCATCTGCTGTAAACTATTTAGACAAGTATGTGTCTTCCTCATTGATTCTCAATTTAGCAGTTTTTCCAGTCAGTGGAATCTTCAATGACTCAGTCATTTTGCAAATGTCAAGGGTTTTATCTTGTCTAGCTGTTCAAATTTGCCAATATAATCTCAACAATGCATTTGAAAAATGATAGGGTAATGCGCTAGGCTAATGGGCACTCATTTAATCAGTTTGTCATTGTACTGCTGGGAAAAAGTCTTGATAGCACGATAAAGGTGAAATGAAATCTCAGAGTTAATGATGATTATGGTGTTGTGTGTGTGTAGTCTGTGTATTTTCTGTGGGGAGAGAGATGAGTCTTTCACTGAGGATGGACTCGACCTGCACTACTGGAAACACTGTCCAATGCTCCAGCGCTGTCTTCAATGCAGACAGGTACACACTCGCACACATACATATGTGGATTACAGGCACTCTGCATAGTCTTAATGATTTTATACTGTACAAACTGTACTCTCTCCTTAACCTACACCTACACCTATTCCTAAACCCAACCCAAATTTATTTGTCTTCAACCCTTTTGGTTTATGTGAACACAGGAAGTGTCTTTATAAGCCATTGTATAATGTAATGGCCATGGCTTAATACTGATGTGTTTTCATTAAACACAATATATTCAAGTACAAACATATATACTCACTCATAATTCTTTCAGGGATAGTTCACCCGATAATTAAATCCGTACCCTCAAGTTGTTCCAAATGTGTTTAAGTTTCTTTTATCCATTGCACATAAAAGTAGATATTTTGAAGAATGTTGAGACCAGTTTCCAATGATAGTAGTCCAGTTTCTTTTCATAGTAGTTTTGTATGCCTACTATGTATACTAGTACTAATTTTCTAACATTTTTCAAAATATCTTCTATTTGTGTTTTTTAGCTTCTAATGATTTTTTGGGTGAAGTATCCCCTTAATATTTTGTATTGGTTGAATTGCTTTGGAAAGTGTGTTATTGTATTACGTACATGTGTGTGTGTCTGTGTCTGTGTTTGTCAGGTGGTTGAGATTGCGAGTTTGACAGAGCACTTGCTGACAGAGTGTGAGCGGAGGACAGATTTCTCCCAGTGTCCCCTCTGCTCTGAAGCCCTCATGCGAGATAAGCTAACGGAACATGCTCAGAGCACTGCTTGCAATCGTGAGTCTCCATTGTGGGGTTGAGCTGAGTTTTTACTTCACCATACTTGGTGCTAATGTTGGCATAATGTTAACACATTCTCAAAAACTTGCACCTTAACTAAAATTGGCACTTTGGGTTTCAGTTGAAAGATGCTGCGCCACAATGCACAGCGGTGTTCAGGATGCTTGTTTCACTCTCTATTTAGCCGTAGTTATTGCGCAGTGTGACTCGGCTTTCATAGTGACATGTACAATGACAAGTGACAAAGCACATGCTTACCAGAAGAGCAAAGTCTGCTCAAATAATGTGCTGATAGAAGTAGTATAAACTTGTAAACACTTGTAAAACAATGCCTCTCTGTAGTTTTACCATCAAAATAATGTGGTTGTTTTATAAGCGTGTGTTTTTTTTTTTTTTATCAATATAATTTAAATTGAGGTAAAAGTCTTACAATATTACTTTATATAAGAAAATAATAAATAATTATAACAAAGGATTTTTGGTTTCGGTTTTTAAGTATATCCACAAATGTTGGCTTTGATTTTGGCCCAGACTTTTCATTTTGGTGCAGTCCTGACATATATAACTTGTCCTTATTAGAATGTCATTTTTATCTTTTCTGCTTTGCACATTTATGTCAATATGCAATACATATTAGGTTATATTTTCTCCTGTCACATCCTTCTTTTTGAAACACACACCCTTTTGTATTTCCCTGCTATTTTCATTTTCTTACAATAACAACAAGGATTCTTTACATACAGATGACCACGTTTTCTTAAGAAAATTATTCTCATGTAAAATGCGTAAGATCTTTTAAACCTTATATCATCATCTACTTCCCAATTAAAATCACTAGCCAACTTTTAAATATTTAGTGATGGATGAGGGGCTATAAGTCTCTAGAAAAGCAATATATAGCACTATTTGTACCATGTTATTTGTATATAACATTATTTGTTTAATGATGATTTTTTTGTTTTGTCAGCCCCATCTTCTGATGAAAATTGCAACCACTGTCCTCTGTGTCATGAAAACTTCACATCAGGGGAGGAGGTGAGATCACTCATATTCACACACACGCGCGCACACACATGTTTGTTTTTGTGAAAACTGAATATGTTACATAGATTTCTATTCATTTTATACTGTTCAAAAAACCCTATATTGTATTGCTCTTACCCCACCCTACCCCTAAACCCAATCATCACAGGAGACTGTGTACAACTTTACTCATTCTTTGCGATTTAAAAGCTTTTTGAGTAATGAGGCCGTCACCAATGTCCTCGTATTTCACCTCCTTTTTGTAATACCTGTGTCATACCCATGTCATTATACAGATTTGTGTCCTAATATGTTACAAAAGCACATACACACACTTTACATTCAATTCATACTTATAGTCATTATTTGTCAAGATTAAATGTAAGGCTGCTTTTTTTTATATTTCTTTTTATGTGTAAAACACAATAAAACATTTTTAAATATATATATTTTTTTTATTAATAATTATTTTTAAGATATACTTTATAAAATGTATTTGACCAGATTGCTTAGAGATTGCTTAGTGAACCTAATGCATTAACAGCCACAAAAAGTAAATAAAAAAATAAATAAAAAATACTCTACATCATTTTATATATTTTTTGTTTTATTTTATATATTTACATTTTATTTTATTTCAAGTAACAAAATAGTAGTTTTAAGTGCAAATGAAATATAACCCTTTTTACTTTAGTAAAATTTATATGTTATTGTTACTTTTATTGGTCTTTTTTTAATACTTTTTTGGGCATTTTTATAATTTTTTTGTATTTCTGTTTACCTTTATATTATAAGTAATATGTGTTGTATATAATGTGAGTGTGTATTTTTGTTATTGTAGAATATAAAAGCATTTGAAATTTGTTCTCATAAAATATTAATCTAATATTTTCATTTTATTAAATACAATTTTCATTTAGCACTTTTTCAGTTAACAACAAAAACATTTTAATCATTGAACTTAATATGAGCAGGGAATGATACAGGGAATACACTGAACATTACATACATTTTTGACTTTTTAGAGTTCTTAGTTTACATGCGTACATTCTGAAAATAGCTGTAAAGACATTGTTGGTGCTTCTTTGATTCAGCATGAAATCAATAGATATTATACAACACGTTTCAAATATCCATATAGTATACTGTAAAACCCAACAGTCAGATTTATCAAATTAAATTTGTGTAGGTAACTCAATTTGCTGGACATTAATTCTTCTCATTTGAAACAAGTTTTGAACTCAGTGTTAAAGGTAATGAGTTATTTAAGTACCTCATTACTTCAACTTAAATGGAGTAAGTTCACTGTACTCAAATACTATAGATTACGTTTTAACTCAAATGGTTTGTTGCAATCGATCTTCTCGAACGGTTTGAGTTGCCTTAACTTATTTGGTTTTACAGTACTACTTACAGTGGTTTTAGTTCTCTTCGTTTATTAGGTTTTGCTGTGCTCAAATTGATTCATTTACTCAAATGGATTAAGTTCACTGTACACATTAGGATTAGTTTTTGAACTTTTTTCAAAAAAGGTTTGTTTTAAATGGTTTGCGTTACCTTAACTTTTTGGGTTTTACAGTGTATGTTTATAATATAAGAATATTTGCTTGAAATCAAGCATAAAACAACTCTGTATTTGAAATGGATTGACCCCAGCATTAAAATGAGTGTTAAACTCCTTCTCTCACACATGTTCCTCATAGAGCAGCAAAACAGTGCATGTGTTGTGTGTGCAGGGCTGGAAGTCTCACCTCATGGGACCAGAGGGCTGTAAACACAACTCACGGAGGAGAGCGATACAGCCTAGCACTTACTCATATGCACAAGGTGATCATTCATCTCTTATAGCCTTTATGAGACCTTTACAACCCCACACTGTCCCCTTATTAGCCCCTTCTGCCCCACAAAGCCCCCTATGGACTCCAAATCATCCCGCAATGCCCCATCCTACCAATACACATTATATTTATATTCTTGTAAAATTCAATAGTGTTTACTTTGTGTGCCTGACCAATTAATGCCTTTAAGTGCTTTGTGTTTGCATTTCTCATATGTTTTGCTCTCAGGAAAGTCAGTAAACACAGCTGGAGGTAAAACAACAATGGTCATTTCTGAGTCTAAGGCTAGAGGGCTGGGAGGAGGCAGTCGCATCCCTGCTCCAGCATCCAGAATGAAGAGACGCAGCAGAAATCCTCCAGACAAGGCCTCTACATACCGACTTCAACAGGCGTAACACACGGCCCACATGAAAACTTGAGTAGCTTTGCTGGAAGAGTCTCATATAACTGGTCAGTCGCAAATATACAGATCATATCAGGTTTTCAGATTTTAGAAATATTCCTCTAAAGGCCAACTTACTCTTCACTAGCAGATAGCGACCATGCTAATTTGGTGTTGAGGGAGCAGTATTATCTCTTTTTCCACCAGCATGAACTTAGAGCTAGTTCAGAGCTAGTGCTATAGTTCATCTGAAGTTATTTCCGCTGAGCAAATTCATTAAAATATTGTCTTTTTGTTCTTAAAGCATTTTAAACAGGTCTTAATTAAAGCTACCCTTTTGGGCCAAGACCCATCCAATCACCAATAATCCATCTAAAAAAAACTTTCAGCAAGACTCTATTGATAACTCTAAGTACCATTATGTTTTGTTTAGTTTTTTAAAGAAATGTTTTGTTAGAAAAAAACGTGCATATATATACAATAAGGGTTTGCTTGTTTTGACATATTATTTAAATTATGTGGCTAAGAATTAACTTGGATTGGACAATTAAACCTGTTTTCCGTGGGACCAGTAGGGCTATTAGAAAATTTTTTTTTGTTTTGCCCTGTTTAACTCTGAAATTTCATTCATAATGGTCTTAAAAGTCTTACATTTGACTCTGTGAAACCTGCAGAAACCCTGAATCAAATTATGGAGCGCTGCGTGAACACGATCTTCTCACTTGTATTCATGTCAAATGAACACATTAGCATCACTCTTAATCTCCATCTATACAAACTGCTGCAGGGGGACCACACAAAAAACTGGTTTGCTTTTCAGTGAGCTTGAGGGCCAGGTCTGACATCAATACATATGTGTATTTTTTTTCCAGAAATCCTAGAATGGAAGAGCCAAATGCAAACACACCACCCAGCAAACAATTTTGTGTTTAATAGACATCTAAACGTACACAGCTTGGCTAAAGAAAGGCTAAACTTGGGCTGTCAGTGTAAAGCCCAAAACTAGTCATCAAAATAGACAGATTAGACAGACTTTATATGTGTAGTCATTCATTTCTGTTTATGTGACGACTAGTGTAGTTTTGGTCTATTGTTAGACTTCTATTAGATGTTCACTGACAGCCCAAATTTAGCCTTGTTTTAGCCAAGACGACTATGTTTAAACATCTATTATACATCTTCAAAACAAATGCTTGCTGGGCATAAACAACAATGGTGGACGTTGTGTTGCTATTGATGTTCATGGCATCTAGACATGGTGAATTCAGCATGTTCATGTAGCTTGCTGGAAGTTGTACAAAGATTACAAGTGATAACAAATCTTTTATCATCTTGTTTAGCTGCTTTTTCAAAAATGGTTTTCTAAAGATTGTGTTTGTGTGGTTGGTAAACACTGGTAGGGTAACTTCGGCTTCTGTTCCTGATGTAAACGGTTATTGCTATTAGCTCTGTAATGTTTTGATGCTGCTAATTAACCATTATTTCTGGTTTAGAACTGGTGCTTTGAATGTAAAGAAACAAAAACTAACTTTAACTAGGCTCTGGCTCTAAAGAAGCACTTAAACTGCTTTGGTGGAAAAGGGGAGCGTGTTGCTTTTGAAGGTGTTAGTTGGCACTTGTTGGATCGTGGAATGTTTGAGAAGTGATGCAGTGTAATTTGGGGTATTGTCTGTGTTGGTTTCTGTCTGTCAGTGCAGTGTAAATTGGCCTTAACTAAGTTTGTTTACCCCTAAATGAAAACTGTCATTTACTTCAGCCTTTTGTCAATCCAAACTCAAAGGAAATGTTCATATTTGGAACTCAAGTTAAGATATTTTTAATGAAATCTGAGAGATTTCTGTCTTTTTACTGAAAAATTATATCCTTTACATCCTATTATATGTTATAAAGGGATAAGACACCTAAAATGAAAATGTACTTTCCATTTATTCACCCTTAAGTGGTTTCAAATCTTTGAGTTCTGTAATCCTGTTAAACGATAAAGAAGATTTTCTGAAGAAAGCTCAAAGCCTGTAACCATTGACCTTCATGGTAGGAAAAACAAACATAATGGAAGTCAGTGGTTATGGAAGTCAGTGGTTATCTTCTTTTGTATTCAAAACTGGAACAGGTTTTGAATAAATGAAGGGTGAGTAAGTGATGACAGAATTGTCATTTTTGGGTGAACTGTCCCATTAAGAGATCACAATCAGCATCATTTTCTTAGCACATGTCACCAGACACACCTGATGTAGAAATTTACCCAGAAATGAGCGTAAAATCTAAAAGGTGTCGATGTGAACAAAAATACTTGAGCAGCACAACAGATTCATGAACAGGTGTACATTTTGTGCATCTGCTTTGTTTACTTCACAGGTGGCTCACCTGGATTTGTGTAATCTGTTTGAAAATAGTTTTCTTGTATAGTGTTTTATACTCGTTTAGTGTGTAGTGTTTGTGTATATTTTGTGGTTGTCACACTATTATGTTTGTAAAGAATCTCTAACACCATAGCCAACAGTAAAAAAGCAGCCTTTTAAGATAAGCTTATGTCCAAAAGATTTAAAATTGACAGATTTGAGATGCGTAACATTCAGATAATGTGCTAAAATTTCTTGCGACACTCGTCCTGCGACTTTTCACTTCTCAAACTAACAAAAATGTTGTTTTTCCTGAATGTTTCAGAGGTTGAATCACAGAACTGCCTTGGTGCTTCTCATAAAAATTGTGACTGAGTTAATAAGAGGTGGTGCCAAACTTGAGCTCACTGATGGGAATCTAAAGATGCTGTTAGACTATTTATGATATATTTGGTCTTTGTGTTTGCTTCAGTATTAGAATCGTAAACTGCTTGGTCTGGGGGTCTGTTCTTCGTATGTGAATTGCTCATTTGGCTGGATTTAATTATTGACGATTTGAAATGATCCACAATAGTATTGTCCTTCAAAATTCATTCAGGGGTTGTTGTCGTAACAACAGGCGTGTAAGCACAAAACTACCCAGAGTAGTAAACAGATTAGATTGTGTATTTTTAAACGAAGGTGGCACTAAAAGCATGTGCGAACTGCTGATATTTTCTTACAAGAGTACTTTATTAAATAAGGTAGAATAACAGTATTGTAAAATATTTTTTTAAATTAGATATCAGAATTTTTAAATTTATATATTTTAAAAAACTAATTTGTAATCAACATTTTGAAATAAAGGTACAAAAATTGTGTTGGAAGCTGGAGCAGTGCCTTTTTCCAGAGGTTTAAAGAGAACATATTTGCACTTTTTAGTGATTGATATGGACACTTTGTACACTAATATATACTTTTAATATACCAATGGGCTTTTAGATACAAAAGCAAACTTTAAAAGCAACAGCCGCAGCTTTAGTGCAATGTCTGAGATTGTTTTAATTGTTTTTGTTTTAGAAGTTAGATTTGACTTATTATTTTTTTGAGAATAAATTATATAATTTCATGCAAATGCAGGGCAGAAGCAAGAGATTTTTATGGATAATTTATTTTAAAAGCCGCTGGATTAAGAAACTTAAGTACTGTCACATAGAAAATCCAGTCTAAAGGCAAAACTAAATAAATTGTAAAGCCTGTGCAAACAGCCTATAAAAACAAATGTGGAAAGCCAATGCGTATCATTTAACAAACAGTTTCATTTACTACATATTTTATGTCCTTTTGCTTACATAATTGAATCTTAATCAGATGATGTCATAATCCTGTTGTCTTGCCACCAGCCAATCACTACACAGATGATCATTTCTGGGATGGATAGATCTGTCCTTTACAACAAACCTGAACACACAGTAATCTCCGATCAGTTGATCTTTGAATTTTTTTAAATGATTTGCAAACATGTTTGAGGATAAAAATTAGCCAGAGATCAGTCAGTCGGATTAGATCAGTCGGTTAAAAGATCCAGGATCTGCTGGATTGTTTAAGCAAGGTATGAAGAACAGACCCCTACATGTGCGATTCGTTAAAACACAGGGTATGGTCCAAAACTCCACATCAAACTACTCTGTTGTATTGATTGTGTTATAAAGTGAATGCTTCAGAACAGTCACGATTATAAAGTCACTGAAACCATATGAAACAAAGCCTGATTGGAATATGATGATTCTGTGCCTGAAAATAAGCCATAATGTAACTTTTAAAAAATAGTGATGACTGAACACAAACATGCAAAACTGAGTTTTTCTAGTGTGTGTGGACAGGATAGTGAAAGGAGGACTTCAGGGATTACAGTTTAGGTTACAACCCCATATAATACAACGTCCATGTATTGTATAATTGACATGTGACTCCTGCAGAAAGGTTTCACTCGTGTATAGAGGCTTTACTGAGATGTCAAATATTTATATATCAGCTATTTATTGATTTAAATCAGTTGTTTTCAACTTCTTTGGCTTAACAGCCCCTCATCATTCAACCCATCCCCCGTCCCCTTAAATACACATTGGATATTTCTACTTCAATTATAGAGTAATGGAGGCCAGTTAGTGAAGTGCTGTGCAGGTAAACCTCTAAAGGTGCTCTGGCAACAGACGCTAGGGGTCATGGTCTTTAGCCTCCTTGTTAGAGCAACCGACTTCTATGCGGAAAGTTGCTGATTCGATCCCAGCTCAGAGCGGGTTGGGTGGTGTAGGACAAGCAGGGTTACAATAACACAGCTTCTTTTATCATTACTTTCTAAAATATATTAATGCAGAAAGTTATTGTTCTGTATTCCAGAACTGAATCCTCTATAAAATCAGTAGTTATTTAGGTAAATTATAAAGAATTAGGATTTCAGGTTACATCTTGATTTGATGTATTGCAACATTTGAAGTTGGATTCGATTTACATTTGAATACATTAATAATTAACTAATTTCAATATTTTTAAGTCAGCCCAAGAGTCCTGGTTGAGAATTACTGATTTAAATATGCAATTTCTTCAGAATAAAGAGAGTATTTCTAAATGTTTCCTTTGTTGCACAGATGGAGATACATAACCAAATAGTATTAATTTTGCCATCAAATGTCTGAATATTTATTCTGTATAGATGTTAAATAGATAAAAATGATAGAATATTATGGAAAGTTTTGTGAATGTGTTTGCTTTATTTAGATTTATGTTTAGTTGTATTACCAGAATTAATAAGCACAGCAGGGTGCACTGTAAAATATCAGTAAATTAGCAGTTTTCTGTTTTTTAAGATCGGATTATTTTACCGTTTATTTAATTTGAATTTCTTTATGGGATCTTGATCTTTCTTCCAACAACTTTTAACCTTAAAATGTTTGAAAAAGTGACTTTTATTAACATTTTTATTAGCTAAAAGTGATGTACTCTCAGGGTTAGTGTTGTATATTACAGTACAAAAACCTAGTAAGAAACTGCCATATTGTTTCTTAATTGCTATATTGTTTCTTATACGTTATATTATTTCAAACTACTAAAATGTCAATAAATGCCACTGTTAAATTGTACAGTTAAAGTTTTAACATCAAAAGTCGACAAAACAGAGATCAATGTCCCTTAATGCAATTCACAACCATAAATAAACCGTTAAGACCTATGAATTACCAAAAAAATGGAAACGCTTAATTAACAGATATTTTTAGTGTGGTCTCAGTAAGGGGTCTCTGAAGATAAGCACTAATTTGTGTTGGTTCTCAAAGACATGATTTCAAGTTTCCTTTGTGAACCCTAAACATATTTATGATCCATTTGAAAAATAATTACCATTGCAGTTTCAGTCTGGTGACTTTTTTTTTTTTTTTGTATTTTTCCCAAGATCAGAGATTGAATGTTGTCTGTACTTAGACATGCAACACCAGACACTTTAAAACATATTTCAAAAGAAGAGTTAGAGAACATTTATAATGTTACTAATAAGTGTATTTTTGTGACCACGGTTCATATTTAATTGTGATTTGAATTGAGCTCTGTGTGCATTAATGTCAATGGAAGCGTTGTAGCTTTGTTTGTTAGAATCTTTTTTTTTTTAATAAAATGTTTAAATAGAGATGTCATGCTTTTTTTTGTTATCTAAATATGCTTCAGATATTTAGTTTTGTAAAAGTTATTTGATTTTGACACAAACACCAAAGCAAAACTCACTTATAACAGTTAAAAGGTGGACAGTGTTGACTAGTGTGTGTGTGGGGGTATTATCAAAACGATGTTGATCTAATGTAATACAATACTCCCGTTAATGTAATTTCAAACTTGTATGACTTGATTTCTTCCATGGATCACCAGCAAGAACATTTATTTTGATTGATGTTTTGTTAAGCTGAGAATAAATATTTTTCAAGCAAAAGCAGAAGTAAATAATAACTTAACATTTAGTATTTTCCTAACAAACTTTGTGTGTGTATGACAAGCATTAGAAGTATAGAAATATACCGCATGCACTTAGTCATAGATTAAAAGTTTCTGAAAGCTACATTTTAACATTGGTTAGAATATTATAATATGATTGTTTCTTATTCAGACACTAAAAACTCTATTAAAAGAAGTCTAATTTTTCAAAAATGTCATAAATCTAATTTTATAGCAGTTTGTTAAACAAAAGGCAGAACTAAAAATGTAAGCCTGTCATTTTCTTAGATGGAACAAGTCATTTGATTTAGATGATTGTTGGTATTGTTATTTTCTACAAAACCATATTTCCATTTGCTTTTATAATATTCCTCTTATTGTAGCTGTTTAGTTAATTATTATGTTTTGTTTTGTAACTGTTTTGCTAAAAAGCTTAAATAGGTTGTCTATTAACCTTCTGTCTTGACAGTAGATAAGAATGTCCCCCATAGGTGTAAATATAAAATAGCTGATTGTATATTTTACGACTTGAAATGTCCAAAGAACCGTTGTAAACAGCATGAACATTCCCGCTCGACACTTATTTGACCTATAAATCACACAAGGCACACATTTGTTCCTTGTGATAAGACCATATTCAAAAGACGATTATACCTTGTGGTTTATTACATCTGGCAAGTTATAGGCATAATCATCGTCCTCATAAAATCACAAAGTTCCACCACAGTGGCAACTGAAAACAAAAACGCTTCACTTTGAAAAAAAAAACACTTTATAAAATTATTCTTTATAGTACAAATTGTCTGGCACAGCTCAAGTCCTCGTTTTGAACAAGCGTCCACATTTTCAGCAGGTCCTGCGGAACGAGTTTGTGCACCACGATGAGGTCACGGAAGAAGCACGGCTCCCGGTTCAGACGCGTCACTTTCCGCTTAATGATCCCGAACGTCCTGAACCCCAGATGCACTTCAGGGACAATATTGAGCTTCTGAAGGCACATGCCCACAAACACATCGTCAATGGGGTAAAGCTCCACGCTCTCAGAAACCGTAAAGACTTTGCGGGCCACCTGAGAGGACATAAGAAATCCCCCTCCGCCCAAATAAGGGGGGTAGCGTTTATCATACAACTCTCTGGGGATGAAATACTTACTCTGGCGGTTTCTAATCGGCTTTGCTTCTAAAATTGCATCGCCTACAATGAGGTTTTCCACTTTGTTCTCCTCCTTCCTGAAGCCAATTAGTTCCACCAGGTTTTTGGTGTGGACAAACACATCATCATCCCCTTTGAAGATGAAGGGAACGTCTGGGCAGTAGATGCTGAACCACCTTAGAAAGTTCACTTCTTTCAAGGTCAAGTTGAAGAAGGTGTCCATGAAGTCCCACTGCAAAATGTCCCCGTAAGTTCGATCCTCATATTGAACTAGAGCTTGTAAGTTTCGCGAGTCTTTGCCAGGGGCTGGGGTGCCTAAAAGAAACAGCGTTTTGATTTTCAAGCCTTGAATTTCTTGCTCCTTTCCCCAAGTCTTTCGCACGGCTTCTCTCCGGTCGTGTTCTTCAATAACAGATTTAACCACGACCAGAACATCCACGCCGCCGCCGCACTTCTCCGGGTGATTCAGCAGCATTGGAAAGTATCGGCAATGTCTGTGAAGAACAAATTCGTGAAACCTTGGGCTCAAACGACGAAACCAGAGTTGAGTTTTTATCGTGGAATTTTCAGTACATGTAATTTTATTCACGTCCCATTTCTTGGGCAGTTGTTTTAACGCCCGCTTCGAGTCACTGCCGCCTGAGTGAGAAGAATTTTCAACCGCCTTGAGGTTTTTACTCTTGAATGACGGGCATTGGGGGCCACACCATCTGCCTTTCACTTCGACTTTTTTGTCTTTACTGTTCGTGTCCACTGTTATTAGCTTCTGAAGCATCAGTAAAGTGGCAAAAAGCAAAGTTAAGCTCACCGCAGTTTTCACATTCTTCTTCTTTCGGCAGAAGAACTCCGTTACGCACGCGCTCCTGCACTCCATCCCGCAGAGAAAGTCCGTCAAGTCGTCTGGAAATGTTATAGAACTATCAAAAGCAAATAGTCCATAAAGGGCATTTTTGATACAGCTCGTCGGCTTCTACTTCTTTCTGTCACAGTGTCATATTTGTGTCTAATAAACTGTCTCGACAGGTTCCTCTTGCTTCGAGCTCCATCGTTGAACTGGTAAAAACGTGTGGCAGTGATCCTGTAAAATAATCGGCTGTCTGCCCTCCTCTCTCCTCCTCTATAGCCTACCTGCTACGGGCTCTCTGGTCACACACAACAGCTGTGCAAGCGTAGTAAATGTGGGTTCCTTGCAAACAGGACTAATTACGTATGCTATTTAATGTAAATATTGGAGTTGAACTTAATTTTATTTCCACTTTACTTGTAATGTTCATAAATCTCTGTTGATGTCCCTCCCTCCCACACATACACTATGAAAGATGCTAGTTGACACTATGCAGTTGAGCAGCACCAAACTTACACTGATATATTTTTTTAGTTTTGAGCGCCCTCGTGTGGTTGATAACCAGAGCTTCACTGAACTTGGCTTTTAGCATTTACAATATTGACAGCATACAGTAGGCTGTGGATGAAGGGTGGATGAAAACAAAGTGTAAAGGACACACACAACCACACAGTGTACATGGGCTATATATTTTGGCTGGTTTACGACGAGGTGATTGTTGGAAATATTTGGAAAAAAATTAAAAGTTTAATAAAATGAACACATCGACTATAAAATAAACAAATATAAATATTAAAATGTTTCAATAGTTGATAACATTACACACATATTACTAATTGTTAATACATAAATTCAAAATAAACTATAAATCAAATTTGTAAGCAAATGTGTAAATAAATACTGTTGTCTTATATGTCTAGAAAGGGCAGGACTAACAAATGAAAATGTATAAACAAGTCTGCTAATAACTAGAAACCATCCAATCACCACCATATAAAGGTTTGAGGCTTCTTCTCGTTTACTTAGGTCATTCACATGACAGTTCGATTGTACATAATTTCATTTAAAGTCAGATTGCAGGCAACTCAAACAAGATTACAAAAACATTTAAGAAAATATGACTGTTTTATCCTACATTCTAATCAAACAGGAGGGCGTATTATTTTTTCACGGTCGTCTCATTATAAGAGGCTGGATGTAGGCTATTTAACATCGTATTCGCGTCGCGTTAGGCACTGTAGCCTATATAGCTGTGATGACTCATTCGACATATTTCTACGATGAATAGCTAGTCTAACTGACCACCCCATTTAGTTTAGTCGTTACTCTGTGGTAAACCAAATTTCAGTGTTTTTGTACAAAAGAACGATAACTGCTGTTACTCGATGAACATCAGCCGCTGACAAAGATACGCGTTTATTACATAAATAAAGTTTTCAACCGGGAACTCGTGATTCTGCACAGTGTAGATTATCGTATATGGGCGGGACTTCAGTGGTTACCGGAGATAAACACAGGCTGGAGTCAGCGCTCGGTTTTGGACGCCTAAACTTTCAATGAGGGCGAAGCAGGTAAAATAACCGGATTCTTTCAGTACTTGATCTTTTGAAAAGAACATTACTGTTTGCTATAATCTGGACGTGCACAATAGGCTTTGAGTTTACTTACTTTACAGTGTTAGCGTTTTGTGTTAATTTAGTTACGTTAACGAAGTAGCTAAAGTTTTGGGCATTCAGCTGGTCTTGTTTGAAACACGTGCTTTCAATGTTAAGCAGTGTGTTTTTACTGGTGTGTTTTTGTTAAACGCTAAATTTCCCAGCAGCAGCAGTAGTGTTGAAGATTTGAATCTTCCAGTGAACCGAATCTTTTGAATCGGATGACAATGAAGATCCGTCTACGAATCAATTGAGTGATCCGTCGTTGTTCCGTTTTTTAATTGAAATTTACGTATTTTTCGCACACCTATAGGTCGTTTTATTTGTTTAAAGTCATGTTATAGATTCGCATCATCATGGTCCATCTTTCTACCAAGTTAGATTCATTCCTTTGTTGCGAAAAATGAGTAGTACATTTCGTTAATTTTTTTTTTTTTCACATTAAAATGCTCTAAAAGCATTAAAGTCAACAGCAAACCCCACCCTGTTCGGTTAAAACGAAGCGCCGCTATCCAGAAGTCATTTGGTTAAACACGGATGCATAATTGATCGTATGATGTCCCTAATAAAAGTGTTGTTCTCTGGTTTCAGACTGTCGTTGTGAGCCTCGGACAGCGAGTGTGCGGCGCTGTCTCTTTAAACCCGCCCGGTGTGAAAAGTTCAGTCAAGGTCAGTGTCAGTGTCTACACAACCATCTCCTCCCCGCAGTTTCCGTTTGTCGGCTACAGTTCGCTACAATGTAACGAGCGTTCCCACGATGGGTCTGAAGCTGCACTGATATATTGTATTTACTGCGCACATTCGCATTTATTCTCTGCGTGTTCTCGACAGAAGGCGGCAAAGAGGAGAGTTCTGCTGCAGAGATCGGCGCCTGATATCGCGCGCGCTGTGCGACAGATGGCTGGCGACGGCGGCGAGGCCAAGCGGCTCCCGAAGAGACCCTTTCACGGCGAAGTAGAGGAGAACTCAAGCGCGGCTGTGGATGGAAACGTTAAAATTCAGCCCGGGAAAAAGGCTCCTGGTGAACGGCGTGGTAAGGAGAACTCCGCCGCCAAGTGCACGGGTTTGACAAGCGGCTCCGCAGAGGCGAAGATGGAGCAGAGCGTTCACGGCTCGCAGACCACAGACCCGAGCGTTTTCTTCGACGAGGACAGCAATCATGTTTTCCCTGTGGAGCAGTTCTTTGGGAACCTGGATGTTGTTGAGGTAAACCGATTCAGAGCTTATGTTTTCATTATTGGGAGTCAGTGGAGAAATGCAGCGAAATGGCGCTGGATTTAAACTCATTTCAATACGCTGCTATCATGCGTGACCAGCATTTACCTTTGGGTTTGAACCTTTTAAAGAGACCTTATTTTTTTACAGTGATACATTCACGTCTTTTTTACACGGCTGGTAGAAAAAAAGTCACGTGGCCAGAGCTTGACGTCTGTTTTGAAGCTCTGTAAAAGGAATCGTGAACGACAAATCGGCAAACATAATTAAATATTGTTTATACGCATTTTTATGCAGCCTAACATTTACATTTTTATTACAAACAGGGTGCGAATTACAGGGGGGTTTGGGGGGAGCTCCCCCCCAATTAATGCTTGATCCCCCATGAAGGACGTCAAACAAGAAATATAGGGGTCAGCCCTTAATACTAATTATTTAAATAATAGACAGACATGTTATCACCACACAATGGTTCGTACTACTGTGGAAAATATTCTTTCAACAGACTGAAACTGCAGATGTGGACCACCGATAGACATCGTGTGTTCAAAAGACTGTTTTCTCTTAAAATAGGAATTTGTTTCCACATTCAGCCTAAAAGTACAATAAAATTTAATTCTTAATTAGCTAATCAGAGGATACTGTAGAGCAGAATACTCTAAATATCCCTCACAACACTGAAAACTTAAATATGCTTAAATACGTGTTAATAAATAAATTAGATGTAATTTAAATAAATGCATAAATTTGATTCACTTGAAGTATATGCATTACACAAACGAATATTACCAAAAATTTATAAAATTTATAATTCGCACCCTGATTACAAACCCTTGCTTTGAGGCTATAAAAGAAGAAAAAATAACTACATTGAATTCATTTAATTAGGAAAAATATAAAAATTTGTTGTAAGGTTTACTAGTTCACGTGAATATTTATATTTATTAATATATTTGCCAGCTTCAATTGATTGTACCGTTATTTTTTATTCATTTTATTTTATTGCTTTTAATACTATTACATTTCTGCTTTATTTTCCATTGTTGCAGTATTCTTGGTGTTTTAATCAATAGAATACCAATAATATACAGTGCTCAGCATGTATGAGTACACCCCTCACAAATCTGTCTTTTAAATGTACATTTGTAAAAGGAAGCTATACAATATTATATTTGTGCAAATACATTAGATTAGTCAGTACTGAAGCCAAATCTGGAGCTTATATCAAAAAAAAAAAAAAACTTTTATGTTGTAGAAAAATTTTAAATACGAAAATATCAGGAGAAGCAAAATAATCAAAAATTTAGTTGTAATTTCTTTGCAATATTTTGCTTGGATTTAATTGTATTTCAATTCATCTAAATATGTTTGGTGACTAAAACATTATTTTAATAAATATAGCTGTTTAATAAATCTGTTCTGTTTAAATGCACAAATATTGCCTATATTCACTGAGAAATGGATACAAATATTAATTTTTAAAATGGGCTGTAATCTATGCTGAGCACTGTATATTATAGTATATTTTGATTTGTTTATATTTTTAACATTTGCGTGTATTAGAATTTAATAATAGAATGCAAAAATATGTAGAACTTGTTTTACATAATTAAAAAAAAGAAAGAAAATACTTTAATATGTAGTACATTACAATTAATTCCTATATTTCTCGGAGAAAACGTTAAACAAACAAGTTAAATACCAGTTTGCAGGAAGTGAGCGTTCATGGCCCTTTGCCCCAGTAACATAACTCTGCCCTATGTTAAGCTTTTCAGATAAATAACATGCAGCCAGATGGCTTTGTTTGCACACAGTAATCCAGAAATATTGAGGTTAATACAAGAGCATGTAGGATTATAAGAGTGAACTTCTGTGGATGATTTTCATCAGAGTGTCAAATAGCAGCAGGTGTCTGCTTGAATTCTCCGTGCACAATAGCCAACTCTCATTAATGCATTTTTAACACGGCTTAATTTTTAAACAGTCCGGCTTGATTTATTTCAGGATTACCCCCGCAGAACTCCAGGCAGCAAAAGAATGACCCGGAGAGAGTACAGGAGCATGCATTACTATGCCAAAGAGGACAGTGAAGAAGAGCATCTATGAGGACTAAATCACTTCAGCTGCCGCTTGCAGGAGTACAAATGACTGAAGAAGCGTCATGCTGGTAAAATGGACTTGATTTGTTTTAAAACAAGCTATTTTATTCTCTTAACAATAGAGATGCCCTGTGTTGTTCAATCGGTAATGAGGCACATTATAATCAAATGCAGAAATCCTGTGCATCCCTAATTATAAACTTAAGAGCATTCATTCAAGTGCTGCACTAAAAGAATGTACAGTAAAAGGTTTTATGTGAGATTTCTGGTTTAAAGCATCATGTGATTTGTCCCGAAAGAAGGCTATTTAAGGAAAACTTGCGTACAAGTGTAATGGGGTTTCTACCATTTGTTGTTACTTATGCGTTCATCCATCAAGTGCCTCATGTTTGATATTTAGACTTCGAAAGCAATTGAATACTAGCCTGTCCTTTATGAATTTGGCACTTTTAAACATTCTTTGTTGAGAATGAATCCATTTGTTTTTGGAAAAAAAACACTTTATACTTCAGAGTTGGTGCTGTATAATTGAAAGATAAAGCATGTAGATTTGACATATCTTAATTGCTCTTTGATATGCTCGATGTAAAGAATTTATATTGGCGTCTCAAATTAAGAGGATTTTATTGTAAGATTTTATTGTGAAATTGTCATTTTTAACATACAATTTGAATCTGTTATATGCATGTGGCTCCATCAGAATTTGTCTGTATATGATATTTGTAAATTCGTCCGGATTTGCACTAACAAGATGTAACATTTTTACAGATGTAGTTTATTTGCGATTATGTATGAGGTAAAACTTGTAGAAAGTGTGATTTTTGAAGTTTATATTTTTCTATTGACGTGGTGAATCAAGTGCTAATTTTTGCTACCAAATGCCTTGTATGTACATGAAATGTAACTTATTTAATTTCTGATCTTCAGTGTATTATCATACAAAAAGCTAGAATACTCCGTCCAGACAAAATAAACCTCATTTATGATTTGGGAAACAATTACCTGGTTTCTAAATTAATGTCTGATTTTTTTTTTTTTTTTTTTTTTTTTTTTAAGTGTGATGAAAGTGTGATGGCTTTTTTGACAAGTGTTTTTTTATCCACCCAAAAAAGCTTGAGTGAAAAAGTAGCTGATTATATGTTACAAAAGTCAGAGTTTGATGACCACTGCATACATATAGCATTGTTTTCACAGATCCATGTAAATGGGATTATTTTTTTTACAATGCTGCTGTAAGGAGAAACCTCTGTTTTCAGCACTTCATTGTGTAACTGTACCCACAGCTTGTTGAAAAAAGTACTGCAGACACTCACTGTACAAAAACATTCTGTTCCCAGAGATGACGATAGAAGATTCAGATGATAAATCAGTGGCTTTTGGCTGAAAGCATGATAAGGAAATTTAGATAAACACAGATTTTTATCAAAGACTTTTAGAGCTAAAAAAAGTAAATCCTGAAAAAGTATGCTACATTATTTAAAAGCAAATGTTTTTGTACAAAAATTGTATAAAAGTACAGTACTCAAGCAAAATAATGTAAAAACTAAATCAGTCACTGTTTAAAGCCCTGATAAAGTAAATAATTTGAAGACAAATGTTGTGGTATTCAAATATTGTTCACAGCACTCAAATAAGATCAAACCTGAGAAGTTCAGTAATTTGAAGAAGGCTTACGATTCACCAAAGCTGAAACTTTTTGGACTAAGCTGCATATTTCATAAGAGGATTATGGATGTCATTTTACAGTCTTCTTGACCCGTTTGTAGATTTTTCGGGAGTCACAGCTGAGCTCATGGGCCCCTTTCTTATGACAGACGATGTGAACAAGCTTGAGATTCTCTCTGGTGAACAAGAGTTTGTAAAAATAATCCACATTTATATCATTGCTCTTATTGGCCTCCAGTGCCTTGGCGAGAGCAGGAATGACAGTCCTCTTCTTTTCTATCCTGAAAAAGACACGCTTTTCTTAGATCCTGTTTACACATTTTTGATGATCATATCAGAGGTGGGTGATGCAGGAGTAAACAAGGTATGATACACTTTTTCTAATTTTGATTTATTCAAATTTTTAAATGTAGTCTAAAATGCATAAAAAAAATATTGTGTATACTCCATTATGTTTGCTGTTTGTTCAAAGTAGCTGTTTTAAAATGAGCCGAAGCAACACAATTCTTGATGTATTTTTGGGACAACTTTGTTTTAATTTTAATCCACTTAAATTTGTAAAAATTAAATTAACAATTTCTTCATGTTGTCCAAATCCAAATCAATTGTGTGGAGTCTAGCATTTTTATAGTGTAAGTTTACCAACAGCTGACTTTACATCATTTCAGAAATGAAATGATAAAATGTGACCTGCAAATTAGTGTAACTGACCTCCTTTTTACTTTTAACAATAATGTTTATAAAATGTTGACTTATTTCACAGACAATACAGTAAATATAAATGCTACTACTCACAGGTGGTCAAGATTCCAGGTGCTGAACAGGATTCTGCTCTCGCGGTTTCCGTATGGGTTTATTGAATGCAGAAAATTGCAGCTGTTCTCATCAAAAGCACCCTGTTACAGCAAGAAAGGAGAGATTTTATTTATGAAAACAAAGGGAAAAGCATAAATTATGTACTTATGGGGCCAGACATGCTTTTATAATTTATATCAAAAGAACATTTAAATAAGCCTTTTTTATTTTATTTTTTAGATTAACCATTTTAATTTTAGCTAAAATAGATTTTTATAAAATGTTTGTTTTTTTAATGCACTGTATTTATGGTATGTTGTTGAATGTTTAATAAGTATGTAGGCAATAAAAATAAAATCACTGAAAAAAATGGTTCAATGGATTTACTAAATTTTTTAAAGTAAGTGGTTGCAAACAATTTATATGGGCTGAATTTAAACAAATTAAATGTAGCAATGTCCAACTCAATTTGTTTTTATTTTAGCTCATATGAATCGTTTGCAAACACCTTAAAATGTTGGTAAATCCAATGGTACTTTAACATAACTCTAAAAAAATATGAAATCAATCACAGTTTAAAGATCCTAAAAAAGTATGTAACATTATTTTAAGGGCCATGAAACCCCCTCGTTTTAGCAGGGTGTTTTCACACCTCTACTTTGGAAAAAGTCAGAAAAGTGGGCGTGTCCAGCTCTGTTTAGGGGGGAGTGTCGGAGGAAGAAAAGAGGCATGGTGTGGGAGTGTCTATTTGGGCGCGCTGAATTTCAGAGTCAAAACACACACCCACAGCGGACAATGTGACTGTGTTTACATGGACATCTGTAGTCGAATTATTTGCCAAATTATTAAATGGTGGACTTTAACTGCAGTTTGGCTCTTTCATTCAGGGAATTCATTCATGTCCCTCGCGACAAACGAGATATTTGATTCGAGGAGCTGCTCTAAGCGTGTATTTTTCATGCAATGTTTGATACCGCACGGCGAATGAGAGAAAAAAAACTCAGCATTTCCCGGAAACTTAGATGCACACGGCAGGTAGTGTCAGAAAGCCGCGTGTGTTATTCCGGTCACAAAATCCTACTCGAGGTTATAGTTTGGTTGTAGTCCTAACTTGTTTACACGGTGCAATAGTTTTTTCGATACGAATAAAATACGAACTGAATAAACATAGAGCACTGGTCGCTCGCTTACCAAATCTGTAGAGGCAGGACAATCCACAGCAACTAGAGCCACGTCTTTATTTAGAGGAGACTACAAGCGAATCCGGATCTCAGCATTTGCAGATGAGAACAGCTCTCAGGTGAACAATAATCCTCCTTAGACACCCAAGTTATTGTTGTCGAGCGTCGCGTACACTGTTAATCCACACGTGATCCAGATGAGCTCTCACAGAGAGAAAATGAAAACGAAACTTAACGGCAGCAAACTATAAAAGCAACACTTCACGCTTGTTTTGCCAACACAACGTGGCGTCTTTGTCGTCTAAACACTGTGACAGTAATGAATATTAATGAAGTTGCACAATAGAGCGCGCTGATTGGTTTGAACCAAGCTTTACTTATGCATTAATGCATCACACTGTAAGACGTAATAAGACTCACTCTGGCACAGACGTCCAGTATGCTTGCTGGAATACAACGCTATTATGTCATGACTACGACGCAGCTTTAAAAATTCATTTCAAACCGGAAGTACGAATTTGCTTAAAATAACGCAAAAACAACCAATTTACACTGTTTAGTGAAATATAGGTGTCCTAATAGTGTTTTTAGCAGTGTGGGACACATATACGTCTGTCAACAGCTCAAAAAATGTGTTTTGGTGTTTCGTGACCCTTTAAACACCAGTGTTTTGGTACCACATGGTAGACAAAACAAAAATAAGGTAAAACCTGAAAATACTTGTTGGTTTTTAGCACATTTCTTTGAATTGAAAATATAAAATCAATCAGTCAGGGTTTAATAAGCATAAATACAGCAACTACTTTGATGGAAAATGTGTCTATACTGATAAGAAATGTCACAGAACAGCACCTGGCAGGAGAACCAGCCCTCTTCAGTGCAGAGTCTGTTGGCGTCCTTCTCTGATCTGTCAAAATAGGTGCCGTTGTACCTCGCAGCCTTCAGTTTCTCAGCCAAAGCCTCCGCCACCTTCTTATATTCACTTTTTGTTTTGGCATTTTGAATAGTTTGAGTATATCCATCAACCTACCGAGTGTGTAAAAATAAATCCTGATCAGAATGAGGGCATGTATCCTTAAATCATAAACTAAATACATTTCAACTAATTAAGATCTTAAGCAGAAATGAGTGCAGTTCGTCACCTCTTTTAAATATCCCCGGATTCTGCTCTCGCAATTGTACTTCATGTAAGCAGACTTGGTTTTAAAGCGGGTATCAATACCTATACGTAGACAAGAGAAATGAGAAAAAACACACACATACAGATGAAGTCAGAATTATTAGCCCCGCTTTGAATTTTTTTTCATTTTTTCATTTGAAATTTTTCTCAAATGATGTTTAACAGAGCAAGGAAATTTTCACAGTATGTCTGATAATATTTTTTTCCCTGGAGAAAGTCTTTCAGGTAGAATAAAAGCAGTTTAAAAAATTTTTAAAACCCATATTAAGGACAAAATTTGTTAGCCCCTTTAAGCTATTTTTTACGATAGTCTACTGAACAAACCATCATTTTACAATAACTTGCCTAATTACCATAACCTGCCTAGTTATAGGGTATATGCCGAAGCATACTAATAGGACTTTAAATTTGCCCGTAACCTGGGTTAGGCGCTTCCGGTGAACTGTATGCCAATGCAAAAATCAGCGCGTTTAAGGCCAGTCTTCTTTAAAAATCAGCGATCTCCACTGGCTGAGTGATATCTAATATAAAGTGGGTCTCGGATTGTACAAGAAGCACCGCATTAAATTACATTTTACCCGGCCATGTCTTTATAATATGAGCATTTATTTTACCCCAGTATATTCAATGGAGCTTCTGCGCTAGCCTGGAGATTCTGACGTGCATGTGCGAGTAAAAGCCTTTTGTCTCGTTTTACGCTTGAACAACTAAATGAATACCAAAGTTTTTTAACTGAATGTATTTTAATTACATTACAACATCAATACTGTAAAAAGAACCGTATAAAATGAAAAAATAAAAATCACAATAACAGGTCACCAGAAGTTCATCAGTATGGGTACAACACTAGCTTAACCTAGTTAAGCCTTTAAATGTCATTTTAAGCTATATAGAAATGTCTTGAAAAATATCTAGTCAAATATTGTGTACTGTCATCAAGACAATGATAAAATAAATAAGTTATTAGAGTTGTGTTATTAAAACTATTATGTTTAGAAATGTGATAAAAAATATTTTCTTTGTTAAACAGAAATTACGAAAAAAATAAACGAGGGCTAATAATACAGATTTCAACTGTATAAAAATTCATAATTAAAAGCAACAGTACAAAAATACGTGTGAAAACATTATTAATCATTGTCAATAAAGACTTTTTTTGTTGGTATTAATGATGCTAACATTGTATTGTATTATAATACATGTATTGCTATGTATTTTCCCCTGACTTATGTTACCTTCAAACCAGTCATGATCCTGTAGTCTGTTCTCCAGCTCTGAACGGTCCCTCAGGTTACTCAGCAGGTCTCCCAGGATCCTGCGGCGTTTGGGGGAACGTTCATCTGACAGAAGACCCTGTGCTGCACTGACCAGCAGCTCCTCTGTGTTTCTGTCCAGACCCAGCACTCGATTTATTTCATCTGCAACTGTACGAAATCAAAAGATAAGCCTGTTAGACAGCTTTTTCTTTTATGTTTCATTAAGGTAACGTTGGTTTTTATACACTGGTTTTATATTCGCACCAAATTCATTCATTTCACCGGTCTGTTTATTGTTTACCATCCTAATATTGCAATATTACATCCTAATATTGCAATAATTTTGAAATCTCATTAACCCCTGTGTGCTGTTTGGGATGTTTTCATCCACTCTGGAACGACTTTGAGTCCTAATTTGGCCACAAGTTTCTCTGTTTCAGCAAATAGAATGATTTTTTACACATATTTGGGACAATGCTTAGAAATTATTCAAAATTTTTTCAAAAATGTATTCAAAATGGCTGTTTTTGACTTCCATTATAATGGCATTTTTTGATTGCAAAGCCATGACGGCATATACTCATTTAACAGGGAAAAGCACCAGCAATCAAGACTGCATGATAATTTGATGTCATGGCTTTATAATAGAAGTCAATGTGTCAAAAACAGCCACAAACGAAACGAAAGGGTAGTCAGTTTGAACACTACACAAGTGTTAAGTATAACTCTTCCATTTTCAATTTCAATTTCATTGAATGTGAACCATGTTGTACATTCATAGTTTATAGCTGCTTATGATATTTCAGACTCAGTATTCAATTGAGCGTTATAAACAACATAGAGGCCGTTAAAATGAACATATGTGCGAATATAAACCAACTTTACGTCAATATATCAGTGTTGTCTGACTTACACCCATTCCAGCTCTGTCCATGGGGCAGGAGAACTAGATCTGTGTTATTAGGAAGATTTTGGAAATACTCTTCGGTAACTACTGTCCCATCCTCGTATAAGCAGACCAGTACACCGGAGCTGGATACCTGTAGATGAATTATGGATGTCTGATAACTGCATTACACAGTACAGTAATAGCGACGCTTTCTTCATCCGAAAGTACATTTTTTCTCACCTTCAGTAATTGACATCCTTTTTTAATCAGCTCCTTTAGGTTAACAGCCGCAATTCCGTATTTTCTAGCCTGGTTGGCGCTTCTTATCTTAACCAGTTTGGGTTTAGTTGTTTTGTGCATATTTCGCCTTCCGCAAATCTGAAGTTTCTTTTTCGCCGTTTGTTTGCAAAGAGCGACCAAAACAACGACGACACGTACATTGCCATCTAGTGGATGCAGGTGAATTAACACCTACTTTATACTGTATGTGGTTGTTTTTTTAAACCTCTTTATAAAACATTTAAATTCGCGTTCATGGATCACACACACATTTGCATTTAGTCAAAACAAATATAAGCTCATTATAAAATCTTAAGTATAATCATTTTAAAACTTTTATGAGGTGTGTATTTAACTAATTAGTAGCCTGTTTTTATTGCTGATTATTATTTTATTAGGTTTAAACATCATTAAAAATTTAAATATAAGAAGTAGAACATGAATACATTTTAATTAATGTTGTATCACAAAGCCCAGAAAATTAGCACGTTAGAAACAAAGGTTTACTAAGAAATTTGTTTTTTAATTTTTTTTAAAAGTTGTTAGCACAGCAGGAAGGTCACTGGTTTGAGTCCCGGGTGGGTCAGTTGGCGTTTCTGTGTTGAGTTTGCATGTTCTGCCCATGTTTGCGTGGGTTTCCTCCCGGTGCTTTAGTTTCCCCCACAATCCAAAGACATGCGCTTATAGGTGAATTGGGTAAGCTAAATTGTCTTTTGTGTGTGTGTGTGGGAATGATAGTGTATAGGGGTTTCCCAGTGATGGGTTGCAGCTGGAAAACATATGCTGATAAGTTGGCGGTTCATTCCACTGTGGTGGTGACCCCTGATGAAGAAAGGGACTAAGCTGAAGGAAAATGAATGAATGTATGAACATCCACATTTTTCTATAACGTGAAGTTTCAAAATATAATTTCGAGAGGAGCACGTGATATGATTGACCGCAGCTGGTCTCTCATCTACAATCATTAGTTAGCCAATCAGATTAATCCAAACTCACTATAAGTAGCCAAAAGCTAAAATGGCTCCCCTACCTTGGTTTTCAGAAGAATCCCCCATCCACCCCCTTTCTTCCTTTACGATGGGGAGCTCTCAAGAACTACCTGATCTCCTACTCTCCTTACATGCTCAATCTACCAGGTGGGAGCCATGGGCTCTATTATCTCCGAGCTCAGGGTTCTCTCCCGGGACAGCATGCCAAACCTGTTAACATTTGTCAAACAATATCTAAGTTTATAGTCAATATCTGACCGAAATTTATTTAAGAGTTCACTTAAATAAATCTTGGTCAAATGTGAATGTTGAAGCTGCAAGGATTGAAACTACCATGAAGATGAGAATTGCCATGCTTGGTGAATATGTCAAAAATTAACTTAAATGAACAGCTTCAAATTTCTCCTGAATTTGAGACACTTGGAGGAATGTTTTTGTTAAAGGACACAGTCTTTAGGCACTGTCAATTTTTTTTCTTTGTTGCTTTTTGACTTTTTATTGTGTTTTGTTTTCTTTAGTTTAATAATAAAACATCCGAAATAAAATTGAAGCCAGAAATGTTAGCCCCCTTTTTGATTATTATTATTATTATTTTTAACAATATTTCCCAAATGATTAACAGAGCAAGTAAATTTTCACAGTATGTCTGATAATATTTTTCTTCTGGAGAAAGTCTTAGTTGTTTGACTTCGGCTATAAAAGCAGTTTTTAATTTTTTAAAAGCCATTTTAAGGTCAAAATTATTAGCCCCTTTAAGGTATATATTTTCAATAGTCTACAGAACGAACCATCGTTATACAAAAATATATTGCCTAATTACCCTAACCTGCCTAGTTTGTAATAATTCAGGGGGGCTAATAATTCTGACTTCAACTGTACATCCTTAAGTGTTTCTTTTGTCACAATTTGTCAATCTATGTCTGTAGATTGAAATTACAGTGCATGTTTTTAAAGGATAAAGTCTTTAAATGATTTTTCTCCTATGCTGCATCTACACAAAGCTTCAGTTTTAAATCCGTATTCTCAGTGTTTATGTTAAACAATAATTTGCCTGATTATATTCATTATATCATTTTCTAAATTATGTAGTGATGAAAACAGCATCCCAAAATCATCTTTCTAAAAACATTACAGTATTTATCAAAAAATTATCTTGTGCCAGACGTCATCCAATGTTCAGATTTTTGTTTTAGGAATCAATGCAATTTAGTGCACACTGTAAAAACAATCTTGTTTAATTAACAGTAAATTACTGGCAACAATTATCCAGTAGTTGCTGTATTTCATAAAACAGTAAAATTACTGTAATATTAATTACAATAGTATTACATTTACTGTAAAATGTAATACATCATTTCACTGTCTTTAAATACAATAGTGGTACACATACTGGAAACAGTACTTTACTGTACATTTTTACCATGCAGAACTACGGTAATTTAATGTTTCGTTTAATATTACTTCATAGTATTTTACAGTTATCAAATGTAATTTAATTGAAATAAAAATGTTCTAAAATTGTACGTGCTGTTTGCACCTTTTTGTAATACAAAACATCAGCAATTCTACAAAAGCAATTCTTAATTTAATCAAATAACTGGGAGAGTATGGCCATACATATTAAATCCGTTTTTTTTTTTTTTTACCTTGTTCACAAATATATTTCTTTAAACCAGGGGTGTCTAATCGTGTTCCTGGACATCTACCTACATACAGATTTTAGTTCCAGCCCTGCTCCAACGCAGCTGCCTGTAATTATTAAGTGCTACCTGAGAGATTAATTAGCTAAATCAGGTGTGTTTGATCAGCGTTGAAGCTGAACTTTGCAAAAGAGATAATTTCTCCTTTTTCATTGAATCCTTCTTGTTAAGGAATGTAAAGTGATTTTGTTTATAATGAAACTACATGCTGGTTCTTTTTATTAAAGCAAAAAAATAAATACATTAAAAAATAATAATAATAATAAATAAATAAAATAACTTTGAATGAGGCAGTGTTCTTTACCGCCGAGCCGTACAGTGTCGCTGTCCAACAATCCTCGCACTTCTCCCGTGCAGAAAAGCGCCAAACCGCTCTTTAACCCACCCTAGCAACGACTGACAGACGCTATGGCAACCAGTACAGAGGGAATCTCTTCTGACAAGTACAGTAACGTTAGCTAAACAATGTATTTTCATTACAAAAGTAACAGTGTGTGTTACAGCTGACTCACTTATTGTTGTAAACGGACCCTAGTTAACAGCGACTGAAGCGTTAGTAGAAGAAAAGAAAAGCGACAAGAACAGCTGCTGTTCACTCAAATGAATGAACCTGGGTCTCTCGGGTAATTTAGCGCTTAACAGTTTTATTAGTCCAGCATCTGATCTGAATTAATTACCGTTAACACGAGCTTCACATTGGCCGTGGGAATGATTTAACAGCCCGTGAAGCTTTAAGGCGTTCCGGGGATGTTTGCCAGGATCATTAACGCTCAGTGACCGACAGAAAGCTTCCCTGGTAGATTGATAGTAACGTAAGTTATTGAGGAAAACCTCTGATGTCTGAGTGGAGAAGCGCTTTCCAGAGGAACCGCGTGATTCCGCCGCACAGTCAGACTGCTCGACAAGCGCCAGGATCTGCTCAGGGTCTGCAGCTGCTCTTCAAACACCTCGATGGACTTCACGTGACACAGGTGGATGGGGAATAAATATACTTATTACAATACTCTCATTTAAAGCACTATAAGTACAAATGATTTGCACAGACTGAATAAATACATGCAAATAAAAATAAATATTATGTAATGCTTTGCCTTTTTAAAAGCACATCATGAGACCACAATTAATTATATTATTTATATATTATTATTTATATATATGCTCAATGCAATATATTATTTATTCATCTTAATTAGTTTATTAATATAATGTAGTAAAAGTTTGTTATATGATATGATTACTTTGGATAAAAATATCATGGTTTCCAGGTTTTACACTATTATGATTACTGCTCTAAAATATAGCCTTTTTAAATGTCTGGGTAAAAACAAAAACTTTTTTTCCCTTTCAACACAATGTATTTTATTATGAGAAGCATTTAAAATATTTTGGAGCAGTAAACATGTCCGGCTAAATAATTATAATCAATCATTGACTTCTGTCAAACACAGATTTCTTTACAATTTAAAACAGTCTTACATATACCATAGGTATAACAGAAAATTTTGGCGGTTTTAAAAATTTGACTTCTCTAAACCGAGATATGCAAAACAAATTAATTTTCCCATGCCTAATCTGTAGTTTCTAGTAGTAAACATCAATGGCTCTTTAAAAAATGTATTTACCAAAAAAAGAAAAAAGAAAAAAAAGAAATGACTATTTGCTGAAAAAGGTTCCCACTCCTGCTCTGTCTTGTTTTTTGTCAAAATGTATTTAGCCACATATTATTTAGTTTTAACCTATTTGCTTTGTGATGTATTCATTATTTATTACTTTACACTTAGGGATTTTGCTTAATTTAGCAAACATCTTCCCCATATTCTTTTACATTATATACTGTAACAATAGCCTATAGTTTAAATTTAAATGTGGGCTTTTTATCTAGCCTAATTAATATGTGAATGTATGAGGTCATATATTTGTATTTTTCCCCTAATATTTATTTTTAGGCCACAGAAACTAAATTTATTGTTTCCTCTTTTTTTTTTTTATCTCTTCCTGTGGTTGGCATGACAACAGTCTGAGTCTCCGCCATCACTTCAGTATCAGCTGCGGGTGACCTTGTTTGACTCAGGTCACCAGCACTTCTTCGGGCGCACATGGAAGAGCGGCTCACACTCTGTCAGTGGCTCACCGGGTCAGAGCTATCGAGTGCTCTTCAATGAGGTACAATGACTCATTTCACACTGGCTCATGATATTTAGTGTTATTTCATGATGCAGCACCTGGCTAAGGGTGCAGTTCATGCAGAAGTTCCCTAACCTTCAGGCCCTATTCCCTGTAGTGGGGTTAAACTGCTCAAAATGAAAACTTGAATAGACTGCAGAATTACAGTAGCTGTATATCTGTGCAGTAAAGCTCTGCCAGACATGATTCCCTGTATGATTGCTGTGGGGGAAACTGCTTTCCTATCTTGGTGTCAATTTTGTTTTTGTAGAGAGGATATTTTCAGGGTAAAGGATCAGTAAGTCTCAAATTCAGGGACAAACAAAAAGTTTTTTTTTGTGATGGAGCAGTTTAGAAGTTCTTGCAATTTCCTGCAATAAATGTGAAAAACAACAACAAACAAACATTATTTAAAAAGTGTATTATATATTTAAAAATAATGAAGACCCCACTAACAGGTTAAAGTGATAGTTCACCCAGACCGAAAATCCTGTCATCATTTACTCGACCTTCACTTGTCTCAAACATGCTTGAGATTATTTTCTGAATCTGTTAAACACAAAATAAGTTATTTTGAAAAATGTTGGAAACCTGTAACCATTGACTTCCATGTTATACTATGGAAGTCAAGGGTTACACATTTCTCACCATTTAAAAATATCTTCTATCTATGTTTAACAGAAAAAGGACTCATATGGGTTTGGAATAATTAAATGGCGAGTAAATTGTAAATTTTATTTGATTCAGGGTATCCGTGTGGTCTTAATTACATCTTAATGTCTTAAATTCAGGAAAGTATTGTTTTGTAGGTCTTAAATCAATTTTAAACCACTTTATTTTTTCTATTTTCATGTAAAGCTACCTTATCGGGTAGCTCATTTCATCTCAATAAAACTTTTGACAAAAGTTTATTTATTAACTCTTATATAATATATCTTATATATTAAATGTAATTTAATAACTGTATTTTCTATTTATAAACACATGGTTTAATTTATTATCTTCTTTACAATAACATTTGTTTTTAATGGCTTTTTGATGTTTTAACTGGGCCATTAGAAAAAGTCCTTAGTGTTTACTGTTCGGCCATGTGTAAGTCTTACATTTTATTCAAAATGTTCTTAAAAAGGTCTTAAATTTGACTTAATGAAGCCTGTAGAACCCTGTTGGTTAACTATCTCTTTAAGTAAACATAAAATGACAGTTTTTACAAGTGTAAAATTACAAGTGTAACATTATTGTTTACAAACCATATTATTCATATATTTTTGTGGTTAAAATCCTGATTGGGAGATGATTAGGAGGCATGATTCGTTTTCAGTTAGCTGCTCTGTATTGTCCAACATACCTTGTTCATTTATTTTTGTTTAATGCTATAACTAGTAGTAAAGAAAGAGGAAGTGATGATCTGTATGCGTGCACTTGATCCATACTGCTGTTCAAAATTTGATAGGTTTGAACTTTTTCATATATTATTTACTGAAGTTTTGTTTGATTTGACAGAAAAAAGCACAGACTAAAGGATAGTACAGTGGATGTATTCTCAACAGAATTAATACATCAACTAAGTACTTTTCACTGCACTGTTTTTATAAACAGTTAGGAATTCAGAAATGCTACTTCGCTCACGTACTATTTTAGCTTGCTATGTAAGGATGCAAATAAATATGGATGCATAAGTGTTTCAGTTACATTGAATTGTAGATTTTCCAAAGGCTTTGACTTTGTTGAAGAAACATGAGCCCTGCAAAATCAAATTGCGACATAGGGGTTTTTAACATGAATGAGTCTTTGACAAACAGAAAGTTTTAAGTACAGTTTCAATGTCATTTTCATGTATGCTGCATCTGAAATTGCACACTACTCATTTATTTGATTTTGCACTTAGTACTCAAATTTAGTGAAGTACATTTTATATAGTGTGAATATGAGTAGTATTAAATGGTATTTTAATGTACTACATCCACCATTTATAATTATCAAATAACTTACCTGCGTCAGTTGCATTGTTTCACTCCCATTCAGAAATTTAATTTGCCTGGCTTTTATGGGATAGTTTAGTGTCCATTGGATGCGCACTTCAAAACCTCGTTGCAAGTCATCATGGTACTTCTCGCATTTTGTTTTTTAAGTACTTCAAATTTTTCTTATACTGGCAATTTTAGATGCACTATTACTGATGAATGCCTGATTAAAAAACATTTGAAAGCAGCTTAGATAACAGCTATTACCAGGAAAACCACTACATTTGAAGTTCCATAAGTGCCTCCTGTTGGCAGAGAATCAATATGCATTTACAATCAGCCTGTCTACTGTGTTCCTTCAGACCAGGGGTCACCAATCTCGTCCCTGGAGGGCCAGTGTTCCAGCAGAGTTTAGCTCCAACTTTTGAAGTTTCAATTATACCTTGCAAGACCTTGGTTAGCTTGTTCAGGTGTGTTTGATTAGGCTTGTAGTCAAACTCTGCAGGACACCGGTCCTCCAGGAACAAGTTCGGTCACCACTGCTTCAGACTGTAAAATTCAACTCAAATATAAATTTTCACCCAAGAAAGTGATTTCGCACACAGGAATCATTTGTCGTCATTGTTGTTGTCGTCACATGGAATCATTTGTTAATTTCTGAATTACAGTGAAATGAACCGGCAACTTATCCAGCATATGTTTTAAGCAGAGGATGGTGTTTCATCTGCAACCCAGCACTGGGAAACATCCATACACACTTGCATTAAAGGCTGATTTATACTTCTGCATCAAGTGCACACGTATGCTCCGGCACAGCCCACGCATGGTCGCATCGCCCTCGCTATGGCCGTCTGTAATGCTAACGTGCACCTCTCTAAAAATTTAACTACACATCGCCACGATGTGTAGCGCAAGCTCTGTGATTGGTCAGCTTAGTAGCACTGAAAAGTGTGGGCGGAGGTGAGAGCCACTGCGAGCCAATGGCGTGAGTGTTTACAAGTGTCGAGTCCTGTGAAGGAGCTCTAGATGGAAACTGTTGTATTGTGTTTATCTTATGATTAAAGTTGTTGCACGTCCACCGATTCCCACCCCAAAATAAGCCAGTTTGAGCCACTTGTACATTTAAGGTAGCGTTCAGAAAAAATAAAACACCCCTGAAGAAACTCGACACAGAGGAAAAATAAAAATCTACTGCCAGCTAGCGTTAAAGTACTATTGCAGAGCAACACAAACAGGGCGCAGAAATATAAATGCATGGCGATGTGCATTGCATGCGCCATGGGTCACGTTGATCATTCGATGCGAAGTAAAAATCAGACTTAACACACACACTCATACACCATGGCCAATTTTTTGTTTTGTTTCTCCAATTCACCTACACCACGTCTTTGGACTGTGGGGTAAACTGGACTAACTGGAGGTGATCCACAAGAACACAGGGAGAACATGCAAACTCCACTTGAACCAGTGACCTTCTTGCTGTGAGGCGACAGTGCTAATCACTGAGCCACTGTGCCGACCTTAAGACACTTTAGATTCAGAACAATTTATGACAGTCACTTGTTGCCACCTACAGTTCTGGTTTATATAACCTCAGAAACAGCCACTGAAAAAATCACAAAGCTGAATCAAATGTTTAAATGCGTCTGGTTTTAGGCACTATTTGTGGAAGTGCTTGCAATTGTGGAACTGTGTATTTTTATTTATTTATTTGCTGTGATGATAGCAGTCACCCTGACCCTGAGTGCAGTGCACATTATAAGGACAGACTGTTTTTTTTTTGTAATCTTTGCTACAGCACAAGTTTGTGTTAAAACTCTCTAGTTTGAAATAGCAGTGCTGGCAGCACACAGACTGAACCCAGCTGAGTTTATTGGAGATGATAGACGTGTTCTGGCCTCTCTTAGCAAGCACAATAAAGGGCCATCTGAAGGTGCGAATTTACTGTCCAGCTGTCCAAAAAACCACACACAGACACACACATTTCTGTCTGCATGCCTGGCATCAGTGTAATTCACTTAAATCTCCCATTTATAGGCTCTTAGATTCACAGAGTGGAGATAAAAGTTCTTGAAAATGTCCACTCTTGAGTCGGAGACCGTGGTTAATGTCTACTGCACGCTCCATTTCCAGCTTCCCACTGCGCATTTCTGTTTTATTACATGTTGCCATTTCTCCCCAAACAGCTGTGTGGCTCTGCATATTGCATTCCCTCTTGCCTTCATTTAAACCACTTGTTTTTTGTTGTCTAATCATTGGTTCACAATTACATTCCTTTGTTTTTTTGTTTTTTTGCCACAGCTGCCTGTGGCAAGTGAATTGAGAGAACTGACCCACCATTAAACTGTGTTTTATATTAGTATTATTAAAAAGAAGACATTTAGGGTTCCTATGTTTATGGATACATGAATTTTAATGACTTTCCCAGTTTTTTGAAAATCCTTTATTTTCAGAGGGATTCACTGGTGAATCATTCAGATTACTATGTGAAAATGCTTTAACCAGTGCAATGTTTCAGAACATAATATATAAAACATACATTTAGTACAAACGCCCATGATTTTTTTCATGGGTTTTAGCATTTTATTTTTATTTTCCAGACCTGAGGAAAGTAAAACAAATTAAGATTTTCCATAGATTTCCATAGTTTAATAAAACATTCCTGTTTTTACTGCATACATAAATTAATTCTGCTGCTTGTTCAAACTACTTAGCTAAAACAAAACAATTCTGGTGAATTTTTTTATTATTATCATTTTTTTAGGAAAACTTAAGTGCTTTGTTTAATCTATTTAAATTAGTTATGTTAACTGAATATATTTGTGTTGGGACAACATGAATGAATTATGTTCAACCCTGCACTGTTTACAGTGCACTTGGGCAATTATATGCATCCTTGGATGTGTAGAGAATGTGTTCAAAACATTACTAGAAGATGATCATTCATTCATTCATTCATTCATTCATTCATTCATTCATTCATTCATTCATTCATTCAGTTTCTTTTCAGCTTAGTCTCTTTATTAATCTGGGGTC